TACTTTTGGATTGAAGATACAATTCTGTTAAAGCTTTTATAACAGCCAATGGTTCAAAAGCATTCATTGTCAGAAATTAAATTATAATAATTATATTAATTGAATTAATTTTAAATTTAAATGATATCTTAAGAATATTATATAATCTCACTGAATTTAAAAACATTATGAATTTCATTTAAATTAAAATAAGTTTCCTTAAATCTTATTATATTTTAGTTTTCCCATAATCTCGATAAACCAAAAAATTTCTCCTTAATCAGCCCTTCACGTTAATTCTTTTTCAAAAGTAATATTCCATGTTTGTATTATAATAAATTAAGCCAAAATAACTAAGTTAATTAACCTAATATCATAATATTTCAAATTAATCCTGTGTTATTAAGTTGGATTATTAGTATTGTTTACTTAATGCAATCAAAGAAATGAAATCATAAATATAATAAATTTTATAATAGTTATATGATTGAGCAAGACCTGATTAAAACTAATTATAGTAAACTAATATTCAATTTTCTTGTTTAATACTAACAACCTCTCTAATACCTTATCTTAAATCTATTTCTAATTTTCATTTGTTGTTTGTTTATATTTTCTTAAAATTTTTGTATTTGAAACGATTTCATAAAAATTAATAAAAATATGAATCTTCTTGTAAAAAGTTGAAGAGAATTAATCGAAAAATAAATCAATAATAAGGCGCAAAATATTGATGAAAATTAAATTGCCATCTATATCTGTAATTACCCATTATTTGTTGATATAAAGGTACTTTATTGATATTATTTGTATTATTAAGATTATATATATTTATTATGTTATTGAAATCTGATTCAATCGAAGATAGAAGAAGCCAAATTGAATTACAAAAGCCTTCTAGCATTGTGGAGAACAGCATTACTCTTTCTTTAAGAAGAAGACCTCATTAAAGAATTAACACAAACAAATAAGATGGGGAAGATTCATATGGTAGTTATAATTTGGATCATCACGAAAGGAGTTTATAGAAAATAGATAGCACACCAAGAGGGTCTCCTTTACAAAATATGCAATTCCAAAAGGCTTCTATTTTCACTAAGGCAGCATAAAAACGATAATAATAAGGGCAATCTCACATTCCTGAAGTGTAAACATAGGAAACATTTTAAAAGAAACAATAGGATGTTCAAGATTCTTAATAGAATCTAGAAGAGCTTAGAAATGTTATTGCAAAACATATATTTATAAATAAGTGGTATTAAGGTCCATCATATGAAAGGGCAAATGATAATTTTTTTATAAGGGATGATAAAATAATTATAATCGAAGATGATAGCAGTGTAGATAATTAGGAAGGTTTAAAAAAACCAGAAGAAATATTAAATAAACTTGTGGAGTCTCATATTAATCCAACAAATTATGTACTTCAAAAGAATGAAACTTTGGACAAAGTAAAAGAAGAAGGAGATAGATAATAAAAATTGAAGAAGGAAACTGAGACTAAGAAATTAATAAAAAATTCAGATGTTCGAATGACAATATATCCTGCATATGATAACTTTTTTAAGAAATAATCATGATAGAAATTAATATGTATTTTATACTCAACAATGGAAGATATTTAGACTAATTTCAATTTCAGATATCCTCAAACTTAATGCTTTATATTTTCTAATTATCTCCTAAATTAATTTTTTGAGAATAATTTTAGCAAAAGCAATCTTGGGTGATTTCATCAATTTTATTCTCATTATTTTCAAATTCAACTTGTATTGTCCTTCTAAGATTTGAATAATAACAGCAATCAAGACGAATTGCTTTATTAATCATAACTAATCAAGTCTTTTAGATTACATTAATTAACTTTATTAAAACTAATTATCAAATTTTTCTTTTTCTGATATCAAGTAATAATTTAAAGTATCTCAACACCCATATATTTATTGATATGTATAAGTATTGATAGAGATTTCTTTGGAATAAAACTAGATCAAAATTTCCATTTTAAATGAGAAATATTGATTAAAGTTAAATAGGAGATTTACAATTTCGTAATATTCAGAATGATTACCTTTGTTGAATATTTAAATAGTTAAGAGTATTAAGAACATGATTGCTTGAATTTAATTATTCAAACCTTATTTGTCGAATTAGTGCAATAGAAAATATAAAATTGCTTATTTGGAGCATTTAGCAATTTCAAAAATCATAATTAATAAAAAAAATGAACGAAAATTAATAGTTAAATAGTTTTAGAATTATACCTGCATAATTAGAAGTTGACGGGATTTGTGATTAACTAATATTATAAATTGATTCTGATGTTGACAATAATTAGATGTTTTCATTTAAGTGCAATCAATTTGTTAAGGCTTCAAAAAACATAATGAAATATTTGATAGAAAAGGAAAAATCCAATTAAATTCAATAAAACATAATGAATAGTTCAAGAGGAAGAGCCTCTATTCTAGCATTAGAAAACAATAAGACGAAAATAAATAATAAGGATAAGAGAAAAAATGGGATTCAATTATTAAGAGTAAGAGTAAGCATAAATTAGTAAAGGAGAAAAGAGTGCTTAGATTATCAGAAAACTATTTTAATTAAAATGAAGAAGAATTTAAATAAAGAAATAGAAATAGAATTAGAATTGTTGAATTATAATTTAAGAAAATAGATATTTAATAAATCAGTTTTATCGAAGTATGGGATTACTTAAAATTATCATAACATGTAAAGGAGCAATTATAATTTTTAGAGCTTAGTTGCTCTCTATTGAAAAACTAATAGGCTGTTTTACTGTTCATCTTAAAATACACGTTTGATGAGTGAAAAAAAATTAAGTATTATCTATCTAAACAAGGTTTGTATTATGGCTGACCTCCTTAAATGATAATAATGACTATCATTTTAGAATACTTTATACAATATTTTATTAATTGATGGCAACAGATTATTGTTTAAGATATTGATGGCTTTGGAAAATGATTGGATTTTAAGGTACTTATCCAGCGACAGATTTTTGAAATACTGGAATTTTGGGGTTATTATAAGCTTAAAAGTAAATGACTGAATGCAGTAATATAAAGCATCAGTAGGAGTATATATATATATAAATTTCGTTTGTTTAATTAAGGAGCTAGTCAGACACACTCAAATCTTCGCATTTTTGAAGGCTCCAATACCCATAAAGAATATTAGGGCACAACAAATATGGATGGGCATCGCGAATCGCATTCCATGAAATAGAATGGATTCATATTCCTAATTATAGATCAGAGTGCATGCTGAATCATTCTAGCTTGGTTGGTTGCCTACATTTGCTGAAGCAAAGTGTAAGTAACTACTATAGACATGATCCTGTACGAGTACAGTCTTAATATTAATACGAATAATTTCAAGCCTTAAATATAAATCGATATTTCAAAATAATATGGGTTTATATTAAAATTAATGTCTGAAATCCAAGAAGTAGCAAATTAAATCAAAGGGAAGCTGAGATACAAAAATGTAATATCTGAATTAACCCATTAGGAGCATGATTTAATAATATAATCCTTTATGTTGGGAATTTTGCAAGGTAGAAATAAATAGGCTTCATAAGACGTATTTCTATCAAATTTAGAAATCATTATGAGCTTGAACTTGCTAATAGACATTAAAGTATACAAACCTGAAAGAGTCTATAAGCTATACAATGATGCATTGAGAGGACCTTTCGATGTATTGACTTATATTAAGGTTCAAGTTAAACGAACTATGTATTTAATTGGNTTAACTAATATTATAAATTGATTCTGATGTTGACAATAATTAGATGTTTTCATTTAAGTGCAATCAATTTGTTAAGGCTTCAAAAAACATAATGAAATATTTGATAGAAAAGGAAAAATCCAATTAAATTCAATAAAACATAATGAATAGTTCAAGAGGAAGAGCCTCTATTCTAGCATTAGAAAACAATAAGACGAAAATAAATAATAAGGATAAGAGAAAAAATGGGATTCAATTATTAAGAGTAAGAGTAAGCATAAATTAGTAAAGGAGAAAAGAGTGCTTAGATTATCAGAAAACTATTTTAATTAAAATGAAGAAGAATTTAAATAAAGAAATAGAAATAGAATTAGAATTGTTGAATTATAATTTAAGAAAATAGATATTTAATAAATCAGTTTTATCGAAGTATGGGATTACTTAAAATTATCATAACATGTAAAGGAGCAATTATAATTTTTAGAGCTTAGTTGCTCTCTATTGAAAAACTAATAGGCTGTTTTACTGTTCATCTTAAAATACACGTTTGATGAGTGAAAAAAAATTAAGTATTATCTATCTAAACAAGGTTTGTATTATGGCTGACCTCCTTAAATGATAATAATGACTATCATTTTAGAATACTTTATACAATATTTTATTAATTGATGGCAACAGATTATTGTTTAAGATATTGATGGCTTTGGAAAATGATTGGATTTTAAGGTACTTATCCAGCGACAGATTTTTGAAATACTGGAATTTTGGGGTTATTATAAGCTTAAAAGTAAATGACTGAATGCAGTAATATAAAGCATCAGTAGGAGTATATATATATATAAATTTCGTTTGTTTAATTAAGGAGCTAGTCAGACACACTCAAATCTTCGCATTTTTGAAGGCTCCAATACCCATAAAGAATATTAGGGCACAACAAATATGGATGGGCATCGCGAATCGCATTCCATGAAATAGAATGGATTCATATTCCTAATTATAGATCAGAGTGCATGCTGAATCATTCTAGCTTGGTTGGTTGCCTACATTTGCTGAAGCAAAGTGTAAGTAACTACTATAGACATGATCCTGTACGAGTACAGTCTTAATATTAATACGAATAATTTCAAGCCTTAAATATAAATCGATATTTCAAAATAATATGGGTTTATATTAAAATTAATGTCTGAAATCCAAGAAGTAGCAAATTAAATCAAAGGGAAGCTGAGATACAAAAATGTAATATCTGAATTAACCCATTAGGAGCATGATTTAATAATATAATCCTTTATGTTGGGAATTTTGCAAGGTAGAAATAAATAGGCTTCATAAGACGTATTTCTATCAAATTTAGAAATCATTATGAGCTTGAACTTGCTAATAGACATTAAAGTATACAAACCTGAAAGAGTCTATAAGCTATACAATGATGCATTGAGAGGACCTTTCGATGTATTGACTTATATTAAGGTTCAAGTTAAACGAACTATGTATTTAATTGGAAAGAGAAGTTTTTGAAAGTCAAAACCCTTAAGAAGACACTCAAATAACATAGATGTTCAAATCAAATAATTAAGCTTAGATATCTCAAATTTTACCATAGAATTACAACGAAAATCAATAATACTAATCATTCTGGAACATGGAGTCATAGCCTTCTATTTTATTCCAATCCAAAAGATAATAAGAACCTTATGGGTACAATCAAATATAAAATGCCTCAATGATATATTAATAGATAAAAAACAATAGTGCTGATGAATCAAAAAGCTTTGAATTAGCATTGCAATTGCAAAAATAGTAAATAAATTACTAATAATAGATTTGAAGAAGAATAATAATAATTGGAACAGCTTAAATTACAGTAAAATTATGAAGAAGAGTAATAAATATTGGAAGATGAAAGGAAAAATTAGATTGAATGCAAAATTTGCCTAGATAACATTTAATTTACAGAGATGGCTACTTTATATTGCTCACACATTTTTCATTAGAAATGCTTAAATTAATATTGCAAAACATAAATGTCTTCTAGATAATTCCCAATTTTATGTCCATCAGGATGTAAAAAGAACATCATCTATTCAGATTTAACTGAAGTATTAGATGATCAATAATTAATGGAATTTCAATAATTAACTTTTAAGACCTATATTGAAAGTCACGGAGATGAAGTACATCCTTATATTATTGTAGTATTCATGGTGTCCAACTCCAGACTGTTAATTTGTTTTTATTGCAGGAGACAATCCTCGATTGGATTGTCCTGTCTGTTAGAAGTCATATTGCTTAGATTGTAAAATTGAATATCATAATGGATTTTCATGCAAGGAATTTAAAGAAAAAAAGCTAATGGAATCTAAGTTAAAGAATGAAAAATATCTTGATGAGAAATTCTTTAGTTTCATTAAAGGAGCCAAGTATAAATAATGTCCCAAATGCAAATTTTGGGTTGAAAAAAGTGAAGGATGCAATCATATGACATGTAGGTGCAAGTTTGAATTTTGTTATGTTTGTGGAGGGGTATATTAGAAATGTGAATGTGTCAAAAATGCTCATGCAAATTGGCCAACTCCTTTAAATAGATATAGAAGCAGGCGTAGATGAAAATATATTCATATATATATTTTATAGTCTATTTTTGAATATTATTAATATTAAAAATCAAAGTAAAGATGGCAGAGGAATAATAACCATTTTCATTTACTCCAGAAGGCGGAAGTGCTACAAATTCAACAAAGGATTACACTGGTAAAGGAATAGCTACGTATATATATTTTATTTTTGAAACAGTTATCCAAATGGTGACACATATGAAGGTTAATATGTAAATGGAGTTAGAGAAGGAAAGGGGAAATACACATACAATCCATCAGGAGATAGATATGAAGGTGAATTTTTACAGAATTTAAAGCACGGAATTGGAAGATTGATTTATAATAATAATAAAGGAGAATATTACGGATAGTGGGAGTAGGGACTGAGACATGGAGAAGGACTTTATACATATGCTAATAAAGATGTGTATTCTGGGTAATGGTCAAGAGGAAAGAAACATGGATAGGGTACTTATGTTTTTAATGACACTGCCATGAGAGTATTACTTAGTTATTATCGAATAGTTTAGAGGTACTTGGAATAACAATGAGATTGTTGATGGAGAATGGAGTTATCCAAATGGAACAGTCTATAGAGGTCCATTTTAACATAATAAGCCAAACGGAGTTGGCAGATTTGAATTTGCTAATAAAAACTAAGTGGAAGGTTATTATACATAGACAATTGTTCCAAATGCAAATCCAGATGACACTACCTTAAATATATAATTGGAATGGGTAACAACAAAACATTATTGATTTATTAATAATCAAATATTATGTTATTATCTAAGTTTGGCTTTCCTTTTTAGGCTTGGAATTAAATCAATTTTTTATTTATTATTATAATTGTTATTATTGTTGTTATTATTATTGTTGTTGTTATTATTAACTATTTACTTCTTTTGATTCTGTGTATTCCTCTCTTATTTTTTATTTATATCTTATCCTCTATTCTCTTTTTCTTGTTCATATTTATCATAGTGATCATTTAATTTTAATTTCATATCCTCTAAATCTTGATTCTTTTTAAAAGATGGGCTTTCAGTTGTCCTTAAAGTCTTTTTTTATTCCTTATTGAAAGTACCGAATTCAAAATTGCATTATTATTTATCAGGTGTATTCTTTAATTAATCAATCTTTATTGAGTTAAATTTTTTCAATATATCTATCATCATCTTTATTAATTGCTATATTAGCAATGAGAAATTCTATTTAACTATATCAATCTCTATTGTTTTTATGCTTCCACAATAATTAGAAAACAATGTACTCAATTTTTCGTGTCCATTGCAAACGTCAAATAATTCTTTATATTATTAAAGCATTTAATCCTAGCTTTATTCTAATAAACTAATACTTATTCCGATAATTAAATCCAATCTCTAATCTTCCTACATCTTCACTACTGCTTGATGATGAACTTAAGTTGATTTTCTTTTTACTGCTTTTATTCTTAACGAATATTTTATCAATATTTACTTTGACAGATTGCACTCTATTTTGAATACTCTAAATATCCTGTTAAATCTAAGTTAATTATTATCTAATAGTAAAATCTTCTAAATTCTTTCTTTTGTGAATATGCTACCTATTATCGCTATTTATATTAAAATTACATCTGCATTTAAAATAATCCATTCTGAAATTCTAAATTTTACATCTTCGTAAATAATTCCTTCTCATTATTACCTGATCTTCCCGTATCATTATCTTCTGTAACAAATTGTTTAATTACTGCCCCTTTAGCCTAATAAAAATATTTGAATCTTTAATTACTCTTGATGTGCTTAAATTTCCGAATTCTGTTTTTATTTGACGGTCTTCTTGTTTAAGTTATGTATTTGAATAAGAAACATCTTTTAGTCTCAGCTGATGAAACTTCATTTATATTAAATTTGAAAATAAAACAATAAAAATTTAATGCCACCTAAGAAGGATAATAAAAAGGAAGTAAAAATACATCTATTTCACATTTAGTTAGTCTTATCTGAAGATGATGGTACTGGTATCTTAAAAAATATTGTACAATTCAAAATACAATTTCAAGTGGTTACATAAAATATCTAAAACATTGTCATTATGTATGAATGGCTAAATGCTAATTCAACAGAAAGATATGACACTGGTCTTATTGACTAATGGAATGTGGTTTCAACTGAACCTTAATAGAATCCTGATGATCCACCAATTGTTACTTATTCTTATGAGAAAGTTTTCGATTAAATAAGATTTATTGATTCATTAGCAGAAGTATTATCGAAAAAAAAATTATACATGTACTTTGTAAATGCAGATGATATGAAAGTTATGCAAGAATTTTAGTTTGATTATAGTTTAATGCTTAACACTCCAAGTGTATATAATTAAATTAGATTTAGTTCGAATTTGCCTTCTCCAAAATGAGAATCATGGAAATCTTAGATTTTAAATTCAATATTTAAAGTGATAAGCCCTTGTTGCATGAACAATTAAGAGCCAAACTTAATCCATTCTAGGTGGAAATAGTATCATGTGAAAACATACCTGTTCAAGCATAAAAATCATATGAATTATGCTATGTTTAATATGAGTTTTATGATGGAACAGTTATAAAAACTGATATGTAAGTTTAAATGCAAAACATGTATTTTAATTCTAAACATGTTTTTTTATTGGGAACAATGGACATTGGCAAGCATTTTGAGACAAAGCCACTAAAATTTGAGTTACATGATAAAGATGAAGTAGTTCGGAATGACGTTAAAGAAGAATTATAATTATTTGATATTGAAAAATGGTTATAAATTGAGGAAGAGAAAAACAGACCCCCTGAACCTGATTTCACAGTAGATCCAAAGACGGGCAAAAAGATACCTAAAAAGGAAGTTAAAAAGGATGATAAAAAGGAAGTTAAGAAGGAAGTGAAGAAAGATGCAAAAAAAGATAATAAAAAAAAGGAAGTAAAATTAGGAGAACCAATTTTAGAAGAATAACCAAAAAAATAATATAATAGAAATAATCATGGTGTAGCAATAATGAATTTAGGTGCTTTTATTCATTCCAATGTTAGAGAAGTGGATTTACTAGCTGGAATCGTTCCAAGAAGAGTTTTTGAAGATACTGAGTCTAATAATTTAGATTTGAATACAACTGCTAGAAAAAACATCCCAAAAGTATTCACAGCCACTAATTATTTGGACTTATAGGCCACAATGTTTGTTAAATTTGAAATGTCAAATGCATTAATTAGAAAATGATATATAATAAATATTATTATTAATTATTAATTATCATTTAAAAATGTCTGAACACTCTGTGTCTTACTATGATAATTACTATCTTTATTGATAGAATTGCTTTTATAAAGTTTCCTCTTCGGATAAATGGGATTTAAACGTTGATAATTGAAGTTATAATCTAAATTGATTGAAATAATAATTACGTTTAAATTTCTTCCATCTTTGTTAATAAAATTTATTCAAGTCCTTTTACATATTCATCAACATCAGATCCTGGCTTATCTATATTGTGTAATAACATCATTTCCTATATATTTGTTTGATAATTTTACTTATTTTACTAATTCTACCATCTAATCGATATGAGATCTATGACTTGAGATTAGATTTTCTTCTTCTTCAAGAATTACACTAATTAATTATTCGTGTTTTTATCCTATCTTCATTAAATCATCTTCCATTGATGAATTAATTTCTAAATAATTAAAGTAAATACTTGATTTTCTTTCGATTTGCCCAGGGAATAAATTTTCATTCATGTAAGGTCTTGCCTCTTACATTTAAGGAGTTGGTTTATTGTATGATTGTTTATTTTTTGTATCATTTATTTTGAATTATGGTTATTATGATTATTGTAAAGGAATAACTGGTTATGGTTATGGAGGGGGAGGTTATATGAAGTTTTAAAATGTGTAAGTAGATTATTGGGATTATTATTATGATATCATCATTCCAGGTACTGAATTTTACAAATTTAAAAATTATGGTTACTGAAAGAGATTTTAATTCTAATAATTTTATAATGGATTATTCTTAAATGGATTGAATTATGGCTATTATTATTGTTATTATGGATTCTAAGGTTATTTCTACATTTTGACAGGCTACTATTATCGTGGCAACATTAGTTCTCTAGCCAACTTATCTAATGATGTAACTTGATCTTTTAGTTCTTTATCATTTGGCTTTTTCAGTTCTTTAACTCTATCAGCGTATCTTAAAGTATTGAGGGTGTGTTCAGAGGAAGAATTGGATGGTGAAAAGTTACCAATCATCACAGTTTTACAGTTTCCAATAAAAGAATCCTTTAAGACTAAAGTCAACTTGGATCCTCTGAAAGGGGTATGATTTTTATTCAAATCTAGAGCTCTGATACATTCTTTTAATGCTAATAGTGATTTATTGATTTCAGCTCCATCAAATCTTGTTTGTTTATTTGTATCACTTACATCAGCTCCTCTTTCACTACCTGCCAAATCTATGAATGACAATTTCCCATGAGATCTGGATCCATCTTTTAATGTTATTTATAAGATAGCATGAGATCTAGAGGAATCACTATTTGATGAGTTAGATGCTGTGATTCTGGATGCACTTCCTTGCTCAATAACTTTCATGAGTTGTTCTACAGATTAGACTTTTCTTTCTTATAAACCAACTATATTGACGTTGCCTTTTGCATCTTCTCTTGGTTGAAGTAGGGATCTTTCATTCAAGAGATCAAAAAGCTTGCCACAATAAATTTCATAAAAGGAGATTGCAATTTGAAGATGGCCATAACATTCATTATTAAGCAAACAAAAAATGTCATAAGCTGCCAATAAATATAATCCAGGGACTCTTTCTTGATAATCACCTAACATTGTGTAGGTTTTGCCAGAGCCTGTTTATCCATATGCAAAACATGTTACTTTGGCCTTATTAAATGCTGCTTCAACGATGGGCCGTACGATTTGCAAATATAACTGTTCATTAGTGGTATTTTCATCGAAGGCTGCATCAAAATTAAACTAATGCTCTTCAATATATTTAGTGAGATCAACTTTGGTTCTAAAAAAGGTGATGAATATTTTGGAGATACCTTTGTTCTTTGACAATCACTTAGCTCTATTAATTTGAGACATCAACAATATCAATATCACCCTTATTGATTTCTTTCTTATTCAAGGGTCTTTTACGAACTGCCACTATAATCTTGGGTTCACCTTGTTCAATTAACATTTTAAATTTTACTTTTTTTTTGAATTTAATTTGTTATTTTTAGTTCGTTATCACTACTACATTAATATATATGTAATCCAATCCGAAAATTACTCCCAATAATCCATTTTACACAGGCACTTATCCTTAGACCATCCTAGTTAAGGATAAGTAATAACCTTCCAAAACCCGCTATGACAGGTAATCACAACCCATCATAAGAGGCAAGGGCAGACATACAGTTACTTTTAAACCTGATATTCACAAGATCTACACTGTTGAGAATTGGAAAATATATAACATTGAGAACGATAACCAACCCAATGAAGACAAATGTTGCATCATACTCTGACTATAATTTATTAATATATATATATAAAGCAATATTTCTCATCTTAACTTTGATTTCAATTTAGCTTAATACTTTATAAGCTTTCTCCAAACCATTCATTCTTAATCATTATACCTATCTCTTTAAAAGTTTAAACTCGCTCAAGAACTTATTCATTCCCATATTATGTAATTTTCATTCTCCACTAATTTCTGTAACTGTTTATTCTGATTAAGGAAATTTCTATAATTATTTGAACATCCAATAATAACTTATACACCTTTATTACGCAAATTTTATTATATTATCTTTCCTTTTTTTTGCAATGGATCCAATAATTCTAATTAATCATAATTCTTTCCATTCATTCTCAACAAATTTTCTATTAAACTCATTTAGCTCTATTTTTTATTATATTGCTCGATCTAATACTACCTGTTTCCACTAATAGAATATTAAGTTAGAATTGCTCTTCTGAGATATCCTTACCAAAAAATTACTAATATTCTTGATGCTGATTTTCTTATAAAAATTATCCAATTTCAATTATTAGTTCTTTTTTTTATCCCGATCAATTTTATTCCATCACAACTAAGTAGCATGTCAAAAATCTTTACTTCTAATTCATGTTTTTTTTTGATCCTCCAAAATTATAATAAACTCATATAAACTCATATTATTTATTCTCTATGCTAGTACTTTTGCATTCCAGTTAATTTATTCATTGTTTATTTGAATTATTTATTATTTTATGGATACAATATTTGCAGATGTCTAAAATAATTTTCTATACATTTTGATTTTTACAATTTCCCTTACTTTCTAATTGATTACTTAAAACATAGCTTTATACTCTTTCATAGTCAATCTACTTTTCAATTCACAAACTTGTTATTCATTGATTATAATTGCGTATAATTTGGAAATGATCCTTTGATTGGCAATCAAATTGCATAATTAAATTATAAATAATAATCTAGTTAATTTTTCCATTTTCCAATAGAGATATATTGTTAGAATAATTATCTTAGCAATGTATTCATAATATTAATATATTAATGTATAAATTGCTTTTAAATTTAATGTGAAATAATCATTATAAAGTTAACTTAGGTTCGTTCATTTCTTTTTGACTAAAATGTAGATAATAAAGATAATTACGTCCACTTATTGCCGCAAATAGGATTTTTATTGGCACAGATATATTGAATAATAATTTCCTTTTCATTCTTATCTGTTTTGAGGAAATAGATGGCTTCATCATAATTGCATCTGAATAATTAGCATACTTACTTGTTACAAATTACTCTTTTTCTAGGCATAGATGGATCAAGGATTAGTGTATTATCAGTAATATCAATGGCTTTGGCTGCTTGATAATCCTTTTTAAGCAAAAGTGCATCCTTATTTAATGTCTTATCTATTTTGACTTCGATGATTCCATTGTCTCCACAGTCTTGATTTCTGCATTTGAATTGTAAGATTTCAGTGTTATCTCCGTCATGATATGGTTTGAGTAGATTCTTGCATCGTGGACAAAATCTCCACCCATTGTAATTTTTCACTTCCATAATTTAGTTAAAATAATTAATGGATTTATTATAAGACCCTAAAGGGGATAGACAGGTAAATACAATACCAACTCCACCACATAAACCATTAAGTGAAGAGTTATTGTTTATAGATGAGAAACCAAATTGGAAATTATTGAGAGAACACCTTTTTAAAGAGGGAAGAATAACAAAAAGTTAGATTATGAAAATAGTAGAGATGTGCAATTATCATTTAAAAAATGAAGGTAATGTCATTTATGTGGATGACCCTCTTACTCTAGTAGGAGATATTCATGGGCAATATTACGATTTAATGAAAGTTCTTGAGATGGGAGGTGATCCAGAATAAGGCAAATATGTATGAGTATTTATTTATTTACATGTTTTTTTAGGTGATTATGTAGACAGAGGGTCATTTTCAATAGAAGTAGTGGTGTTATTATATGCAATGAAGATCTATTATCCTACAAGAGTGTTTCTTCTTAGAGGGAATCATGAATGCAAATAACTAACAAGCTATTTCAATTTTAGAGATGAATGCCTATATAAATATGACCAAGATGTCTATGAAGCCATCATGTCATCATTTGAAAACATGCCCTTGGTAGCTTTGATAAACAATAAATTCTTATGTTTACACGGAGGGATATCTCCAGATCTAAAATCGGTACATAAAATAGAATAAAATTTATATAGTTAGCTGATGTTGAAAGAATTGATAGATTCAGAGAACCACCAAAGGCAGGATTGTTTTGTGATATATTATGGGCTGATCCTGTTGAAAACGAAGAACTTTATGATGAAATTCATTATAGAGGCAATGATACTAGAGGTTGCAGCTGGTTTTTCGGAGAAAAGGCTGTCTAACCATTCTTAGACAATAATAAGTTCATTTGTTTAATAAGAGCTCATGAAGCTTAATTAGAAGGATATAGATTGTACAAATACAATGAAAAAATAAAAGAATTTCCTCAAGTATTAACAATATTTAGTGCTCCTAATTATTGCGATGTCTATAACAATAAAGCAGCAATTTTAAAATTTGAGAATTGCACTCTTAACATATCTCAATTCGGTTACTCTTAACATCCTTATTTGTTACCTCACTTTTTAGATATTTTTTCATGGTCAATACCATTTGTTACTGAAAAAGTAACCGAGATGCTTAATTATGTATTATAACCCAGACCAGGTGAGAAGATTGAAGATTCAGATGATGAAACACCAAATGCTTAAAAAATTATCAAATAATAAACATTGGGACAACCAGCATCAAACAGTCGTCCCTTAGGCAAGTTACAACAAATAACTTAAAAATAAATTGATATAACCAAATCCAAAATTTCTTTTGTTTCCAAAATGATGAAAATGCAAACAGTACTCAGACAGGAAAGAGAAAATATCATAAAACTAAAGGGATTATGTCCTGATAAACGTATTCCCAGAGGAGTCCTATTATAAGGAGCAGAAGGAATCAAAGATGCACTAGAACATTTTAATACAACCAGGGCTGCAGATAGAATCAATGAAAAATGGCCAGAAACTAAATGATTTATCTACATTATATTTAATAATGAACGAAAAAACTGTTGATAAATATAAACTCTTAACGACAGATCTTCTTGGAGCAGGATCATTTGCAAAAGTATATAAGGGAATTGATACTACCAATAATAGATAAGTTGCCATAAAAATGCTACCAAAATAAAATATTCTCAATGATAAATATCTAATGGAAGGCTTAAGAAGAGAATTATCAGTTATGCAAAAACTAAAGGGGAATAATGTAGTTCGTTTATTAGACACTCTTGAATCTTCAAATAATTATTACATCGTATAAGAATTCTGCAAGGATGGAGATCTTGGAACTTATCTCAGAAAATAGTAATATTTAACTGAAGTTGGGGCTATAAGAATATTAACTGATATCCTAAATGGCTTCATTGAATTATTATAACAAGGAATTATTCATCGGGATTTGAAGCCAGCTAATATTCTCGTCCACTAAAACACTTTTAAATTAGGAGGTAATTTAAATTATAAATTAGATTTCGGATTTGCTAAGTGCATTTCTAATTTTTAAAGAGATGTAATGGAATCTGTGGTTGGAACTCCCCTCTACATGGCACCGTAGATTTTAATGAGAGAAACATATACTAGTAAATGTGATATTTGGTCAATTGGATGCATTTTTTATGAATGCATATTCAGAAGAACTCCTTGGATTGCTAATTCTGTACCCTAATTACTTAATTCAATTTTAAAATACCCGGTTTAGTTCCCCTCTTATATATCTGCTGAGGCTAAAGATTTTATATTAAAATGTCTCGAAGTCGAAGAAGACAAGCGTATAGGTTGGAATGATCTGTATAGACATCCGCTAATTTATTAAAAATTTAAGGATCATGTTGATAAAGTGATTAATATGGAAGCCTAAGCAGAATTCATCATTAATGAGCTAAGATAAATGATTGTTGTTAAATAAATAGATTTATTGGAAACATTTAAAAAGTTGTAAATTTAGGATAATTAATTTCTAACTTTTAAGGAATTACAACTTTTATTAAATGAAATAGATCCTAAACTCACTAGATAATAAATTGAATTTGTTTTTAATATGATTGATGTTGACATGACTAATTAGATTAATTTTTTAGAGTTTTAGAGATGTCTCCAATAACATAGAGTTAGATTAAGCTTATAAGAAATTAAACCCGATATCATTTACGAAAACAGCCCATTAATTTAGATGCCAAAATGGAAAATTGAATTAAAGAAGATTAAGGATAAAATAGAAGAAGAGGAAAAAAGTTTAGTTAAACTATTTAAATAATTTGATACTGATGTCAATTAAGTACTCGATCTAGTTGAATTTGTCAAATTTCTCAGGTAATCACTCTTAAATATATACTCCTAGATCTTTTAATTCTAAAATCAGTAATGAAGATGCAAGTTTGATATTTTAACATTTTGATAAAAACTGTAATGGAGGAATTGATTTTTTAGAATTTAAGTCAACTTTCGAATCTTAACTATGATATTTATTAAAATTAAATATTTAAGCATAATATACATAATACATTTATCAATTTAATTTATTTGATGCATCATACATATTATTTTGTTATTTTGAAATGTTACTCAATATTGTTGAATTTTTAACCTAGTTTTATAAATTGTGTATATATTAAAAATAATGTATAAGAAATATTTTTCTCGCTCTTATATTCTGTCAATAATTTTTCTCAAATTAATACTTTATTCTATAGGAAGAATAAATAAAGATCTTTTTAGTTGCTTATTTAAGAGTTGAATATATATTTGTTATTTTTAATCTTTCAGTGTTTATGTTTTGATAAATAGCAAGAACTACAATAAATGAATTGCAAATAAAATAATAAGATGATGTATTTATGATTGAATATTTAATTATGCCGAAATTTAATCATGATGCTTGTTTTTTTGCTTCCTTTGCTATTTTCTTTTATTCTTCTTTGGTTTTCAATAACTTAAATGATTCTTAGTTAAGCTTTGCCTTTGCCATCATTTATTCTTCAATATTTTTATTTATGGTTTTTGTGATTTTGGTATTCTCCTCAGTGACCATTTTATTATATAAAGTCTAAGGTTTATTCTTTTTGATTTTATGCTCTAAGTTAGATAAAATCAATACTTGGTTTGTCAGTTTTGTTTGAATTTTTGTTTTGTTATTTACTTTTTTTTTTAAGGAGTTTTTAAGCCATAATCAAATTCGTTTTTAATTATTTAATAAATGAAAATCTTGGTGCTTTGTTTAATAGCATTAGCTATAGCAGACAAATTCGATCAATTCAGAGCATTTGATGAGGATGAATTTGGTAGAACATTGATTGATACATTATAAATGCAAATGAGTACAGGTGAACCAATTGCTCGTTTTATCGAAATTATGAGAAACCTTGAGACTTCAATTGAGAATGAATAAAAAGAAGATGATAAAGCCAATAATGAATATTAAAATTAATGCACAGAGGACATCAAAATTTTATAATAAGAAAGTGCCAATTTAGAGAGAAGAACAGTTGAAATTCAATCAATTTTGGATGAATTAGAACCATTAAGATCATACAAATAAGGATAAGCTGATGCTAAGAATGCATGGAAAGTAGAAACAGAAAAGAAATTAGCTGATTTAGTAAAGAAGAGAGAGACTGAAAAGGCTGAATTCGATAAAAAAGTTGAAGAACATGATTATGCAACATTTGTTATTGAAACAGTTAGAAGAATGTTTTCTGATAAAAGTTAAAGTTTCTTATAATTGAATAATGAATCATAATGGCAAAAAGTCAGAGATTACTTTATTAATGCATCTGAATAAGCAAGTATATATGTTTATAATAAATTTAGAGAAATTTGAAATCAAGAAGAGTTATTCTAAAATGTTTAATGTTTTAGCTGAAATTGCAAGTGCTGCTTAATCTGAAGATTTCTAAAATTCACCTACAGTAAACAGAATTGTCAATCTTTGCGATCTCATGTTGAAACAAATTGAAGATAGCAAAGCTTTGGAAACAAAGGCTGAACAAAAAAGATTGAATATGTTTGTGTTAGAAAAGGGTAACTTTGACAAAGATTTAACCAGCTTAAATAATGCTCTTGCTTAATTAACTGCTGCTATTTTAGGATTAGATAATAGAATATAAGATCAAAAGAGAGATTTGGCAGATTATAATGCTAGATTGGCTGCCAAAAATAAATAAAGCGAAGATAGAGGAGGAGAATGTAGAGAAAAAGCTTACAATTATTAATTAACAAGAGAAAAGAGGTAATTTATTTATTCATTTGTGTTTTAGAGAATAAAAAAGATAATTAGTCTCATAAATCATTGGTGCATTCTCTGCTAATCAAAGAGACTTTGCAGAATATGTTAAATTAAGAGGATAAGCTGGAGATTTCAGAGGAAAAAACTTCCAAATTCTAGGCAATCCAACAGAAGATTGATTATGAAATGTTCTTAATATAAACAAATACCTTATATTAAAATTCTGGGCAAATCAGATTTTAAATAATCTATTTTGGTTATTAATTTTGATTTGAGTTATCATTAATTTATGATTTAACAATTAGGAGCCTTATCATAAAAAATAGAATCAAGAGTTTGTAACTTAATTAAATTCAGATAACATAGAATATTAACAATTAAAGTATTTAATTAGCTAATACAAAGAAATTAGTGAGACTTTCATCTTTTGAAACAAATTAAAGGTAAAGAAGATATATTTATTATAATCTTGTAGAATAGGACATCTTTAGTACTTTTAAAAAAGATAAATAAGATAGCAAATAGTTCAATCAATTATCATAGAAATTTAATTTACATGTTATCCATGTTTTCAAAGAAATCAATAATAGTTTATTTAAGCATGCAGATTTAACAAAAAAGGAGTAGGATACTATTAATAAATGAAAGAATAGACTCAATAAGTAAAGTAAACGGATTAAAAACTAATGAATTTTATTATAATAATTTTCTATTATAATTTAATTTTTAATATTTTTTAAATTTTATTGACTTTTCCACACTTAGTATTACAATCACATAATTTAATAATTGTTTTTGATTAATTATATAAAATCCTTATTGAAAAGTATGAAAATCAATGATGATCTTTAAAAGGAATTAAGCTTACAAAATTTGAGATCTTTATAAGAAAATTAGGAGGATACTGTTTCATCTGAAAATTAAAAAGCTTCCTTTCTTAAATGCATAGTCCTTATACTAGGTACTGCTTTAATGTTTGGAAACAATTACTCTTTTGATAATCCTCAGGCTTTGTAGAGTTAATTGATTGAACAATTAGACATTACCATCTCATAATTTAATTTACTGTATTCAGGGTTTGCATTCCCTAATATCTTCTTAACTTTGGTTGGGGGAGTCATCACTAACATATTAGGTATGATTTACAAATGATTTTCAGGAGTTAGAACGGCTTTAATAGGATTTGGTCTGGCTATCGTGATTGCGTAACTCATTATATCATTTGGTGGTTTATATTAAAATTTTTGGGTAATGTTAATTGGTAGGATTATTTTTGGTACTGCCTCAGAAAATCTATTGATTGCTTAAACAACAATTATAGGAAAATGGTTTAGAGGGAAAGAACTTTCTACTGCAATTGGATATGTTATGGCAATACCTGAATTTGCATGCGGATTGAATTCGTTTATTACTCCTATTATATACAATTCATTTGGTCATTTAGCCTATCCATTGTTCTTCAGTGCTTTTTTATGTTTTCTATCTTTCATCTGTGGAGTTGCCTTATGCATCCTAGATAAGAAGAATGATCAAAAATAACTGGGTAATAATTGCAATCAATAATTTTAGAATTGAATCAAGAAGTGCATACTAATGATAAGGTGTCTTTTAGTGATATTAAAAATTTTACTCCTACTTTTTGGACACTTATTATTGTATGTGCTTTATAAATAGGGTCTTACACACCCTTTTTAGATAATGCAAATGACTTTTTGCAGTAAAAATTTGAATTTACATATCTCCAATCTGGAAGATTGTTGACTCTAACTTATTTGGCAGCTTGTATACAGTTTATTTAATTATTTAGCAATCTTAAGTCCTCTCATTGGTCCATATGTAGATTAAGTTGGCAAAAGAAGACTATTTATATTAGCAACATGTGTTAGTTATATTCTTACTCATTTCCTTTTTGGAATAATGAAATCAAATCATGAAGGAAATCCTAATTATGTTTCAATAATTCCTCTAATTTTATTAGGTTTATCCTATTCTATGTATTGTTGTATCATAATTCCTACTGTTTAATATGCTGTACCATAGAGAGTAGTTGGTACTGCCTTTGGCTTTGTTGGTATGTTTACAAACACAGCAATGACTCTTTTTCCATTAGTTGCAGCATAATTGGTGTAGAATTCCTTAGATGCAGAATAAGGATATTCATTTGTAGGATATTTCTATTGTGGAATTTCAATAATTGGATTGGGTTTCACTATTTCACTTTATTATTTTGATACTCAACATTCTTCTGTTTTAGATTTTGTGAATCCAGAATCACCCAATACTGAAGAGTAGGAAATGTTGAAAAGTTAACAATAGGGTTAGAAGGAAAAGTTGATAGAGATTTGATTAGTGTAATTAAAATGGGGATTACAATATAGGCTTGATTTTTAGAACATGTTAATATATAATGTAACAAATTAATTAATTTTGTTGGTGTATATTTATAATGATATATAGAATTTAATACATTTAAATATATCATTAATCTAGTGATTGTAATGAGTCATAAAATGTTTAATTTTATTTTTCATTTGTTCTTTTTTTAATCCATGAATTAAGAAGATTGTTTGATTTTAAAAACTCCAAATTTGTATTCTAATTAGCATAAATTTGTTTACAAACTATTATTGCTTTTACTATTCACTTTGCATCTAATCAAGAGGGGTCTATAACGGAGTTTACCACATGTTTTACTACATTTGTGGTGTTTATTAAGGTTGAACACTTGGGGACATCTCTTGATATGGACTGCGAATGAGTAATGGTGACATGCCCATATAGGCATTATTGTTGTTATTATACATATACATTGGTTGGGCAGGTGTATAAACCATAGGTGTTTAATTGATTTATTGGAAAGGGGAAATCATATTATAATTGGATGGGTAATTCTTAAAGTATTGTCCCATTAACATTTAAACAGGGGTCTATTGAATTTATTAAGGAATTTCTTCTTAGAATGGACGAAAACCTTGATAATGAACTTAATTTTATTATTGTTGTTATTGAATAGGAGACATTTGAACTTATTTTAATCTGAATTGATCATTCTTTAGTTCTTCCATTTGTTGAAGTTAGGGTTGAAAATAATAAGATAGGGTATTTGGCGTTGATAAGTCTCTCTTGTTGCTTTCATTTAATGATAATTAGGGTATTTAATATTATTAGGACACTATTTTTTATTATTGATCCAGTTAAAAGGATGATTAATCTAATAATTATTCATCATTTTATTTATTTATTAATTATTCTTATTATTGTTTTTATTATTATTACTATTGCTATGACTACTTTTATTATTATTATTACTATTGTTATTATTTATTTTCCTTTAATTTTGTCTTTTGAACTTATTAAACCTTTTATTATTATTAAACTACAGGATCATGGCCAATGTTAAGGAAATCCTTTATCTGGGAACTTATCTTTCTTCTTTTAGTTTAGGTTTCTTAAGGTAGAATTGGAGGGGCTTCTTGAATTTTGTCTTTGGACTTGTCTCTTAGATTGAATTTTAATTTAGCTTATCTTGAATATTGAGTTCTAATTTAAGGTTCTTCCTTTTGTGGTTCTTACTCCTCCTCAATGTTTTATTTATTCAAGTACTCTTTAATTGCTTACAATTCCTCGATGTCATCTTCTTCTTCATCTTTGTGTATTTTTTAAATTAAACTTTTAAATCTATATAATGATAGCGCTGATTTATACCTATTTTTGACTTAGTTCTCAGTCCTACCTTCAAGCAAAGTGGATATGAGTGACCATCTCTTACCATTTTTGACGACTGTATTTAATAATTGAAGATCTTCTTACTGACTCCAATTAGTTCTATTGTATTTAATAAGTGAGGTTACTTTTTAAGTTTTGGATTCAAGTAGTTCATCCATCTTTCTCTAACCTATTTGGGTGTTCTAATGAATTGCCCATTATTTTGATTATATAATTCAAGTGCAATGTGTGTCCATATATGTTTTTCATCTTACTCACTAAATTATAGATATAAATAAACTCACTGCATGAGTGACTTAATGATTTCATCTTCTTCTGGATCCCAGTTGATACTTTTAGACACTGGATTAATCAAAGTAATCCACCTTTATTTAAGTGTAGTTTCATCAATCTAAAGTATAGATGCCAATTGGATCCATTCCTCTTAGTTTGGGTTTATAGTCTTTTTGTTTTTGAGTTAAAAGAATTTACCCAATATCCAAATAAACATCATCTTGCATTGTTTGTCCCATTTACGTTTGATTCCAGCCTTTTCTTCAGATAATAATCTAAAACATTATTAATGATTTCTATACTTTTAGGCTATGGACTCGAAATGTTTACTATTAGGATTAATGAAATTCTCCTTAATTTTGAATTAGTTACGGAAAGGGAAGGGAAGTTCTGCATTTTTCAAAGTACCCAACTCTTACAAAAACTCATGAAACATTTAATTAATTAATGGTTAATTGGACTCAAAGATTTGCTACAGGATTGATTGGAGGTCCCATAGTCTTGTATACCATCTAAAATTAGTTGGCACTCTGTATCCTTATTAATGGTATATATATAATATCACATTTCTAGTGGTGCTCTATTTGTTGCATGCAGAATTTTAAAAATTGATTTCCAATGTACTTAAACACAATTGCAGTGATTCTGATCGTTGGTATGTAGAAACAATGGCATCCTCCTGGGTATTTAGATTCTTTATTTCTCAATAGTTCATTCGAATTCCTACACATTATTTTATCACTATGGCGATTATGCAGAGTAATCCATTAAGTGTTCATTTACATATGATCATATCTATTTTCTTCTTGCTTCTTGTTAGATTGATGAATTATCTAAAAATCAGCGATTTCTTAAAATAAAATGAGAAGTAATCACTCTTTTTCATATTCAATTTTTAGAACTATTTCTGACAAATTTCCAAGTCAAATGGTTGAAAAGAAAATCCAAATGTTGACATTCTTTTAAATGTCTGCTGATATTGTTTGTAATTAGTATCATTCATATCATTAGAATTCCTATTGTTTGTATATCCTCTCAATTTTGTTCTGATAGTGTTCCAATACAAATAAGCTTAAGCATTGAATCTAATTTGGTTGATATCTGCATGGTAAACTGATAATGGGGCTTTGTTTATGGGTTCTATGTTTGGTAAAACTTTATTTTGTCCTAAAATATCACCAAATAAAACATGGGAGGGTGTCAGTGGAGGTATATTTCTAAGTGTTTTCTCCTCACTCATACTTTCCTAAATGAATTTCTTGTCCTTTATCACTTTGGACGATCTACATACTAAACATTTTCTATTAATTTCATTGATTGTATCATTAGCATCTATCTTTGGAGATTTGATCGAATCCTTCATTAAAAGAGTTGCTGATGTTAAGGACTCGGGTTCACTCTTTCCTGGTCATGGTGGTATTCTTGATAGAGTACTTTGTTATTTGATATATTTAGCTTGATTCTTTGTGCTTTAGTGCCCCTTTTGTTTATCTATACATTCAACTATTCATGCATGATGTCTTAGAATTGGCTTGATTATAAAAGATAAGTATTTCATTATATAATCAATAATATCTAATTTAATTAACAAATTTTATCCTTTATATTTATAAACGAATTTACTGATAATAATATATCAGTATTTGCATCCATCCAATCTTTTGAGTCAATTGAATAAGTAATTTGAAAACTATGTAAACCTCCCTCTATCTCGATTTCTAAGATCTCAATCTCATTAATTCTAATATAATTTAGTATAATTTGATCGTGATCTTGATCTTACAGAAATATTTTCCTTCATAGAGATGTAAATAATTACTAAGATATCAATTAGATTAAACAGCATATTCTCTATATTTAGATTTTATATAATTTTTTTTTTAGTTAAAACTGAGTTTAAAATAATAAAGTTATATTATTTTGTGGTTTCCAAGCTTTAATCGCATTTTTCTAAAAATATTGACATTATATCTAATAAGATAGCTAGATGTAAATTGATTTGTAAGCGAGTAATGGATTGATATTATTAATCAATAAGTAGACTTGTACAAAGAAGATAAATAACTTGGATTGTAATTTGTTAACATTATATATATATATATTTATGTAAAACAATAAAATCATTTACTAATAACCAAAAGAGAAAAGATCCTTCTTGTCTCGTTTATGTTCTTGTTTTGATTATTTCAAAAAGAATCCAAAACAAATATATTAATATCATCCAGAAATCGATACTCCTAAATCTTCATTTATTGTATTAGAATATACTATTATAAATAGGGATAAAGAAAAATAATTGTTTTAGACTTGGATGAAACATTGGTGCATAGTTAATTTGAATATATTGATTAACATGACTTTACAATTGATGTATTTCATCTATAGATAACCCTTAGATTGCTGTATAATCACAAAATTTCAAGGTATATGTGATTGTTCGTCCTGGAGTTAAGAAATTTATAGAATAACTTAATCATTTCTATGATATCATTTTTTGGACTGCAAGTATAAAAGAATATGCAATACCAGTAATGGATTTTATTGATCCAGATGGAAAAGCAATAGAGAGATTATTCAGAGATAGTTGTACGCCTTTAAAAAATAGTTTCACAAAGGATTTAACTAAGTTGGGGAGAGATTTAAAGGATGTAATAATAGTTGATGTAACGATATAATATTGTTTAATTATTAGAATTCAGTATTTTCATTTATTATGAATCCCAAAAATGGGTTAAAGATTAATGATTTTTTTTATGATAAATATGATAAGGAACTAGAATCCATATTGCCATTTTTGATTTGGATATCACAAGTAAGATGTTCAATTACTTTTTAAGTTGTCTGATGTAAGACCAATTTAAAATCGATATTAAGAGTTTTTGAATAGAAAGAAATTGGAGAAAAAGAATGATGAATAACAAGTTTTATATGGATTATCAAAAACTGTTTCTATTCAGAGGAAGAAATTAAATCAGAAGAGTTTCATAAAGACATTAACTGAACATGTAGCAAATAGGGGAAAAGTTGGTAAGGATGATACAAACGAGAGCGAGAAGGAAACCTTTGAAATAATTAATTCATACTGAGAGTTTTGATAATTTTTTTGCTTGTATTAATTTAAAAAATGCAAGATATTCAAGCCACAACTTAAGAAAAAGATAATGGGAAGAATATAGTATGAAATTGAGTCATTTAGGGTAAATACTCTATAAGATCAATGGCCTTACCGAAGATTTCAATTGCAAAGTAACTGCCGTATTTGAGTGGAGTGGATGATGTAAGTATGCCCAAACGCTATAACAGGCAATACTACAAAATCCAATAACCAACCAAAGAAAAGGATCTCATTAATGATGTTAATTGAATTCAATATATTTCTTAGAAGGAAGTCTTCGGTAGTCTGACATCTAATAATGAAGAACTTTACGAGGATCGTAAGCCAAAGGATCTGATAGGTGAGGATGCTTATAGATCCTATTACCATACATTTAAAAATATAAAGAGAATTTTGGAACAGAACTAATTCGAAAATATTTAAAGTATTCATAGATTATCATTGAAAATAGACTCTGTATAGACAAATTTGATTTAGAGATCTGAAAGATTAAGGATTTTGCCATGTAAAATGGGTTTGATCAAATTGAAGGGTGATCGTAATTCACTCTCTATATAAAACTAAAAATTTGGAGACAAATATGTGGAAGTGCTTTCAGAAGGTTTAAGAACACTTCCAGCTATTCAAGATTTCAATTTTAATCATAATCGAATTAAGGAATAAGGAGCGGCATAATTAATGCCTTTAATTAGCAAACAAGCTAGAAGGATTGAATTCTAAACAAATTTAATAGGAGAAAAAGGTTTAGATTCAATTTTGAAAATACTCCCTTTGTAATAATGCAAGTAAATTGAAATATAATTTAAAGGATTCAGATTTTGAATTTGGAAGACAATAATCTAGGAGATCAATTAATAATTGAATTGTGTAAAGCAATAAACAAGAATCTCTCTGTTGAAACTTTGAATATTTCCAAAAATAATATAACAAACACTGCCCATCAAAGTTTGAAATAGTTGATAGAACTCAACGATACACTACTGGAGTTGTATTTGCGTTGGAATTCAATTAAAGGTTCTGGGGGTGCAGAGATCTTCAAAGCTTTATAAACTAATAAAAATATCAAAGTGCTAGATTTTTCATATAATCTATTAGGATGTGGAAATGTTATTGCTCCAGCTTTAAAGGATTTCATTATTGAAAATAAATTCATTCAGCATCTGGATCTGTCAGCAAATAGTTTCACTAAATCAGATTGTGAAATTATATCTGAAGCCTTGAAATAGAACCACTCAATTTATGGGTTTCATTTCAGAGGAAACTTTGGATTTGTGGATTCAAAAGGTTTCTTGATTATCGATTCGAGTATGAAGAATTTCAACTCCACACATATTGAATAGCGAATTAGAGGAGTTATGCCACATCCTAAACCTTATGATCATGCATCGAGATTTGAGAAAGTTAAGGATGTCTGTTGGATATGTGATAACTGGTAAATGGCGACATTCGAATGGATCCCCAGTATGATTTCATTTCTATGAAATAGATTAAAGTGGAGCTTGTGCTGATGAACCAATCTTCATTCATTTTGATTATGAAGGTTATGAACCTATATTCTTAGGGAAACCTGTTGAGCATGGTCATTTCAGGACTCATAGAATGATTCCAACTGGAGATATTGAATACTTTTATACTGCCAATTCTATTTAAGTCGCAAGTCAATCTGTTCCTATAAAATAACACATCGAGAAATTCAGAACTAAAGTTAGCATTGCTGATTAGGTTCTCAATCTCATCATCATTAGGTTGTGAATGTTTTGATTGATGAAACCAATATAGAATCATATCCTAAATCGAAACCTGTCATTGAAGATTGGTATCCCAATTATGATGTTTTACCAAGAACATAAGATCCCATCTACATCCCTGCCAGAAGAAAAAAGTAAAAAAGAATTTGGACATATCCAATCTCTATATGGGCTCCTAAGTATAAATTTGACACTGAGGATTTATTGCGTAAATGCTTTGAAAGAGATTGGTAATGTTGCAAAATTTCTAAGTTTGTTAAAAAGTAAGAAGAACAGGATTAGGTTAAAGAAATTTTATGGTAAGCGTACAAACCAATGAGAGAAACCTATAGATTTTATGCTAGTGTCAATCCTACAGGAGATGTATTTTCAATGTCTGTAAATCCAACATCTGATTTTGTTAATCAATGTCAATTGATTGATTAGAAGTAATTGAAATTGGCTGATGTGGATCTTAAATTTATTGCAACTTGTAGTGCGTCTTCAATTGATTACAAGGGTAATTATAGAAATCCAGAGAGATCATTGGTTAGATACCAAATGATGGAATTTTTAGTGAGAGTCTCAGATGATAAATATATTAGATTCAATCCCTAAATCAATATTGTTTAAGCTACTAAAATGATATTAGAATAATGTATGCCACACATGTCCTAATTTGATTCTCATAAATGGAGAGCAGAGAGATACTTTGTAGAATAATGTGATGATGTATGTAAGAAATATAAGTGGGTTTTTGATTATGTTTATATCAGAAATTCATCCAGAAAGGTTAAGCCAGGTCAAGCACCTTTTATGTGCTTAGATGAACTCAAGGATATATGCAATAAAGCTAATTTATATGATGAAAACTTTGTTGAAAGGGATGTAAATCTAGCATTCAATTTATCTACACTTACATAAATTGATGAATTAGAAAGTGATAGACTATTTTAAATGTAATGGATCGAGTTTATGGAAGCCATAGCAAGGATTGCAGATAAGTACTCTCCTATTGCTATTGGAAAAAAAGAAGAAGTATGAGAATATTTGATAATGCTAGAAAGAATGGACTTATGAGTTAAGATATCAGTAACCTCTATTTTACAAGTTAGAAGCCTTTATGGTGCATTTAATTAATAACTTAGTTGATGAAGAAACCAAAAAGAATTGGAAGTAACCTACTATTTCAATGTTTGATGAGGTTGAAGAAGATGAATATTATTGAATATGTAATATTTGTTTTACGTTTTATTATTTTTATTTAAACACCATCTTAATTAAATTCTATTTAAGTATTAATTTTAGTTTTGCAGTTTCCTCATTTCAATAATAAAGCGAGCAACTTCTATTTGATAAGTATGTTAGAAAAGCAAGGAGAGTGTTCATAAAAAATATTTTGTAAAGTTATTGTTTACAAATGCTTTATCTCTTAGTGGTTATTTTATAAATGAAGTTTATATTATAGATTTAATCAATTAGTAATAAACTAGCGAATTAAAAATTATGATACCTAAAATTATCATAACTCCTATTCAAAGAATATAATTATAGCAGCAATATCGTCTATTCCTTAAGTTTCAATTTTTCAGGTAGCTACAGCTTCTTAAATTATCATTTAAAATGCTCCTTATAGATGATTCCTCAATAAAATGGATAAACTAATTCTGCAATTTTTATTACTTAAACATATTATGAAGATTAATCATCCAAAAATATCCTGAGTCCATCAGAGCCTAATACAATAAATAAACCCTCGGTTTTTACCAAAATTTAAGCCAACACTACTTGATTATTGTAATGAAAAAAAATAAATAAATATAAAATTGTGATTAGTTATAAAATTAGTTTAAAAGAAAATTAGATAAAAAATTGCCTGCTGTCGGATTCGAACCGACGCGGAGTAGGCTCCAGCAGATCTTAAGTCTGCCCCCTTAACCAGCTCGGGCAAACAGGCTGTGATGCTAATTTCTAATTTCCATCTATATAATTATCCTTTCATAATAAATTCTTTCTTATAATAAATTAAAAGTGCAAAGCAAGAAAGTCACTTATTCATTATAGTTTAGTAAATTACAGTTAATAGAATAAATTTATAAGAAACCAGGTTAAGTCAAAGCTTAAAACTTCTTTTATATATTTTATGTTTAGAGAACAAAGCTTACTATAATAAAAAAAAATCTTCCAAATCGAAAAATCAAGAAATGCTAAGGTTGTTTATTTAGCTTTTCTATTATGGCTTGACCAAAGTTAATAAATCAACAATATTCTTGTTTTTAATAATAATCCATGCCTGGCTTGAACTTGTTTTTTGTTCTTTGATATCTAAATATATTTAGAACAAGCTTAAATAATTAATTTCTTTTGAAATTTTTTTTAGTAAGCATTAAATATTTTACTTTCTCCAAAAGTTAATTGATATTTTATAATCTTTACAATTTTAAAGCTCAAACTTATATCTAGATATGTAAACTTCACCTCAGTATTTTAGAATGACAATATTGATTTGGATTTTTTATAATAAAATTAGGAATTATTGAGATCCATTCAAATATCAATTATCCATCCTAATCTTATTTAGTTGAACTTAACATAAAACCATTAAAAATGAAATATATATATATATATATAAAATTGTGATTAGTTATAAAATTAGTTTAAAAAGAAAATTAGATAAAAAATTGCCTGCTGTCGGATTCGAACCGACGCGGAGTAGGCTCCAGCAGATCTTAAGTCTGCCCCCTTAACCAGCTCGGGCAAACAGGCTGTGATGCTAAATTCTAATTTCCATCTATATAATTATCCTTTCATAATAATTTCTTTCTTATGATAAATTATCAGAATGGTGAATAATTCTAAAGAAATTCATTTTAAAATTATATTTTGCTTAATTAATTTTATCTTACAATTGAATTTTCAAAAGAAAAAATCAATGAAAATAGCTAAAAATTGGAAATGTAAATCTACAATCGATAACTTATTCAATATAGTAATTAAGATTTTGCATAATTCATTGGATATTTTTGGTTCTTATTCATTACATTAATTCAAATTGACAATTTGATAGTGAAAAATTTATTTTACTTTTCACAGCAATTCCAGTTTTGAATATTCAAAATGAAAGAACTTAACGCAAAAATTTTAATCGTTGGAAAAATTAGATAATTCTTACAATAAATAGACTTAGAGAAGAAGATATCTAATTTTAATATTATTAATTGAGATAATTAATGATTATTTTATATATCAAAGAAATGAAGAAAGTTGCTATGTATGATTCAATAATTATAGATTGAAAGCAATATTGGTCTTTTTCTATTATTTAAAAGTTTATCATAATGAAAGTTTTAAGCATTGTAATTATAAATAATGAATAAATATAAGTAAAAAACTTTTATTATTCATAAGGATTTATAATAGATAAATATGCTTATCATTTGTGCATTTTTTCTTACTTTCTTGCCTTTTGCAATTGTGTAACTTTATTCTTTGCTCTTATGTAAGCCAAAGCATCTTGGTCAACGTCATCCTATTCTGAAGGATCATTGATTGAATACTCTTCCTCTTTTTGATTAACAAGTGGATTGTTGATATCTTGCAATGTTAATCCATATTTTTTAAGAAAATGCTCCTCGAATTTTTAAACCAAAGCTTATTTAGACTAAAGTGTATAAGTCTATAGATACTTGTATGATAGTTTAATCTATTAAGATAATTTCAGATTTCAGATTTTTGATATTTTCTTAGTTTTATTTTAGTTCCTTTTTTAACTCCTTAAGCTCTTTCAAAGTTAAATATTCTTCTTCATCAATAATACCTTGGGCAATTTCCTATAAAGTTATAACATTTTATCTTACCTCTTAATTTTTATTCAATTGTTTTTACTCAATAACTCCTTTCTTTTTTTCAATCTTAGATTTAAGTTGGATTGAAACTTCTGATAAAGAGATTATGCTATCCTTCTTTTCTTTCAATTGATTCTAATGATAGAACTTATAATTGTTACAATATTTTCTAATATCTGTTGATTAATTGAAGAACCCTCTTTATTCTTAAAATCAGTAAAAGCTTACTATTTATCTACATTAACTATTCTCTTTTCAATAGTAGATTCCTTATTTGGCTCTGTAATTTAACTCTCTTTTCTGATTTCTTATTATGTCTTTTCATCCAATTGTTTGAATTCATCCTTAGGAATATTGACTAAATTCTCTATATTGGTTGTTGGCTTAGCATCCTTTCTCGCCTTACCCAAACCAAATCCATTTTTATTTTCTTCATATCCAACTGGATCTACTGTTTTAACCTAGTCACTCTTCTTCTTTGAAACATCAGGCTCTTTTTCTGCTCTAGGAACGTAATTTTTATTTTCCAAATCTTTAACTAAATTTCTATAGAGATTCCTAAATTGGAAGAATAATTCTTTGACTTATCTTAAGGAATCGATATCAATATCTTCAAGTTCCCCATTCAAAAATTGTTAAGCTATCTATTATTATTTGTATTATTGTTCAGGTGTATATGGTTCATATTATATTCTACCTCTATTTGCCAATGTATCATGCATAGCTAATTCTTATCTCAGATCTTTGATTTCTTTTTCATATTTTTTTATCAATACTTATGGATCCAAATTAACTCTAATGGAGGATTCATTAGTAACCTTCATCATTCTTTATGCAAATTTCAATGTAGATATAGTTTCTTCCAATTAATTTTTCTCCGGCCATATATTAGCAATCATTACTGTCTTACTATTTCCTCCAATTGAATCTTTGAGAAGATTTGTCAATTTGCTTTGTCTATAAGGAATGTGATCCCTTTATTTCTCTGATAATGCAACGACTACTTATTCTAAAAATGAGAGTGATTTATTGATAAATTAGGCTTCCAATAGAGTCCTACCTTCAGATCCTGTTTTCTTTGTTCTTTCAGATCCTGCCAGGTCCACCAAATTCAATTTGCTTATTATAACTTTTTCAGCTGATTCAACTCTAGATCTTATTTCCAAATGTACTGTAAATACACAATGAGATCTCGATGATGCTTTATTGAGTTTATGTTCACTGATTGTCCTATTAGTTTCTCCTTCAAATAATTATGCTATTGCATCTTCTTCTGTTTAGCACTTTTTGATTGTCAACCCTTTGACTTACACATAACCATTGTTGTCTTCCTAGATAGCCAAACCAGTGCTATTGTAAGTTGTTTATACATTTACTTCTGATCTCCTCCAGCCAATAAATCATACATCATTTCGTTATATATCTCCAAATATGAAACTCCTACAGTAATTTATTATTCATATCTGGCTTCTATTTCTTGAAACAATAAACTTATGCATCTTGGCATCATTCCTCTGTATTTATAATCAATCTGAGATCCCATCATTGTAAATGTCTTCCCTGCCCCTGTTTATCCATACGCCATTATTGTTCCAGAATACCCTCCAAGAGCACTGTGTATTAATTCTTTTCCGCATATATCAAACACAACCTCCTGACTTGCATTCTAAAGAACCTTATCAAAGGTAAATCCCCAATCTTCTTACTAATGATTCACAAATCCTTTCAATTGTTAAAACAATATTCTTACCTTATTCAGCTGATTTTGGTATATTGATTGCTATATGTCCAGTATTCTCATTGATATTTATATTTTTATAAGCAAATTCTACTGTTGGTCTTGTCCGGACGATGACTTTTATTGGAGTTTTAACCATTTTTATATCAATAATATATATTATTCTCTAATTATATAATTTTATGAACTAAGCACAATTTTGTTTTACGACTATAATCTGTTCAATAAATATTCAGTATATACATCGTAAATAACAAACTAATTACTCAATTTATATCAATCAATAAATCTTATGAAAGATCGATAGCCATCATTAAAATAGTATATTATTAACTTTAATAAATGATATCATTGTGGCAAAGGAATACTAAAAATTAATTTTACTTCTTGATTGTGGAAAATGGTAAGGTTTATCTGCTTTAATTATTGGATAAAAATTTAAATTTATTTACTTGAAATGAAAAAATAATGATGTGTATTAACGGTTATATAATTGATTATATAAACAATAATTATCAAATTAGTAATACAGAGATATTATTTAACAAATTTAATTCACCAATCCCACCAACTTTTTCTGATTCGAACAACTCCTTTTCTCTCATTGTTAAAATTAGTATCATTAGAAAATCTTACTTTCTTTTAATTTTTATTTTTAAACACAGTATGACTCGATTTTATTGAACTTTTACTCATTGATATACTTCTTTAGGAAAGAGATCTATTCTTTTTTAATATGCTTTTAACGCTTTTTTGAGTCTTATGACTCCCGCTTTGACTTCTTTCATCTTATGAATAATAATCACTAAACATTTTTTCAAAAGCTTCCAACTATTTCACTTTTTTTGAATAAACAGATTTTTATGTTCCATAGCTTGCATTATTACTTTATAACTCCTCTCTTTGTACCATAATTTTCTTTAAAGCAGACTTCTTCATCATATCAGATTTTGGAGATATTTGTTAATCTTTCTATGTTGGGGTTTTGGATATTTAAGATTTCTGAGAAACAGTATCAGCATCTGGCTTTTTAGGTGCAAATTAAGATGTCTGTCTTGGTAAATAAGGATTCGATGTTTATTAATGGTTAGGCACTTCTGATTAGGATTGTTTCATTGAATTTTGGAATGAAAATTAGTTATCAAGTGCTTACTCCTTCAAATTTTATTCTTCTTTTTGTTTCATCTCTAATAATTATTGTTCCTGCAATTTTCTAAGCTCCTCTTCTTCCTATTGTCTTCTTAAAATATGTTTAATATTACATCTATTATATTTTATATCTAATTTCAAGCTTAATATCGTTTTCAAAGCGGTTTTTTCTATCAGTGTGTGTTGGTAGAGAGGCTATTTCTTTAGTTTTAATGAAGCAGGGTTGCTTTTAGGAGACGTAACAATTATTTTCTTCTGCAATTGAATCCTCCTTAATCAACAATTGCTAAGACAAATAAGGATCAGTCTTAGATTCTCTATCAGATTCTTGTCCTTTATTGATTTTGTTTCTAGTCATCATTGTGTATTCTCTATCATTCTCTTATTGTTTGCATATATTTTAGCAAGTACCCATTTTATATTTTTAATGAATATGTAAATTTCAGTTTATTTTATTAAATCATCTTCTAAATTATTTGATTCATCATTTTTCAACCCAGGTCTTTTTGGACCATTTTTTGTTATTACTATTAAACAATAATTAAATTTCTCCAATTTATTGATGTATGATATAACAAACTAGAATTTTAAAATAAATCGAATAAGTACAAGTTAATATACTAAAAATTAAATTATAATGTAGAAATCAAGTGTTGGTCCTAAATTACTGCTCTAACTAACCATAAGAGTAGGGCCATATGATGATACTGTGCCAGATGAACAGTTTTGCTAAGGGTTCGATCAAACTAGCATAATCAAAGAATAACAAAGGTATGATGCAAAAGGAAGACAGATAGCAAAAGGCAAAAATTACTCAATAGAATTTGATAACTATGTCACAATTTGTGTTTATGACCCAAACGATGAAGTCTTATAAATCAAGGAAACTCTTTCTCAAATTTCCAATCTTGATATGATGAAGATTAACTTCAGAAACCAGCATAATATGAACAACAAATAATAATAAACTGACTAATAAATAAGGCCAATTTTGAAAAGAAAAAACTCACCACATCCGAATATCTAGAGATGAGGATGAAATTTGAGTTTATTTACAATTTTGATGCTATTTGTATTTAATTATTCTTCTAGAGATTTTTAATCGAAAAATATATTTGTTTTTTATAACATATTTATTAAAACCAAAATTTGACTGGCTATTGCTCATTTATACTAAAAATTTAGATGAGTTTTCAAAGATGGCTTATTTCAATACAATTTACTTCATATTAAACAAATGGTTAATCAAAATAAATATCACTACTTAGTTAAATATATGCTGAGTTATTGGGGTAATTGTGTTACAGAATATTGATTACTTTTAAACCAATCCTCTTGCATAGCTTCCTCTATTGTGTATCTCTCATTGGGATCAGCACACAATAATCTCTATATGTAATTCTTAAATCCAACATCTGGTTTTTTTGCTTCGAAAATCTTCCAAAATTTATCCCATTCTTTATTTTTTATAAAATTCCAAAATTTATCTTATCTCTATGGATGAGTGCTTAGGAATGGTCGATAACCCATACACAGAACAAAAAAGAGGACTCCCAATGAAAATATATCACACTTTTTTGCATCATAATTCTCATTTAAACCGACTTCAGGAGCAGTATAGCCTTCGCTTCCACCTCTTAATTTAGTATTTGGTTGATTTGCTACTATTGCAAATCCGAAATCACAAAGTTTTATTATGAAATTCTTTGAAATAAGTGCATTTTCAGGTTTGATGTCTCCATGCACAATATTCATTTAATGTAAATATTTAACAGCACTCATTAGTTAATTTACAATTGATTTTATAATTCTTATATCAAGTTGTAGATCAATCAATCTTACAAGATTACCAAATGGCATATATTCAATTAATATACAACTACCATCTGTAGAACTTGCAAAGAATTATACTATGTGTTCATGATTCAAATGATATAAAAGTCGGATTTCCTGTTAAAAATTAAATTTGTGTTGTAAATCCTTAAAACTTGTTAACTTCAATGCATATTCTTTTCCATCACATTTGCTAATTACTTTATACACAATGGAATCAAAGCCTTTTCCAATTATTTCTTTATTATTAAACTCGAAGTTTTACGAAAACATTTACAAATTAAATTGGAAGGGCTTTTAATGCATTTATTATTATATATAATTAAAATATTATTAGTACATAGGTAAAAACAACACATTACAAGTTCTCAATATTTCCAATTAATTAAAAATATTAATTGGAATTCTCATTTTAAGATCAATAATTCAGATCTACGAATAAAGAATTCTAATTAAATTTTATGTGAATAATAAATGTATAATCATTTAATTCAATTAAAAAAATGCTTTAATAATATGATGAACTAAAGCTAAATGTGATTAACAATAATAAATTTGAAATCCAATTGAATAAAGTTACATACTACTAGTGTGGATACTTGAATGTATCCTAAATATGTCTACACTAATCATTCATATGCGATTAACAATATCTTGATAAATATCTCAAAAGTAATAAAGTTTAGGAACATTATCTAATATTATCATAAGTGATTTAATGAATACTGAAAACAATCTTAGACATTTGAATTTTTGATAAGTAAAATTACTTGAATACAAATAAATAACCATATTTTTATATTAAATCTAGTTAATATTTATGTATATGCACATTAACGAAATGGATTTGATATTGCCCTCTATGAAACCAAAAGGAGCTTTATGGTTAGGCAATATTAAGGCTGCTTAGAATATTATGAATCTAAGCAAGGAAAATATTCGTACTGTAATTACAGTAGCTAACAATGTTAATGTCAGCTATCCAAAACATTAGAAAATTATCCATAAGGTATATTGATCAATGTGAGTAGGTTTTTAAAGTTCATGATAAAGAAAATGTTACTATTCAAGAACTGATCGAAATGACAAATGAAGAAATTGAAGAGGCTATGAAAATTGGGTCTGTTTTAGTGCATTGTATGGCTGGTATTTCTCGATCAGCTACATGTGTCATTGCTTATTTGATGAATGAAAACAAATGGACATTTGATAAAACACTCAAATTTGTTAAATAGAAAAGGCCCTGTGTAAATCCGAATGAAGGATTTAAAAAATAACTGATTTCGTATTCAAATGAAATTTAAAAGAAATTAATACCCAAATAAACTTTATAAATTGACAATCCTTTAGCAAAGTTAAGAAGATAATTACATTAATCTCCTGAGGATTTGATCAAATGTACTTAATTAGCCAGATCTCCGAAACACGAGATCAAAGTATTGACAAAGGATTCAACAGAAGAAGAGAAACAATAATATAGATAATAGTTAGCCTAAAAGTTATTTGTTAATACTTTTTCTACAACAGACAGAAATCGATAATAATTAAAAACTGTACATGTCAATAAATCTTCAAATATTAAAGGATATATCAGCATGTACAAATAAGTAGAAGAATAAAAATTGATAGGATTCTTATCAGATCGATTTAATTGAATAACAGTAATGATCTATATTTCAATTTCAAATAAATTCATATAAATATATGATCAACAGTGTCTACTATCTCATATTGATTAATAATTAACAGAAATTTTAATGAAACAATAATTCCGCTAATTAATTATTTTAACAGTTAATTCATGTCTGAAGAGGAGATTGTTGCATGTGATCAATGCAAATAAGTGCCAGATAATTACTTAAGTCTAAATTGTAATCACTGTTTCTGCTTAGTCTGTATGGCTCAAAACTTTCTGAAAGTATTTTAATTTAGAATAATAGGGTGGAAGAATCTTCAAATTAGAGGGAACAGAAAATATTCATTATATATGCACAGTTTGTGAAAAAGACACACCATTGGATGATGGATCAGTATCAGTAGTTGAGAGTATCTGTCATCAATTGATTCAAACTAGTCTTGAGAAGGTTCGGGAAGATTAAAATATTACTAAAGAAGAAAAACCCCTTCAATAGAGTTAAACTATTGCATAGCCTATAGCATAACCAAAATGTGATATTCATACCAAGGAAGATGCAACATTATTTTGTTTCACTTGTGAGAATAAATGTTTTTGTATTAAATGCCTGTTGAGACACGATAATAAAACACATGAAATATAGAATGTGAATAGTTGTTTGAAGAGATTGAAGAGTAAAATGAATGATGCCACTCATACAATAGGAGCATCACTAGAATTAATGCAATTGCAATTAAAAAGAGTTTAAGATTAAGATTCGACTTTGTAAGAGGAGATGGATTATCTAATTTAAAGAGTGCAAGAATAGTTTCAATCATTATATTAAGTGATTCAGAATAAAGAGAAGGAGATTGTAACTTAATTAGAGAATCTCAAAGAGATACAAGAACAACAGACTGAAAAAATGCTCAATGATATTCAGATGAAAATTAACAGTCTTGTTTAATTGAGGAGTGACTTTGAAAATATTGGTTTGAGCGAATAATTATAACCTTCAGTGAGTATTCTTAACTACTATTCGGGATGCAAATAAATAATGCAAAAAGTCATAGGATAAATGAGCTTTAGTGACATTTTCAGCACTGTCAAATATTTTCCAGATAATGGTAATTGAGTATATATTATGAAGATTAATTCTTTAGATATGACGAGTTTGAATTGAAGATGCAGAATTTAAAAGCACAAATTGATAGATTCTTTACTTAACAAAGATCAGTATCTTAGCATGAAAAGTAGAGTAGAATAACTCAAAAATCAGCCATCATTGATTAGTTGTATCTTAGTTAAAGATGTCATACTTAAATGGATGAAAGCACTGATAGTTTTAAATCACATTAAGTATCAACATACTCTAAAATTAACACTCCAATCAATAATTAAAGGAATTTGTAAGCTAAAGTTGAGGAAATAAAATAATTATATTCAGATAGAGTGAAGACTTAATAGAAATTATAGAAACAATAAGAGAATAGTCTGAGTAATATTCAAAGGTCCTTTTCTGAATTAGCTAGTTTCAAAAAATAGACTGCTCTTAGTGCATTAAGATTATAATAAGGCTTGTTTGATTCTAGAGTAACAAAAAAATTATAATAATCTTAGTAGCAATAAATACAAGAATCACAATAAGTTCAAAAATGATATCATTTTAAATGTTTTTTTAAATTTTAATAATAATCCATATATCTACATCCAAATCAGCGAATACAATTGCTTCATCTCATTAGTAGAAGGCATTTCCTTTGAAATCTACTATCAACATAGATTTAAACAACTATCTCTTCAAATTAATAAAAAAAGAATACATATTTGCAAAAATCTTATTTAGACTGATATAATCTTGATTGCTTATAGCAAATTTACTAAGAATTCCAATTAATTATTAGGTAATTATATCTCTTCGATAATAGTTTAAGGAATAATATATATTTATTTCATGGGTAAATCATATTCTTGCTTCAAATACTAATTGAAAATAGAGAGTTATATTGCTCTGATTTGAATTAAATTCATAAGAGATAATATAAAGAGATAGTATATCAAATAGGAATGCGCTTTCTTTTCTTGTTTGTTATAAGATTTATTTATTTAATTAAAAAATGCAGAGATTATAGGGTGCCACACTTAGTTTATGGAGTAGCTTTACTCCAGTTCCTTAGTATGCATTTGCTACTTTGAATCTTAAATAATTGAAGCAAAGAATGAAGTCTGTAGGATCCATCAGAAAGATCACAAAGGCCATGAAGATGGTTGCTGCTTCAAAAATGAAGTAGGATGTGTAAAGACTTGAGAATGGCAAATACTTTGGTGTACGTTCTATTTAGGATTTGTTTGCAAATGAAACATACTTGTAGAAAAAGCAATTGAGTTTCAAAATTAATAAGACCCTGTTGGTTCCGATTACATCAGACAAAGGACTTTGTGGTGGCATCAATTCATCAATTATCAGAGAAACACGTTCAGTGGTACGTCAAAATCGTAATGCTTTCAAACTGTTCTTGATTGGTGAAAAAGTATATGAATATTTAATCACACTTTTAGTCCCTTGGAGCATTACAAAGAGGATTTCCTGAATTACTCACATAGGCTATCACAGCCATTCATACACCTATCAATTTTGTTAATTCATCATCAATTGCTCATCAGATTTAATAGAATGTCACAGAGGATATTGATTAAATAGCAATCATCTTCAATCAATTTAAGAATGTGGTACAATAAGTGGTCAAGAGAGTTGATTTATTGAATAGAAAGAATTTCATAGCTTAATTCAGATTGGTCACTAAATATGATACAGCTGAACCAGAGAAGGAATTTGTTCAAAATTACATGTATGAATATTATGTTGCAACTGCCTTCTATCATGCCATGTTGAACAATTTCGCCAGTGAAACATCATCAAGAATGAATGCCATGGAGAATGCCTCTAAAAATGCTGGTGAGATGCTTGACAAATTGACACTTGAATACAATAAGGTCAGACAAGCTAAGATCACAGTTGAGTTATGTGAAATCATTTCAGGAGCCTCAGCTGTCTGATATTAAATCAATAATATAGAACATTTATATATTAACAATTAAATCTGTTTTTATGCTTATTATATAAACTGTGTTTTTCATTTTGTTCTGAGAACTTCAGTCTCAATTTTTCTTCTATTTGTCAATTTAGCCAAGTATTTCTCAAATTATTCAGCAGTAATGTCTTCTGCATCATATCCAGAAACATTGTGAATAATTTCATCAATATCCTTTTGTGAAAAGTTAAGATGCAATTCATCTGAAATCTTTCTCAAATCATCCTTATCTAAGGTACCTTTACCATCAATATCCACCAAAGTGAACAGTTATTCTCTCCCTTTCTAATCAAATGTATTGCCCTAAAAGATTCGATACAATCAAATTACCAATTTAGATGTCAACTCTCTTACGAATTCTTCAAAATCCACACCTCCATCTCCATGTTAATCAGAAACTTATTACAAAGTATTGGCTACTATGGGACTCTTCTCCACCAATCCCAATTGTTATGCTGTTATCATTACATCCTTCAAATCAATTCTTCTTGTTCTTGGATTACAATATAAATTAAATAATCTATAAAGTTCTAAGATATGATCATTTGTTAATGTTGTATGATTCTTGACCCAAGGCTTTTAAAGTAAGGCTATCTCGTCTTTATCTAAATTTTATTGATTCATTAAATTTAAGATATTTTTAATAAATATTTATTTTAATATAATACATAAGTATTACAAAATAAGCTATTATAATTACGAAACTCTTCATAAAGGAATCTAATTAATGAGATATCTATTGTTCTAATTTCAAATGCAATTCATGACTCTGATAAAATACTATACATAGATGGTTTTATATAAATAAATAAACTGTAGAAAATACATCCTAGACACAATTAGTTCAAAGAAAACATAATGAACTAAATGAAGGATGGATCATTAAGAATTTGTCACTTAATAAAAATGATGAATTTTATATAAATCACTAGTAAAAATTTTGTGTATAATTTCTAACGTAATCCTATGAATTATAATCCGAGTCTGATTCCTATTAATCGAAGTCTTCAACTACAAAATGAACTTTTCTTGCTTTTCTGATCTTCTTCTAATGATAATTTAAAAATAATTTAGTCATCAATCCTGGCACTTTAGTTATCTCTTATTCTAAATTTGGATTCAGTCTTAATATCTAATCAAAATCATCTATAAATAAACTGTGTGCCTTATCAACTATTATCGGAGATAATATATCACAATATTTTTCAACAAACAATAAGATCTATAAAATATTTGAGATGTCCAATTTAGAAATAATATCCTCTTCACACTTCTATTTAAGATCCATTATCATATACTCATCTGCCAATAACATCAAATCACATGCATCGGCAATATTATCAGGGAACTATCAAGATCATTATTTTATTTAAATACTTCCTTCCAATATCCACTGTATATCCAGCCTAACATCAGTTTAAACAATTCAGATTTTTTGCATTCTACTTTTATGATGCTCTGAGTACTCTCCATTAAATTGGAAGAGAACATTCCATTGAACTTTGGAGATCGACAAGACAATATACATTTATGCAACGGAAGCACCTATATATTTATTAAAGTCTTTACGATCTCATCATTAATCTTTAGAATCACATCGCTGAATATCCCCCCTAGAAATAAGTTTTATAATGATGTTTTTAAAGGATTTTACACCATCTAATTAAACTCATTGGTATGTATCACTTTTACTAAACTTGCAGTCATTATACTAGTTTCAGGCTATGTCATTAATCAATCAAATACTCTAATGTCTCTTCCTAATGATTGAAATCGCAGTTATTTATAATTTAAACCTGTTATACCACAAAATTCTAAACTATACGATAAAAAAGTTCGAGGTTTTGTTATTGGTAGTCTAATTGAATTGTTCTTTAGAATTATAACTTGATTCTTTGATGAATTCATTAAATCTTCACCAGCTTCGAATATTATATCTAACTAATCTGATCCTCTCTTTTTTAACATTAATAATTCTAATATATATAAATAATTTAATAACTCATAATTACTATTTTTATCTATTTATTAAATTAATTTACATGTTTTTACTTGTTCTCCCAGTCATTATTTGAAACTTAAATATTGAATTATTTATTTTATTTTTGATGTGACTTAGAATAATGACTAAACTTATTATCATCACCAAGATGCTGTAATTTAAATGTTCAATAGTGTGTACTTGAAAAGAATAACTTTATAATTTATATTATATATGTGTTGATTTAAATCTACTTAAGTTCCAATTAATCATTTGTCTACATTGAAATAAATATTCAAAAATTATTGAATTTCAATTTAATAGCATTTAGAATTATTGTAGATAATTGAATCATCAAAAAATTCCTTTTATTATTGTTTATAAATTTTAACTCATTATTTAAATTTCAACAAACTACTGCAAAATCATATAATCAAACTAAAATATCATTCAATTAATTGATATTCAAATTTAAATTCAAGTATTTATAATCAAATTTTTTATAATATAAAAACAGTCTAATAAAATTTAATCTCTAAGATTAAACCAAATTCTGCTAATCAATTTTATGAACAATAATTATTCACATATTTATTTGAATCTTTTCATTACATAAACTGTTTCTCATTAATATTATAATTATAATGAATAATTATTTAAATAACAGTATGGGTTTAATATTAACTTCATTATTTTATATACAGATCTTAATGATGTTAATTTTATGAGATTTATAAATTAGAGATTGATGAATTTCAATTTTATTATATAATAATTATTATTTAAAGAATAAATGTATTAATAATCTGTTCCAATGACAAGATTATAAAGGGAGTTTCGTTTGAAACCGCTTGAGTTCTCATCTCCTCAGAAGGAGAACATGCAAAGGATCGCACCGCGATACCCTGAAAGTGCAGATTATAACAGCAACAATGGTAAATATTAGTCCAATTTATCATTGCCTGCATTACCTCTTTTAAAAAAATTGAACAAAATAGAGCAAACGGTTTCAATTTATAAGGGTAAGGCTGCTCGTTTGCCATCTATATAATTTACTTCAAGTGAGTAGTAATTATAAAGAAAAAAGCAAATTTCAGAAATAGAAGGAATGAGGAAATCAATAACACCTGAGAAAAGATTAGGCAAAAGGAATTCTTTGATATTTGCAATGAGAACTAAAGCTGGTTGTTAACCAAATAAAGCAACAAAAATTAATTAAGATGCCGCAATTGTTTGTCCAAAAAATGTTGAAAGGTATTATGCCTTATATTGATAATAGTGTTGGATATAAGATGTTTGCAGTTTGCGATGGACATGGCTTAAATGGTCATATGGTTTCCAATTAAATCAAACAACAATTGCCTAAACACTTAGGCAGACTATTGAAGGATGCTGAGAACATAGAGAATCAGATTCAAAAAGCATTTACAATAACTAATAGGGAATTGTGGAACTCTGAAATTGACACAAATCTTTCGGGTTCAACCACAGTATCAATATTGATAACTAAGGATCTTGTAATTTAAATATTATAATGAAGATTTACTCAGCAAATGTAGGTGACTCAAGGGCAATAATGTGTAGATTTGATGATGGATGGAAAGTTGTTCCTTTGAGTAGAGATCATAAGCCTGATGATCCTGAAGAAAAATAAAAGATTTTAGAGGCAGGGGGACGAGTAGAATAATAAAAAGGTATAAAAGTCAATTGATTAATAGATTTACATGGAAACCCATTAGGACCATTTCGCGTTTGGCTTTCCTATATCTAAGCTCCAGGATTGGCAATGACCAGGTCACTTGGAGATAAAGTAGGGGCTTAGGCAGGAGTCACAGCAGAACCAGAAATCAAGCAATATACTATAACCGGATAGGATCACTTCATTGTAGTAGCTTCGGATGGTGTATGGGAATACTTAAGCAATGAAGAAGTACATTTATATTCAATTAGGTAATGAACATTGTAATTCCCTACTTGGAAAAGGACAATCCCGATTAAGCAGCTGAGCGTATAATAATAGAGGCCACACAAGCATGGAGAAGAGTAAATTTAATTATAAATTTTAGAATAGTTTGGCTAGAGACGACATTACTTGTATAGTTATATTCTTATAAAAGTGAAATAATAATTAATTATAATTAACATATTCTAAAATTCTCTAATGATAATAAGAACTAATCAAAATATAATATATATGTATAGAACTTGAAAATTGATTAAGGTTTCTTATTTAATGTAACTTATCATATTTTTAGTATGATTTTCTCACTTACTCTGAAATTAGAGATTTGGAAGTCTGATTGTATAGGTGTGTAAAATCCTGCAAGATAGATTATGCAAATAAATATAATTTTTATAGAGATATATAATTAATTAAAATGAAACCATCAGCTTAACCTCCTCGTTCAAATTAATATAGGGCAAACTCTCGAGAAGGGAGACTCAATTTTGCTCAACAAGCAGAAATGAACCTTCGCGGAGATTTTAAACCTTAAGTACCTTAAGAGCCATAAAGGCCCGTACAAAGAAGTAATAGTTATAGTCGCAACAATCCGAATCGTCCAGCTACTTAGGAGGAAATAAGATCAGCTTTAACTTTATTAAAAGCAAAGCGGGATAGAGATAGAAAATATACTCAAATTCCATAAGATGTGCCAGATCGAGAGGTTTACTAAGCACCCCCTCTGATGAAGGCTCAAAGTTATTAACCTCAAACAATATCATATGAAGATATTGTAGCTAAGGAGGATAAGAAGCCTATTGAGATTAACGAATTTGAAGATGATGATGAGGAGTTAATTGAGTGTCCTGAGGGTTGTGGAAGGAAGTTTAAAAGGTCTGCTTTGTAGAAGCATATTAAGATTTGCAAGAAGGTGTTTCAAGAGAAGAGAAAAGCGTTCGACACTAAAGAGCATCGAATACTCAATCCTGATCATGCTAAATTATTACAGAAACAAGAGTAGGAAGAATAGATTTGTAATTTATTGCATTTATAGAAGAGTAACTGCAACAATAGAAAAAAAAATAAACCTAAACTAAAATGGATGATAGACCAATATAAGGTTAAAAAAAGCCTAAATGGAAATTGCAATCTGAACAATTCAGAGCAGCAATGAAAATAAATAAAGGAGTACCACTTACTCAATAGGAATAAGTACATGAATCACTAAGTCTAGGTTGCCATCGAAAAAGTGGATGACAGAGTATAGTGTGAACATTGTGGCAGAAAATTTAATGAGTAAACAGCCTTGAAACACATTCCATCATGTAAGGAAAAGTCTATGATAAATCAAATGAAGAAGAAATCTCAATAGATGTTACCACCCCAACAGAATACTATCAAGTCTCAGTTTAATGCCACTAATAATTTCCAGAAGCAACAACAATAACCTTAACAATAAACCAATAACATCAGGAATAACGTTAACTTGAATGGTACAAATAATACATTCACAAGTACTTAAACTGCATCAAGAAGGCCTCCTCCTTCTTCTTCAAAAAAGTATTGAATATAATTAATTATATTTATAATTTATAATCAATGTAAATAATCAACATTCTTCAAGTATTTCATATAACTGCCTACATCGAAATTTGATGCTGTTTGGTTGGCTGAAGAATTGTTGTGAATAGGAATTTTTTGAGCGGACTTAGGCTTTTCCACTTTATTTTTTTGGACAGGCTTAGCAGGTAATGCAGCGGTTTAAGAGAATCCTTAGGTAGTATTTTAAGCTATTTCAGATCTTAAATGAGATAAAGTCTTATGCATTTAGGTTAATTAATTCTTTTCTTATTCAATCTATATTTTATCTTATTGGTTTTAGGTCAACTATTAATGCAATTCAAGTTTTTGTTTTTAGATTGTCTCCTTTTCTTATTAGTAAATTTGTCTAAATTCTTATACATTACTAATTTCTTTATGATAAAGCTACTCCTTTTCATTAATTTCTTTTAATTTTTACAATAATTATTATCTTTCCCCATCTACTAAACCCAATTTTCTTGAATACTCAGCATGTAAACTAGTAACTTAATTACTTTTCATATCTAAATCTCTTTATAAGGCAATGAGTTGCATTTCCTTAGCTCCATTTTTTTATTGTTATTTTTCAATATCTGAATATTTTTGTTGAATGATCTAATTATTTTTCTAAGTAAATTCATGATACTCATTCTTTTGCTATTCAAATAATTATCTTTCTAAATCCAACTGTCTTAATTTACTTTATGCTTGTGAATTCATTTCATTTTTCAATAGTTCAAGTTCATTTCTAAATAATATATTTTAGATTACTTCTATCTTTGTATAAACATGCTCTCTTACTCTAATCGTTTTTTAGTTTCAATTTCCAAGGTTCTTAAGGACTCCTTAATATCTTATAATAGTTATTTCTCGCTCTACAATGATCTCTTGTCTCCTTCCATTGAGGCTTGAAACAATTATTCCCTTCTGCTAATGTCATCTTAAATGTTTTGGAGTCTCCTCTTCTCACTTTCAATGTAGGATTTCTCTTTTTCCAAATTCGTCTCTTGGTCATTGATCTCATTTTACTTCCTTTCTAATAATCTTATCTTTTCTTAAGCCTATTATTCATGTTTTTGATATAATTGATTTTTAAGTGTCTCCAATTCCTTAGCACTATCCTTAATTTTATCTGCGAGATGATCCAATTATTTCTATTCTCCTAATTGTTATCTCATTATTTCATTCTAATATTTTATAAATTTCAAATAGTTACTTCCAATTTCACAGCATCAACAGCTCTCTATTTATCTCTTTCATAATCGTTCTTCAACTATTCTCTTTCTTTAATGAAACTTCTTTCTGCCTCCAATTTTTCAGTGATCACTCTTTGTCTCTCCCTTTTTTCTATTTCTAATTCATCTTGTAGTTTCTATTTGTCATTCCTTAGAGCCTGTGCATCATCTTACAATTTTTCCTTTTCTTATTTTAGTTGCTTAATTTCATCTTGAAACTTTTGAGCATTCAGATTAACAGGAGCACTAAGCTGTATTTCTGGTTGTTTGCTTTATTTAACTGAATAATCAGACTAAACTGATTGCTTTTCGACTTCTATTTATTATGTATTATTTGCAATGGGATCTTAACTTGAATTGATATCACTCTTCTAAGGTTGACCCTTGTTTTACGAGAGCATCCTCATTTTTTATCTTCTACTCTGTCCCATCGATATCTCCATGTTGTTGCTTGTGTCTTCAATTTGTGGGGGAGGTGGAGGCAAATCCTTATTAACAGTAGTTTTTGGTAGTTAGAATAGATCAGCCATTTTTTGTTTTTTTGATTCATCTATAACAGCAGTTTATGGTCTTTGTCTTGGCACAAAGGAAGATTGTCTATCAACAGGAGAATCTTGAGATTTGAGTATGCTATCAAATTCATATGGATCATTAGCTATTTTTTATGTCTCCAATTTCCTTCATTTAATAAAATTCTATTACGGTGGATCCATAAAAGACCTTCTGTTTCTTTCTCTTGTACTCTATGGCTTAGTATCATTGTTAACAATTTGCTCCAATAAATCATCAAAATCCATATAAATAATTAATTATATTCAGATTTGTTAAAAATGGGTTCTAAATTTGTTTGACTGCTCCAAAATGAAATTGTATTTCTCATTCATCCTTAGCAATCTCACTATAATTAATAAGAATTTAATACCATTTAAATCTTCTCTAGAGTTTTTCAAAGGATCAACACACTCCCTAATTTCCTAAGACTAAGATCTTACTGGGCGTTTAGGATGAGCTGATTTCGGAGAATTCCTCGGTGAGATCTTGAAATTTTGTGAAGTATTCATGTTCCTATTAGTATTGGCTGTTTATTTTATCTTTTATTCAGACTCTGTTACTTTCTTGGTTGATTGTCGTTTATCATAAGTTGGTTTTGAACCCATAGAATTTCTATTTTGTTTAGTTCTCTTGGAGTCAATTTAAACAGGTTTTCGTTCCTGTTCCATTACGATTTCTTTGTCCAACTTAGCAATGTCATTTAGTAATTTTTATTTCTTACTTTACAATTATAAATGAAACTATTAATTCTATACATTTGGTTTATTTTTGATAGGTTTAATTGATGGTTAAGGTGGTTAATCTATTGATTTTCTTCTGAAATTTTATGAACTTCTTGATAAATCAATTAATTAAGATTACGCGGTAGAAGTATCAATCTATTGTTTTTTTATTGCACTCTTTATTGTAGTCTATCTAGATTCATAAAATTCATTTTGTTTGTCTTTAACTTTATCTTTTGTTTTTTTTATTTAATCCTAGTTGATTCTTTGTCTTTGACGTTAAGCACGATCAGCTTCATCAGTAACCATTTGACTATAAGTGCAAGTGTTGAGAGTTTTGTCCTCTTCACTAGTTCCTCTTTGGTTGACTGTTGTAAATGTGATAAGATTATTATAGAGAGCACTATCAGCATAAATGTTAATAATCTTAGATGGAGATTATTCATTTTCGTCCGTTGATTTATGAGGACTTATCTGATCCCTTTAACATTGTGTTTAAGTCTATTTCTGTTTGACTCTCAATGCAGAACCATTGGCGAAAGCAGAACTTTGCACTCTAGTCAAAGGAGATGTCGACATATTAAATTAACTTAATTATTATCAATGCAATTTGGATTTATAATGGAATGATGAGAAGGATATCAAGAATTTATAGGTAAATATGTACATTATCATAGTTCTGTAAACAGACTTTATTTTTCTTGTTATCTGCCTGGATAGTAATGAGCAGGAGTTCTCTTTTTGGTTCTGCCAGAATCTAGATACCTCTTCTTTGCAAAGAATGCCAAAATAAGTAAGATGACTCCAATGGCCAGATATGAAAATTTAATTCCACCTCCACTTGCTTTCTTTTGTGTAACTTGTACTTTTTTAGAAGTTACTTAAGGCTATTGTGTTTCATTATCATTCTAATGTTATTGAGAGGCGTCTTCGTTTTTTGTTACAGGTGACTCTTCCTATTGGCAATTGACTTCAATTGGACCCAAATAAACTCTACATTATGTATTATAAATATAATACCCATCCTAACATTCATCTCCTGAGATTTTTCTATATCCCTGACTTTTCAAATAAGTGCCTTTGCATTGTTTTGGTTTGATCTCTTTCATAGGGACACAATTAGAATAGACATCTCTTTTGAATCCAACATCGCATTCCCAATCAGCCTTTGTGCATGGACAACTTTCAGTCTATACTGGTAGATTTGGTTCTTTGTTATAACATTATGCTCTCTACTTTCTTCTAATGTACTTTTCTCTTTTTCCAAATAAACACTTGTCTCCAGCATAATTAGTTGGATACCAGAATTCATAGTCAGAATCCTATTCTCCAGGACTATCAAATCCTTGACATTCTCTAACCATAATCTAATTGATATCCAGTGAAACAACTATTCCTTTTAATGCACTCGATGTAAAATCATCTTCCTTAGCAACTCCAAGTGTTTTGCTGTCAGATATGCCATGAAATATAAACTTACCATTCTTATATACAACATTAGTTATATCCATTGTAATATTCATCTTAATCTTCTTAAATGTTAAACCTTCATCCCAAGTGTATAATATTTCACTAGCCTATTCTTCATCACTCACAAATACTATAAGTCCTGTATTTTCAGCTATATCATATATGTGCATGCCATCCAATATTTCAAACCATGTATGACCTCCATCCCTACTCAAATAAGTCTTGTATTCATTCCCTAGATAGATTCCAGTGTTTCCAGTTCCAATTGTAATGTATGAATGACTAACAATTCTATTCCTTGGTGCTTCACTTCTTCCTAATAGATGTAATGAACAATCTCCATTGCATTAAATAGGCTATCCTTTATAATCATATTTTGGAGCTTTGATAGCATGCCACTCTCCTCCTTATTCAAAAGTGATTCTGCTTTACTTATAATTTTCTAATCTTTTAATCCCGTCTGTATTTTTTGTAGATCTTCTCAACTTAAATTTCTCAAATTCAGTATTATCATAAATATTAGCAATGTATATTCCCCTCATGATGAATTCGAAATCACAATTTCCAGTATCCAAACTTCTGACATTATTTAATAATGATAATGTATATTTAGTACCACTTGTATCACTTTAATATATATTCATAATCTTTGGCATGTCTTCCAAATGAGATATCGATATAAAAATAGATCCATTAACAGTATCCAAAACAGTAAAGGTGTATTTCTGATGATCTTCAATTGGCAATACCAATTCTACTGGAGTAAGACTTCCTTATTTAATTACTTCCAGATCATAGCCTTTGCTAAAAGGATCAGCATCAATCAAAATAAAGAGGTATTCCTTGGTCTAATAAAACCCATAAGAATTATTCCTCAACAACTGTGTAGTTTTGAAATAATCATCACTATAACTAACCTATACGTGGCCTTAATCACTTAAATAGGATGCAACTATTCTTGAATCTGGGACTTCTGGTAATTCAATCAACTTGTCCCAAATAGCATCCCTGGTTCTGTTCAACACTAGTCTCCAATTTGCACCATAATCATTGCTTACATACAATCTAGAATTCAATAAAGATCTCATACTATTTTTTATATTTCTCTTTACACAAATTCCCATTAGTAGCATTGCATCTGAACTCCTTAAATGCCATGAGACTATGGGCTTCTAATGGATTCAATCTGAAATCATGCAAAGTCTTTTCGTGCTTGAATTTTTAATAGGTTTTCCCACAATTCTGAGTTACATAAGAAGTATCAATATCACCTAATATATAAAGTACTTAAGGATCTGCTTCTGATTGTAATATTTCTCTTATGGTTAACTAGAATGAATAATCATTATTTACATTTGATATTAACTTGGGCATTTCAGATGTATAGTTTTTGTATAGCATACCCTTGGCACTGAGAATGAAGGTTTCAGATTTGCACCATACAACTTGTTCAAGTGGTGAATCTAAAATTTTTTGTGAAAACACCACTTGTAGCAATAATAATGTTAACATAATTAATTTATAAACAGAAGAGTCAAATATCTTTTAAGATAAATATATTTATTGAAATAAATGTTAAGTTCTAAGGCAGGAATTGATCATGTGTTACGTTAGTTCACCAACAAGAGAGTTTTAATAAGAGTAGATTTCAATGTGCCCATCAAGGAAGGCAAAGTAAAGAACGCCACAAGAATCCAAGGAGCTATCCCTACTTTGAAAAAGATTCTAGAATAGAACCCCAAGAATGTGACTTTGATGTCTCATATGGGTAGACCAGACGGAAAAAGGTAAAATAAGAGATTAATTTTGTAGAGTTGAAAAGGATTCACTTAAGATAGTTGTTCCCAAACTAGAGGAATTGTTGGGTACTAAAATTAACTTTGTCAATGATTGTGTTGGTTCAGAGGCAGTTGAAGCTTCAAATGCTGGAAATGGATAGATCAATTTATTAGAAAATCTTAGATTCCACATTCAAGAAGAAGGAAAAGGTCTTGATGCCAATGGAGCCAAGATCAAGGCTGACAAAGAGAGTGTTAAGAAATTTAGAAAGGAATTATCATCTTTGGGAGACATTTATGTTAATGATGCATTTGGTACAGCACATAGAGCTCACTCATCCATGGTTGGAATTGATCATAAAGTGAGAGTTGCTGGTTATTTAATGAAGAAGGAACTTGATTATTTTGCTAAAGCCTTAGAAACACCATAAAGACCATTCCTTGTGATTTTGGGAGGGGCTAAAGTAGCTGACAAAATTTAATTGATCAAATCTATGCTTGATAAAGTAGACGAAATGATCATTGGTGGAGGTATGGCCTTTACATTCCTTAAAAAAATACACAATGTTCCAATTGGAAAGTCACTCTTTGATGAAGAAGGATATAAAATTGTTGATGAAATTCTTGCTAAAGCTAAAGAGAAGAATGTTAAGATTCATCTTCCAACTGATTTCGTATGTGGAACTGGATTGGATGCTTCAAGTCCAGTTGCTTTACATGATCTTAAATCAGGAATTCCAGATGGATGGTTAGGTTTAGATGCTGGACAATTGACACAAAGAGAAAATGCTGAAGCAATTGCTAGAGCTAAAACAAGTATAAAATTAATATAATTTAATAGTTGTTTGGAATGGACCTCAAGGTGCTTTTGAAATTGAACAATTCAAGAATGGATCAGTTAGTATGTTGAATGCCTTGGTGAAATAAACATCTAATGGAGCTACAACCATTGTTGGTGGTGGAGACACAGTCAATCTTGTTGGTGCTAATAAGGCAAATGATAAACTTAGTCATGTTTCTACAGGCGGTGGTGCTTCTTTGGAATTATTGGAAGGTAAGATCTTGCCAGGTGTAGAATATCTTACAAATATCAAAGATTTATGATCATAAAATTAAATACATCGAAAGTTATTATTAACAATTTATATCGATTCATGTGGATGATAATTTAAATGAGGAGTATTCCTTTAATGTAACATCACTATCGTAAATAGATTTAAAACATTTATAAATATATGGACATTTACATTTCCAATATTCTTATTTTATTTCTCTGTATATTAGTGATCGCATATAATTGTGGTATAAAATAGTAAATTTAGACATCTTCAATATTAACATAGGAGGGCTGTAAATTGAAATAATCTAAAGAGAAGGAGTGTGTAAACTTTGGTTTTTGCCAAAATTTATAGAATGAATATTTAATAATGATTATGTCAGGTTGATGACGATAGAATGGTTTGATTTTGATTAGAGTTTGGGATTGCAAAAAGGAGTGTTTACAGAATGATAATATCAATGGAGATGATATGGATTAACCTAATAGAGATATTGTCATCACTTGAAGATAATATCTATTTTAATTGCAACAATAAGTTAATAATTTATTAAATCATGTTTGGATTGATTAATCATATTTAATGCATATCATTTTGAAGTGACGGTATTTAATTACGCACAACTCTTATAATAAAATCAGAATAATTTATATTCGAAATTAAAATGACATCATCAAGAATCTTGTTGCTTGTTCTTGTGGCTACAGCATCAGCTTTCACATACAATGAGGCAATTGCTAAAGAGAATGCAGCATTGTCTTTTGCTTCCTATTGTCCAAATGCAGCAATCAATAATTGGTCTGTTGGCTATGTTAGTAAAACTTATCCAGATTTGACAAACATTGAAGTTTTCGAGAATCTTGTTAGTGTAAGACTATTAAATATTATTTTTAGGGAACAAAAGGATATATTGCATATAACAAAAAAGCATCAGCAATTGTCGTTGTTTTCAGAGGATCATCCAATATTCAAAATTGGATTGAGAATATTTCTTTTGGAAAATCCGAATACAACTCAGCTTGCAAATGCAAAGTACACACAGGATTCCACGATGCCTTCGTGTCCCTTAAACCCAAACTTGATACTCTCTTCCCAGGATATGCTACCAAATACCCATATGCAGCTATCCATGTTACAGGACACAGCTTAGGTGGTGCCATGGCCACCTTATATGCCTTATAATTGGCTGAATCAGGAAGAACAGTTAGTTTGTTCACTTATGGTTCCCCAAGAGTCGGAGATCCAGATTTCTATGATTGGTTCACCAAATACACTAAAATCACTCACTATAGAGTTGTAAACCAAAACGACACTGTTCCTCATGTATAATAATATTTAATCAAATTCAGCTTCCATTGTATGCTATGGGATTCTATCATCAAGATAGAGAAATCTGGTATCATGATGGAACTCACACAGTTTGCGCAGCCACTAGAGGAGAAGATAAAACTTGCTCATACACTGTCAAATCTACTTCTAATGCTGACCATAGCACTTACATTGGTTTAAGTTCATCAGTTGATTGCTGATTATATTTACATCAGAAACCTATTAAAATTAATAGTATTTTATTCTTTGATAGAATACCTAATTCTAGGTGTTAACATCAATAATTTAATTTATATATTACTATTTAAACAATAATCATTCATTCAATCCACGATAATGCATTTCAATTCCCTCAGTTGAGTAATTGCTGATCCCCTTATTCTCATATTTTTCGCTTATTATAAAATTTAAATTTTACATGTTCTATGATTTTCTCTTTTTGACAAATACAATTAGAGCAATAATCAAGATGATAATGACTATGCAAACTCCAAGCCATTAAAAGTTAATTGATATTGTCTGCTAAATTTATTCCAATTTAGGATTCCATCTAATTGAATTGGTTTCATAATAGTAGTCTAATTAAATCGATTGGTCATCTTTATACAATTAAACATTCACTATAATTTATTACATAACAAATAATACCAGTCGCTAAAATATTAAACACCAAGGCTCTCTATTATTGGAATTTAGCATTATGCAATGTCACAAAGGCCGATAATGATGTTTCATTACTCGTTAAGTTTTGAACGATAGGGTATTAATTGGATGGATCCGAACAAAAATCAAGAGCTAAATCATCGCCCACGTTTTTTTCTTGTAATATGACAAAGTATTCAATTTGTTTCAACTCAAAAAATGGATCTTTAATATCTTTAGTATTGAGTTGCATTGGGGCGAATTCAATAATTAGAGTTGTAGTATCATCAAAAGAGTCCAAAAGCCTAGGTGTTAGGTATCCTTAAAATCCTGGGAAGAATAAATCATAAGGGACTTCCTCTTTTTCATCTACATAAAAGACTCTTATTGTATACTAGGCATTAGGTATTTAATTATTCAGAGTCTTGATGAGATCAAACTTCAAAAATGTCATATCCACATTCTACATTTTTTCCAAGAATCCAAATACTTGTTTATTTTACCTGATGTCTATTTTCTAATCATATTGACCTTATTTTAAGGACTCATAGTCTTTTCCAGTAAAAACAGAAAAGATTCCATTACAAAATTACAATTCGTAAAAGAGATACATAAAATTCTATTACACAGCCCAATATGAACTTTGATGCAATTCATTTTGTCTAAGTTATTTAATTTTTGGTACTAAAGGCCTGAGATCTGAAGTTCCAACTTAAATTTAGTAGTGTTGGTCCATTTGTGATTAACTTTACAGCACAATCCTATAAACATTATCAATTTAGAAGTATTCATTTTGAATCAAATTGGATAATATTGTCTACTTTATGGGCAGTATTTGAAGTTGTGAGGAATTGCTATAGACTTTAATTATTGGTACAGATCTGTGCTTTGAAATGCTATGTAAGTAATCATGAAATTCCTAAACTTAAACTGATATTGAAAATGTTTTTGTTTGATCTAAGGATGGAGAAAATTCATAATTCATGTAATAATACTCTCTTTCACTCTAGGCTTTGAGTGAAACAAAAACAGGATAAATTGAACTAGATTATGTAATAAATTTACTAGATTTTATTCATCTCCTCAATTTCTGTAAAATACAAAATACTAAAGTAAGAGCTCTATATGGCTTCAAAATTAAGCTTCAAGTAGGAACTTTCTTAATTAGTGAGATTAAATATATTCTTGTAATTGTCTGGTCGAATATCGAGCAAAATTAAAGTAGTAAAATTTTGAACTTCATAGAATTTTTCATAATAATAAGAACAAACCATTGAGCCACTATATACGTAAATTTAAATTGCAGTACTTACACTATTTGGATTTAGAGTAAATGTAACTGATTTGCCTTTTTCAAGGGAATATTAGAATAGAGTTTGAGATTCCAAATATATGTCAGTTTCATCATTATTGATCTATACAGTAACAATCTCAGACGTATAAGTCTTAAGTGCTATTACTAAAATGTTAAACATTTTTAAAGGTTCAGTCTTAAAACTTTTTTAATACCCCATTCCGAAATTATTGTATTTAAATAAAGGAAGATTTTGACTTATAGAACTGAATTTTGCTGATTCTAGGTCTGTCTCATCTACATAGAAATAAGCTGTTTCAGAGTGAGATTAAACAAAGATCGTAAATGGTGTTTCCAACCCAAAGGTTTGCAATTTCAAGAAGACTGTGAATTCAGAATCAACAAAGCTATTATAATACATAACAATTACAATTTATATGGTTGATTTTAGAGGATGTCATAAACTTCCACATTTTGTAGATGATACTGAATTACATATTAGCAATCTGCGTAACTATGAACTCCGACACTAAATAATAAAATGAATAGATTACTAATAGTCTCCCCTTAGATCAGGATCGACAATATTGCCAGGTTCGATTATAAGGACATCGCTCTATAGTTCATAGGATCCCCAATCAAAGTTACCAATATCAGGGAATTTGGATTTCGACACAAATAGGTCAGCATCACAAAAGATATCTGGTTTGAGCATGATCATCAAATTTGTATTGTTTCTTGGAACATGAATTTTATAGTATTTATATTCGTTTCTTATGAGCTATCCAGATTGGATTTCTGATTCCCTTAACATAATGAGTTTTGAATTAAATTGAATTGTGTAGTCAAATATATTGTTATTTGCATCCTTCAAGTCATCCTTATTTACAATGGCTGTTATTTTGATAATACATTTGTCTCTACAATTAAGATCGTGCAGTTCGCTTTAAGAGAAGTAAATTGAAACTTAAGATTAAACTTTATGTTATTTCGAAATCTTATCATTAAGACTTTCATTAGGTTCAGGTGAATCAAGAGTTGTAACTACCTTAGCATATAACTTTAAATCTCCAAAATAAGTGAAGGCTAATATATTAACCTCTTATTCTAAACAATAAATATAGAAGTAATCCTCTCCTATTGGTAATGCTTTTGTAATCGGTTAATCCTCTACAAGTTGAATTTTCGACTTGTCAATTTTTGAGATTAATATTGTATAAAAGGCATCGAATTTGCTTGTCAAAGAGAAATAAAAATATTCGTTACATGTTGCTGAAACAACCTAACAATAATATTCTTGATTTTGGGAAACAATGATGGTACTATTATTTTTAGAATATCTTATATCCAAACCATGCTAGGGCATGATACTGATTTCTAAGGTGGACTGATCGAAGTCATAAATTCTTTTTGTAATCACAAAAGATTCTGTATTGCTCTACAAATATCCGAAACCTTATATATAATTTCCAGTTAAGAAATTAAAAAAGGGTTCATCCTAAAATATATCAATCAAGTAGTTTTATTAATAATAAGCAATCCTAAAACTACCATATTGACTATATGCTTGTTCCAATCTAATCTTCAAATAGAGTATCTCTGGATAATTAGCATCATTAAATTAAATACTAATGATTTGCCCACTCTCCCATATTGCTAACGTTTCATTTGTTTCAGGTCGATCAAATCCAAATATCCTAAACTATCCATACTCCTTTTACAATATCACATTCAAAGAATCCCTTTTATTCTGATCATACCCTTTCAAATCTATTTTATACAACACAAATTCTTCATCAACTAGCGAATGTTGTTGTTAATCACCTTAATACAATTAAATATAATGCCACGGGAATTTTCCAAATTACTAAAAGTCCTAGAAATTTTTGATGACCCAAACTGTTATTATAAACTTTGAGAATGATTGGCCATAAATTGATAGGTAATAGGTTCCTGGTTAAGGCTAATTACCAAATCTACCTCCAAAATTAATTGAATTATTTTAGGAGTTGTATTCGTGATGCTGCTCATTAGGTTGTTGATAAGTAGTCGATATATACATAGTCACGTCTCCTTATATTGGAGTGACTAAAAAATGCAATCTCTGCATTTACTCATTTTCAGATACGAAAAATTTGTAGTATTAATAATTGTCCTTTTCCACCTAAGATTTATGTGGGGTATTTTAAATTAAAATCATCGTTTTTTCAATTACTTTGTATTGGATCGTAAACTTACCACTTTATGTACTACTCTTATCAAGCATAGCTAAGACAATAAATCCACACATGCCATCACAATTTAACAAATACTATGCTTCCTTTCTTCTATTTGAATATAACATAGTATATTCAGTCATCTGTTCATATTTGTCTTAGTTCGTGAATAATTCTTCAGTTTAAGGACAGATGGATTAATCTATACATGAAGTAGTTAGAAAATTTATGATTCCCTGGTGAGTGTGTAAGTTAAGTTAAAAATAATGACCTTCATTTCTATAATCAAATATATCCACAATGGTGATTTATGAATCTGATACAATCTTCTAATAATTGATGCCAGGCAAAATAGATCTTTCGAATACACATGTTAGTTATAATTCATATGTACATAACTCCTCACCCATCACAGCCAAGTACAAATTGTTTAACGTGATGTTTTTATTCTTCAATTCCTATTAAGTGATGAGTATAATCTCGCCATTTTTATTTTCCTCTTACCATTCATAACTCTCTAACAGAGGTGGCTATTTGTTATAGTGAACATACAATTTTGCATAACCTTTAAATGGAGTCAATCGAACCCCCTAAGCAAATAATAAAATCAATAATATACTAGATCGCATTTCTGGTCATGCGTAATTTGAACTTGATAGAAATCAAAATCTCCCTTTTCAACTACTTATACGATTGTTTCATAGATGTTCAACTATTTCAATTTTTCACTCTTAGTTGCAGACACTCTCATAACTGCTCCCTATTCTCCTTGAATTAGGATTTTATACTACTCAAATGGCTTTTGTTAAATAAATTCAATGACTTTTTAATTCTCCCATGTATCAATAGCTTTAAAATCATACTTACTATTGGTTGGAATCCCATTCTCTTATTTATTCATGAAAACTTAAAATGGTTCTTCTAGATATTCCTAATTCACCATTTGAACATTTATCTCAATCTCTGTTTCTTCTGGAATCAATTCAGGCAGCATAAAATCTATGATTTACGATTATTTTTCGTTTGTCAATTTAAAAGTTAAGAAACCATCTAACTTAAGTATTTATTCCTAATCTAATTCTATTCTTAATATGTATCTGCTGGGAAAACGAGAAACTACAGAAATGTATAAGATGTCATTTTCCATAATCTTTTCATTGTTTATTACACAGATATCTTATATGAATGTAAATTTTACCCATTCCTTAAGCTTCGCATGCTTGTACGTCAGCATCCTCAACCGACAATGGTTCTTGCACTCTCTTTGAAATGTATAAGTTAGGATCGGAATTAGGATTCAAAGTCTTAAGTTGAAGTACAAGATCTGTTTGATTTTTTAATTCAGGAACATTGAATAAATAAACCTGATGATTCTGTGTTCTTGGTGAAACAAATCTAAATTATTGCTTTTTATTACCCTTGCACTGATTCCCCCAAAGTCAAATACTGTTTTGGCTTACCATCCTCTTGGCTCAATGCTAGATAGAAAAGATAAAATATTTATATCATAAGCATAATTAAATTATTATTTTCTATCTTTAGACAACAATTAATATAAATTTACTCTGACTACAAATCAATATTAACATCGAATTTCCTAGACTATTTCAACAAAATATAAATCAATTTGCCATTCAGTTTAATTTATCAAACTTAGTAGTCTCCTTCATCTATTCAGCTATTTCTAACAATTATTTCCTGATAACTGCTTTATTTTTGAAATCACTCTCTCGCTAAGCTTAACGAATTAAATTTTCATATTTTTCATTTAAATTCTTTAATTTAGCTTCAATCTCACTATGTTATTGAGGTGATAGTGGAGATATTAATCTTTTTCTTGAATCATACTTTTTATCAGGACTACATCCTGAATTCTTCATATCCACTAAACAATCTCGAATTGCTTACTTTAATTGACTCTATCTTAAACTTTGATCATCTCTGGGACTTGGAAGTGTGGGAGAGATTTGATCCAAGTTTAATTTGCTGATTGTTCTCTATTCTCTGTACCCCTAATTAAATTCTGTTTCTTCTTATTAAGATATTCTTCTTTTTAAATATTTGTGACTCTTCTCCTCTTATTCCAATTTTATCTTAAGAGACTAATATTTAACGTTTAAATCTTTATAGTCCATAGTTAGTTATTAGATAATATCTTGATACTCAGAACTCTTCACACTCAACTCTTGAATTCTTTTAGCCATTTATTCTTCTCTGCAGAGTCTATTAGATTGAGCTTCATCAATATTTTTTAAGTAAACTCTATCTTTCTCATCTAATTAATATTTGAGATTCGATATTTGTTTTTCAAATTCATGCAACTTAAATGTTGAATGCTTTTATTTGTAATTATCAAAGTCTTAATCAACTTTTTATTTCTCTAATTCTAAAAATTCTACTCTTTTTTCTAGTTTTTTAATGATGTTATCCTTTATATCGATCTTTTGCTTATATTCCTAAACTGTATTCAATAGTATTGAATTTTCTTCGAATTTCTTCATCTCAACTTTATGCAACAACCCTTTTTCATTATTTTTGTATGCCTACAATTATCTCTAAAGACTTTCCAATGACATTTGGATTTCATGTTTATCATGTTTAAGCTCTTCATTCTTCCTTATTAATTCTGATACTCTCTCTTGATAATCCTTTAGGTGTTATAATCTCTCAACTTGTAACAACTCTATTTATGAAGTGGCTCTGTTGTTCATCTCCATTTCTTAAGAAACTTTCATTAATTGCATTTAAAGACGATCATTTTCAATTGACAATTCGTTTACTTATTACTTAAGTTATTCAATTATGATATCTTGGGGAGACAAATCAATTGATTTCCTATAATTGTCATTTCTCAATTTATCCTGCATACTCTTCATAGCTGAGGCATAAGCACTACTCATAGTTGGAGAGTTCGAAGAAAATGCTCTTTATGATAACCTTGATTCCCTTGATTGCATTAAAATATAATTTTATTGTTTATGAATATATATATATTCAGGGTAATTTTTCAACATACTCCCTATCAAATTCCTTTCTCATATCTTAAAGAAGTCTCTTTTCCATTTCCTGTTCTTTCTCCTTTAGCTATTTGAATTGTAAAGTTAGATTAGGTGTTGCAATTTTCCTGTTTTTGTAGAGATTAAATTATTTCTACGTTATCCTCTTCTTTAATTGAGATGTCTGCTGATTGTTATCAAAAACTACTTCAAATTACTAAGTCTAATTTTAGAAATGTTAAAAAGTTGATCCCATATGCAACTTACTTGATTTACTTCTATCAGTAAACACTTTTGCTGGTTAATTCTCCTTTATCTTTGTAGAAGATAATTATTTATTGAATTCTTCCAAAATAGGTTGACTTGTATCTCTATGTGTGTCTCTACTCATCTTTTACGTTTTTATTGTAGTTCTACAATCTTCTAAAGTCATTGGTCTTTATATCTCCTACCCATTTGTGATCCTACCTATTGATAACCCCTGCATCGATGGGTCTTATAAATCAAACATAATTTACTTGGTTTCTAATGCAAATGCAAGGGCATCAATGGAAATTTGTTTTTCTACATTTGAACAATCTCCTTCAAAACAGAATGATAATCTTCATCTTCTATTTGGAACTTGAATTGGATTTTTGCTAAATTCTAATATTTTTTTTTTGGTTTAGGTTCCTCTATTTCAGGCACTTTGTAGTGCTTCGAAGCAGTCGTAACTAAAAAATTCTTAGCCTTTAGTTGACTCAAAGATATCATTTCATTGTTAATTGGTTGAATACATGAAGCTTGACCGAAGGAGTTGATCTTATCAATAATATTTTAATTCATGAAACTCATTAATAACTCTATAATATAGAACCAATATAGGCATAGATATAATACAATACAGTTACACAATTAACAAATCTGAGCAATATGTAGAATTCATTAGTCCATTTCATACAAACTTGGTTATCATAAAAAAAATTATTACCTTTTGCAAAGTTCATTCTCTTTCAACTCTATCCATTGATTCCTTTAATACAATTAAATTTAATTTCTAATCTGATGCTCATATATTGAAATCTATTCTAATAAAAGAATCCTATATAATAAGTCATATTTAATTGCCGTTACTGGAGTAATGGTATAGAATTCAAATAAGATTATTTAATATATATTTGATTACTTTTTAGAAATCAATAGGCTTAATATTAAATAGAATTATTCTCCTAATTATGTAAAGATAAATTAAGTTGAATGAGTTTAGTTTAAAAGTCAGCACAAGTTATAGACTTTTATATATATCATATCTCTTTTTATAAATTAATGAAATTAAGTAAATTAAATATTACATCCAAATCCATCTGAAAAACACTTTATGTAAGTTAATTATTCAAGTATACTAAATTCGAATTGTTTAAATATCCTTGGAAAGCTGAAGTCTAGCTTTTGAACTCAAAATTATGAATATTATGCAAACTTCAAATATTAAAGCCTAGCATTGTAAAGGTTTAATTGTAATACTGAAACATATCTTAAGAATATCAATAACTTAGAGTATGTTATTATTAATCATAATATTATTTAAGCTTAAATCTTTCTTATCCAGCACAAACTAAAATTAAATTTAGATCAACTCCACCAATCCTACTTCTTTGCTATTTATAAATAAAATGAATAATTATAAGATTATTCAATAAATAATTTTATTGGTAAATAAATATTTTTAGAGTAATTAATAAAATAATGACTAAATAAATTTAATATTAAAATTTTAAAAATATAATAATTATATAATATAATTTTATACTAATTAGTAAATTAATCATACATCAATAGTGAATTAAGAAATCTCCTACTTACTATCAATTAGCCAAGGATGACTAAGGGCCTATCTTGCATTCATTCTATATTTTGGATCAACATGAATGAGATTTTTTATGAAGTCCCTTAATTCGGATGAAAATTTGTTTGGGAATCTAATATTGCCACTGATAATCATATCCTGCATTTCTTGATATGAAAGGTCTTCCCAAGGAGTTTCTCCAGTGCATAGTTCATATGCTAAGACTCCCAATGACCACATATCAGTGCTTTTGTCATAGGTTTCTCCTTTGACAATTTCAGGAGATATGTATGCCAATGATCCACATTGAGTAGACCTTTCTTATTGAGGAGAGTAGATTGAGTGAGTAAAATCAGCCAATTTAATTTGATTGTAGCATAGAAATATATTTTCTGGTTTGATGTCTCTGTGAATAATGCCATTTCTGTGAAGATAGTTAAGGGCCGAAGCTACTTGTTTGATGTAGGATGCAGCCACCTTTTCAGTAAAACAGGTTTCTGGTAGTGATCTCAATAATTTATGTAATTGTCCATGACAACAATATTCTAATACCAACACAATTTCAGTGGCTATGATATAAGATATAATAATAACTTGTGTGAAAGAAGGTGTACAGTTTAACAATATTGGGATGATTGAGGAGGTATTAAATTTTTAATTCCTATGCAATACTCTTCCAAATTGATGAAATTTATTCTTTTTTCATTATTTTAAGTGCGACATGTATTCCAGTATTGATTTCACAAGCCAGTTTGACTTCACTGTATTTTCCTTTGCCCAAGAATTACAACATAGTATAATTGGATATTTGTTGTGCTTTAGGTAAAATAGTTTTATTGAGCATTTTCTTGAATGTCTATTGTTCAGGTTCATAATCTCTAATGTGTAAGACATTTTTATTGATTTCAACCAATTTTTGACCTGAATTGGCATTGGAGCGTATTCTTTTTTGTGGTTTCTCATTTTAAGTGGGTTTCCTCTTGATGGTTTTGAGTAATTGTTCAATCAGTTCCTTTGAGTTGATTTTTGGATCTAGTATGTCTTATTGAGTATGTAGAGGGGAACTGAGTTTATTAATTAAGGTAATTCTATTCTATGAAGCAGATCTCGAAGTTGATATTTTATGCATTATTATATTAACGTTTAGAACACAAAACTAAAAAAATAAATAAGAATTCAAGTCCGTATTAGAAAATCTAAGCTTATTTTGTGATCTTCAGTATTGTTCAGATCAAAAGAACATACTTTATCAAATTGAGTTTGATAGAAGAAGAGCTGATTGTGCATTAATTGAAATTTAGAGGCATTAAATAAAGTTTGTAAAAAACCTAGTAGTATTAGCTTAATGAGATTGAATGGGAGATATGAAATTAAATTTACTAAGAGAATGGTAGAGTTTTTGATTTAAATTGAATTATTTGATTCGGCAACAAATATTTATATATTGTGCAGGATCTTCCAAAATTCATAAGTAGTTAAACATATTGAAATTCTTAAATCAACTTAATTTTGATAGGAAAATGATTATTTAATTTATGGACTAAGAAAGTGTTTTTGATCTATCATCAACTTTAGATTTTCAATTGGAAACGTTACCTTTCTACGGAGTTCGAGGACGTTCAGAAGAATTGAGTGAATTGATTAAATAAAATCTATAGAACAACGTAAATAATAATAAGGGGTTGTTCACTAATCCTATAAAGTAGTTGGTGAGCAAACAGAAAAATAGATTTGTTTAGGGTGGTTTCGATTTAGATTTGTCATGTAGATTCTTAGTTAACTTTTAGATATCACTGAATAAATAATAGCTATGGGTTATCCTGCAAATGACTATGAAGCTATTTATCGAAATTCTATGGAAGATGTTTAAAAGTTCTTTAATCGGAGACACAAAGATCATTATAGAATTATCAACCTATGTTCTGAGCGTAAATACAATCATGCATATTTTGATGGAAATGTGTCAGAATATCCGTTTGAAGATCATTAAGCACCATAATTCAGCATGATTTTTGAATTGTGTAATGAAATACACAACTTCATTTGTTAAGACAAGTAGAATGTAGTTGCCATTCATTGCAAAGCTGGTAAAGGTAGAACTGGTGTTATGATTTGTTGTTATATGCTTTTTTCAGGAATGTTCAACAACAGTTATGAGGCTATGCGTTTTTATGGCATAATGAGAACAAAGAACAAGAAAGGAGTTACGATACCTTCTTAAATTCGTTACATTTTGTATTTTGAAAAAGCGTTGTCATTTGGTTTCGAAGCTCAAGATATTCCATAAAATAAAATTTAAATATCATAAATTAGGTTAATTACAATACCAATAATGAATTGTTAAAACTCATGCAATCCCTATATCTTAATACAAAACAACTAGTCTAAAATACTTGTTTCAAAGTTTCAAATTGTGAAGGACAGCTTTATTATTTTTATGACTGATGCCGTAGTCGAAGGAGATACTCGTATCATATGTTACAATAAATCTTTACTCAGTAAACAGATCATGTTTTAATTTTGGTTTCATACTTCGTTTCTGGATGATACTGGTCTACTTATTATCGATAAATACATGTTAGATAAGGCAGTCAAAGACAAAAACCATAAGGTTTTTTCACCTAATTTCAGGGTAGAAGTATAAACTTTTACATTACTAAATTGAATTTATACTAATATTAATATGAAATAAATAGTTTAATCTGCAAGACTTCCTTCGTCTCCAATTTTCCATAGAAAAAAGCCTACTGAGCTCCAGAATCCATTAGAACATTTAGTCAGAGTACAATCACCTTGCGGAAGTACAACAAATAATGCATTTGGAAGATGTCCCACAGTGAAGACTTTGAATAGTGATAGAGATCCTGTTGAGATTACTATAACATTAATGGTGGATGGTTAGAAGTAAAAGGAATGAATGAAAATAGATTGATTGTACCAATTGGAATAAATCAAAGCACCACAGATTTATATAAGAAATTAATAGCGAAAGTGAATCAAGTAAGCCCTGCAATAGTGCATTAAATTAAACATTTTTAAACTCATAGTAGCGTTAAGAATTACAATATCGATTACTATTTATCACTAGAGCATCACCCGTTAGATGTATTCAAAGAATAAAGACATTTGAAATTAGAACCATTTATTTCAAAAACTGTTAATACTTAATTAAGCATCGATGATTTCGAAATACTTAAATGCATTGGAGTAGGGTAATCATTCAATAATGATGTGTTTAGTGGATTCTCCCGTGTTTATTTAGTTAGAAAGAGAGACAGCGGGTATTTTTATGCGATGAAACTGATTGATAAGAATTTCATTTTGAATTCAAATAAAGAGATTATTATTAATAATGAGAGATAGGTGATGGAGTAATTGAATTCTCCCTATTTAGCCAAACTATTCTACTCTTTTGAAACCAAGTATTATTTAGTCTTTGTTTTGGAGTAAATTTACTATTAATATTATATAGATATTGCGCAGGAGGAGAATTGTTTTATCATTTACGAAAACTGAGAAGATTGAATGAGGAATTAGCTAAACAGTATTTTGTATAGGTCTGTTTGGCAATCCAAGAATTACATCAATATGGAGTTGTTTATAGAGACATCAAACCTGAAAATATCCTATTAGATTTGGATGGGTACATTCGTCTATCTGATTTTGGACTGGCAAAACCTAATATGGCCAGAGAAGAAACAGCCTTTTCCTTTTGTGGTTCTCCAGAATATATGTCACCTGAAATGCTAATGAGAAATGGCCATAACTTCATGGTTGACATCTACTGTCTGGGAGCATTGTTATATGAATTTATATGTGGATCTCCTCCCTTCTATAGTAGGAACATTGAGTAGATTTACAATAGCATCTTGAATGATAGAATATCATTCCCTCCTTAATTGCAAATTCATTCAGATCTTAAGGATTTGATTTCTAAATTATTAATCAAAGATCCTTAGCTCCGTCTAGGGTCTAAAAATGGAATTAAAGAGATCCTCTAACACAGATGGTTTAAGGGATTCGATATAGAAGCCTTGGCTAAAAGAAGGTTGAACATCAGATATCGTCCTAAGCCATTAAGTTATAATTTCGATGAAATTGAATTTAGTAAGGGAGATTTGGAATTTTAAAAAAAACTCTAAGAAAATTTGAAGAAGGAAAAACAAGTAATCAATTGTTTAACAGCTAGGGTAAATTTAGTAGATATTTTCTGAATTTTGAGTACACAAATTAGAACATTCGTGATAGCAGGGAGGCTATTCTATAGCTCATGTTAAAGCAATAGCAGATTCAAGGATAGTAAGGATTGCCAAAGCCATAGTAAAGAACTTAGGTTGCCTTATCTCCACTTTCAATGGTCAAAGGAGTATCAAACATTAAGGCTTTGACTTAGAGTTCCTTCAAATAGGCATCATAATGCAAACGCTTTAATACTGACATCGATATAAGCAAGATAATTAAGAATATGTGAATATAAGTTCTGTATTTTTATATATATATATAGTTATTCAATATGTATCAATTATCAAAATTCTTATTTTCATTGTCACTCTCATATTCTTCTTCTTCTTCATCCATCTCATCTATTTCATCATGTGTCAAAATTGCTCCATATAATTTAATTAGTTCCTCTGAATCCTCCCTTTCGTCAAAGATTAATTAAAATTTATTATTCTCAAGCAGATTATCATAAAAGAGGAGATGCTTTTTACATGGTGGCCATAAACTAGCATCTGGTGGTGGAATAATTGTATCAATTGACATTCTAAATGCATTTTCAACCATTTAAGGTATTATTCTTTACAAAACAGGACTGCTGGTCTCCAAACAAGGATTTGTGTTTATTTCAATTAGATATGGTTTAAATTATTGATCTATCATGAAATCCAAACCAAATATTTCAAAGTTATATTCTTTCTTATATGGAGCTAATTTACAATATACAGACTTAATGCTTGTAGTGGCAATATCGATGAGTTAAGGATAGAGATCTTTAAAAAAATAATATTTTTTTGGTTGATTGTCCAAATAACGCTGGAATTCAGAGAATGATAATTTATTACCATTCTCATATTTGCCATAGGTGTCAGCGTATTTTTATATGGCATCATTGGTAAGATGAACATACAAATTGGCTGGGTCATCTAAATCAAATTCTTCAGATGAGGTTCTGATGTATCCATCTTCATACCAATATGCTCTCATTATATTATTCAATTGAGTTATTAGGAAGTAACAACGAATATCAAATTTCCTTTTATTATATAAGAAGGGTTTTTCAATGTACTTTTATATTAAATAAGTAAATTGTTTTCCATTGGAATGCACCTGCTTTTTACTGATAATCTTATTAATTTCAGACAAACTTTGACATACAGTGATACCAGTGCCTCTATTTGTGAATTCCCCAGGTTTTACTATCCATGTAGAGCCTCTAGATAGTAATGTTTTTTATACTTAGGTTGTTTTTTATAGAATTCAAGAAACTGCAAGTAAGTCTTGTCTCTTGCCCCTTTTTAAATGTGAAATGTTCTTGGAATGATGGAATTCAAATCTTATTTGGTTAATTCAAAATATTTCTTAAGATTATGATACAGGGCTTTCTTGTTCCCTAAATGATAGTTTCTATCAATGTGATTATGAATCTAAATGCTATAAATATCATACCTTGATATTCGAATCCACCTGTAGGACATTGAGATTCTTCATATTAACAATCTTCATGTAGGCCTTTGGATTTCTATCTATTTATTTATATTCACTATCATCTCTCATCAATCTCAGAAATGGATCGATGACTTATTTTTTCTTGATTAAATTGAATGATTATTGATTAACTATTTTCTTCTTCTATTGTTATTGAAAACCGTTGTTGGATTATTATTGTTAATTAATGAATCCTTAAACTTTTATTTGAGTCCAGATAAAATTACTATCTTCATCTGACAATTCATTGAATTTCAATTGACTCCACCACCATCTTTACTTTAATATTTCCTTAACCAGAAATGAATTATTTCCCCCTCCGATCTTCAATTTCAAATCTGTCAAACTATCTTAAGGCTATGTGTAAAATCCACTTTGACAAGATACTAAAAATAAAAAATGCTAGTAATTCTGCAATTTAGTTTAAAACAACTATTCCCTTGACAATTAAGAATACTCAGTTAAAGAGAACTTAAAGTTATTGGTTTAAGCAGAATTGGTTTGAGGAACAATCACTTTCTGAGGGACTGGACTAGCATTAGCTTAATTAATAGATTTTCTTTATTTGGTACTCTGTACAATCTTAGACTTGACTCTTTTGTCTAGCTCTTCGGTAAATGATTAAGACTTGTCTCTTTCTTTATCTTGGGAGAATGCCTTGTGTCTGATGCTTTATTGAGAAATCAAAGCATTGTGTTCAATCAATTTAGTAAATGGTACTACTTGAAAGCCAAGGACACCCATGTTTTTTTCTGCAGAAATTCTATGTTACATACCTAATAATAGACTGGTTAGTATCGATCTTGTATTGTTGATGTCTGGTTGATTATAGCATCCTTTCATTATTTTCTACTAATTTATTTTGGTATCCTCATTTGGATCGCAATTGCTAGTTTAAATCTTCCTCTTATCCAAAAATTACTGTGCATAGTTTGAAAATACAACACTATATGTTCCTTGTGTCTAGGGTTCTTAAGATAAGTGTCTCTGTATGCTGACAGCTATAATAGGAACTTGTTATTGATACCTTATTAAATTCTTTGCACAGGTTTACGAGACAAGCTGGGTCTTCTGCATGTAATTTTCTGAGTGGTTTTGCAATCAAATCTACGCTCTTTTAAGAGTTCAGAAAATTTGATGCTGTTCTTCTTATTCAATTAATTGATTTTTTATTAGAAGGAGATACCATTCATAGTTCTTTTCTGTTGTGGAGTCCTTAAGAAGAGTTCTTCCCTTTGCATTTAGTTTTTATATATTTTTATTAGTTATTAATTTTTATTGTTATTGAATTGCCGAGTTTCATAAAGTTAACTCTAATAGTCATGATTATATTATAGATCAGACATATATTAATGAGTTATTTATCAGTGATAGTGCATTAATTTATTAATGTAAAGTTCATCTAAGAGGCAAGAGACTCACGATTGCAATGATTGTTGGTCTGCCCTTCTGTGTGGCTTAGTGGAAATACTGATTAAAACCAAAAATCAAGATCAGATCAAATTACTATTACCTCTGGCTAATCAATTTGCTCCGATTAGGATCCACAAGACAGTAGAATTACTGAATCAAATGATAAGAAGTCCAAACTTGGATCTGTTCTACACTTTAGTTAATCAAGAAGAATCATCATAAATAATGAAGATGCACATCTTTGCCCAGTACAAAATAATCGCCTCACAAATCTGTAACAAGGAGATTCTCTAGAGGTTGGGATAGACTTTCAAGGTGGACACGATCTTTTTGACGTATAACACCTCCATTTCACTTTCAAACAGTGAAAATCTCCCCTTGATACTCAAGATTGTATAATTTCAAAGCCACTACACAGTGGAGGCTTAAGAAAAGTAAAGGAGTCGATCTAATTCATTATAGCACGATTTTATATTGGAAATGAAGCAGGAATGCAACGGTTGTTTGAGATCATTTGATTAAGTTGAATTGAATAAATCAATAGCCTGCAGTCACACATATTGTAAACAATGTTTGAAGTTGTATTTCAAATTGGGATCCTACTTTATTTGTAGAGATTTCTATTGCAAAATAGAACTCAGTAAGGATGATTTCCCATTTCTTTAATTATCCCCTATGATGGACCCTTCCGTTTAGGTCCATAAATGTCTCCAGTGCAAAGCATCACAAGGAACACTCTACACCAATAAATGTGGACACACTCATTGTGAGAAGTGCATCAAGGATTCCCTCAATAAATCGAAGTACTTTTAGACTCACTTTTGTTTGGAACCCTCATGTACTGAAATCTTGAATAATGAACTAATAAAGAACAACAGCAAGGAGATTGATGTTAACCAATTGTTGTAGAGGAGCAATTCAATTAAATAGAAGGCATCAGATTTTTGTGACTTTTGCAAGAAAACTCAAGAACAAGGAGTGAAGAACAAATGCGGACATTATTATTGTAAATCCTGTCTTTAATCTAAATATCAATCTATAATAACTTATGGTTTAAATAAAACAGTCGAATGTCCAGAATGCAATTCTAAATTCAACATTGACACAATATTGGAGGAATATTACATCTAATTATAGTAATTATCGACTCCAAGATTGAGTAAGATGAGATCAATTTCCTAGTAATAGCCAGACGTGCAGCCATCCCCGTCTTTGGGGTTGATCTTGAATTCAATCTAGGATAACGCTAGACTCAAGACAAACGAGGATACACAATAGAGTCCGCAATTGAAGAGATAGAATAGCATTGACTTGAAGAGCATCTACAATGGAGGGTCAACTCCTAGGAGAATCATTCCTCAGATATCTACGAGCAGCAGAAGCAATTACCCTTTGACTCAATAATCGTTGCAGTTCCATAGGAGTCCATAATTCTTTTGAAATGATTATATATATAGATATATAAATAAGTTGATGGGGAGGGGTTTCCTAAAATTGAATTGAAAAATGAGTAATGAGGTATGCGAATTAAGTTTATAAATTCGTGATATGAGGAATTAATTATTAGTTTCTAATTCATTAGTTTATTTCAATTAATAAATAATTGGATAATTCGTATTAAGTTAACTATATTTAGGAACAGGAAGAATCATAATATCTAAAATATATATTAAATAATGTTTGCTCTATCCAAGACACTCTCCCTTCATCACATGAATAAATACTATGTCAAGATTTTGAAGGATCTTTCGATTGTCAAATAAATTCCAGCAGGGTCGACTATTCTGGTCGGAGGTTTTGGACTTTGTGGCATTCCAGAGAACAGTATTAATGCCCTCAAGGAGGCAGGAACAAAGAATCTCACAGTTGTTAGCAACAATTGTGGTACTAATGATGAAGGTCTTGGGATTTTATTGAACAATGGACAATTGAAGAGAGTGATAGCATCATATGCTGGGGAAAACCATCATCTGGCTGAGTAAATGTGTTGTACTATAGAAGCAAATACTTTGATGGGGAATTGGAACTGGAATTGATCCCACAAGGCACTTTGGCAGAAAAGCTCAGATCTGCAGGTGCAGGAATCCCAGCATTTTACACCAGAACTGGTGTAGACACTATAGTAGAGAAGGGAGGCATCCCCATCAAGTATAAGAATCACTCGAAGGACTTCCAAGTGGATATCGCTTCTTAACCAAAACATGTAATTTGTGTTGTAATCTAATACAGGTTGAATATTTCTAAGGACAGAAATACATCAGAGAAGAAGCCATCCAAGGTGATTACGCCATTATCAAGGCTAGTGTTGCAGACACCAATGGAAATCTCAGATTCGTGGGAACCTCTAGAAACTTTAATGAAGATATGGCCAAGGCTGCAAAGGTAGTGATTGCTGAAGTTGAATCTATCGTACCTCTTGGCTCATTTGGGTTTGATCATGTCCATGTGAATGGCATTTATGTTGACTACCTCTACTTGGGTAGCAATTACAAAAAATCTATTGAGAGATTAGTATATGATGAATCTGTTTATTAAAGAAATCCAGGTATATTAATATATATAAAATTCTTAGAAAAATTCAAGAAAGCCAAGAACCAAGGTTTGAGAAACAGGATTGCCAAGAGAGCAGCCCATGAATTCAAAGATGGCATGTATGTGAATTTGGGTATCGGAATTCCCACACTTATTCCTGCCTTCTTGGATCCACACATCACAATCCATTTCCATACAGAAATAGGAGCTGTGGGAGTTGGCAATTATCCATTGGAAGGACAAGAGTTGGGAGACCTGGTTAATGCAGGAAAAGAGTCCATCACCTTAAATCAAGGAGCATCCACTTTCTCAAGCAGTGAATCATTTGGCATTGTTAGAGGAGGTCATTTAGATTTGACTGTTTTGGGAGCCATGCAAATCAATAAATAAGGTGATATCGCCAATTGGGTTATTCCAGGAAGAATGGTTAAAGGAATGGGAGGTGCCATGGATTTGGTAGCTTCTGGTTCCAAAGTCCTTGTGGTTATGGAACACACCGCCAAAGGGGAAAAGAAGTTCTTAAAAGACATCACTCTTCCTGCAACTGGACTTAGAAGAGTTGATTAAGTTATCACTGGTAAATTATTTTGATAATTCTTTTTAGACAAGGCTGTGTTTGTTAAGAGAAATGGTGAATTAGTCTTGACTGAAATTGCAGCTGATACTGATTTGGAATGGGTAAGAGCAAACACCGGATTTGAATTGACTGTTGCTGATGATTTAAAGAAATTTGATATTTGAATGCACATATAAATCAATCCTCATCAATTGTTCTATCAATACCCAGGTTACTGGATCAAATTAATTAATAATCTCTCCTTCCCTTCTTATTATTACATAAATATTAAAGATATAACGTTATTTGTATATTAAGTCGTTCTCAAATACAATAATAAATAGGATGTTTAAATTGATTAAGAATAATGTTGTTCAGATATATTTATATAAATCGTCAGTATATCTGATACTCATCCATACCTTCATCTTACAGAACAAGAGGTTCATTAAACCATTTTTTAACTTTAAATGGTCGATCTCTATCAAATTTCCATTCTTCCAAGCTTTCATTGACAGTAGCCATGAGATCTCTCCAAAGTTCCTTGGCTCTTCTCCTACTAGTTGTACGGTTTTGTAGTATGAATTTGGGAATATTAAAGGAATCACAGCAATTCCAGCAGGTCAGACAATTCCTGACTTTAATAAGTGATGGGTATTTCTTATTGATTTTATCTCTGATGTTATCGATTAAGTTTGCTTTGCTTTCAAAGTTTTCTCCCACAATTTCAAAGATTATGTATAATAAAAATGGAATGATCAAAATGCCCATTATGACATACCCTGCTAATGTTATCTGGAAGTTTTCATTTTAAATAGTTGAATAGACGATCGTCGCAATGCTAAATGTGAGCGTCAGGATGACATTAGAGATTTGGTCGATCTTATTCAGTTTCTTATTACTGTACGGCTGCACATACAGACTCAAGAGGAGGTAGATAAAAGTCAAGATGGAAGACAAGGACCCCTATAAATGATAGATGATTATATTGTACCATCATAATGACGTTTTAAGCCTAGAGACAAATAAGAATGCTGATAAAGGCTCTGATGTAGATTCTCACGAATTCCCAATAGTAAATAATCCTATCCTTATCATTTGAGTACTCATGATAGAAGTATCCCCATGACTGCATGAATGCAATTTAATCAAATCTTTCATACCATTTACCAACTAACAATTGATAAAAGAAGATGAAAGGTATCACAAACAAAAATATGAAGAATCCAGGGTATGCAAACCATGACAACCATACATTGTGAGTTTAGGTGTCGTACTTATAAGACACATTGGATTGGATATAACCTTCTCCTGAAATATCTCTCCGAGCTATAAGGTTCGCAAATTCAATCAAGAAGGTTGGCTATAAAAAGATGAACATGTAAATGGCCATAGTTTAGAGACTCTTCCACTTGAATCGATTCTTGAAAATCAACACCAGGATGATCAAAGTCATTGCAATGATATATAGCAATTAGATAGCCAAAGACCAAATCAATCTCAGATAAATCATATCTACATCACCTGCTCCATCAACTAAAAAGCAATCCAGAGCATTTCCCATAGATTTAGCAGGCATACTGACAGTGTTGATTGTATCGACTGTGCCTTGAGGTATATCAATTTTAAAGCCTTCCAGGATAGAAAGCAATTAAACAAAATTGTTGAATATTTTCATTAATATAGCAGCTTGATCTAAGGAGGCTTTGGCAGACAATAGTTTAAGTTATCTTAAGACTTTCATGGTAACAACTTTTTCCATTCTATCTTCATGACCTTTTACTGACTATAAAGTGCTATAAATTGTAAAGATAGTTATGAATGCAATCATTAATTAGTTTCTAGTTTTTTCCTAACAAAGCCCACATTCATATTTAGCAGAATTGGAATATGACTCTCCCCAATAACTACCGTATATATCACACTCCTCGCAAAGTGCTCCGATGAACCCATCTTGACAAAGATCATTTCCAACATCAAATCCTCCTTTGCAATTGTACACTTTATTCTTGCACTCTTCAACCTCTCCACTCTAATAATGTGGTCTCCAATAACTACTCTTGATACTAATTTTATTCATATAAGTGTAATTCATTTTGGTTTCATCTATTTTCCTGCAAGTGTCAGTTTTATACTCCAAAGCAAATGTACCCACTGAACAAGGAGTGCAGGTCTCCTACTAATCATTATATTGTTCTCCCAACTCGCATTCTACCGACCTGATCCTGACTTATAAAGTGTATCCAGTGTCAAAACCCTTACATTGATAGGGATATTAGTCATGGTAGATAGGTATATTGATATGACTACTATTAAACACTGCATCTAGAGTGATTTGATTGTATGGATCAAAGTTAATAATTTGATTCGAATAGTCAAATCCTTGAACATCATTAATGTCAAACCTTCTAATTGTTTCCCCTGGAAAAGTCGAAGTTTAATTGTCTTTGGTTTTGGTAACATTGCTTGATAAACTGCATTCCGTATCATGCTAATAACTCATCACATTGTTATTCTTGTCAAGGAACACCAAAACAACACTTTGATTTTCAAACTTCTTTAATTCCTAACCACTCTTGATAACAAGGGGATAATGCAACCATCCAGTGTGAAAATCTAAATTTCCTTATTTTTGTAAAACTGACTTCACCCTTATACCCAATGAAGTAGGATATTGAGCAACATCATCACCGTATTTTGAGGCAAAATTTTGGATTAAAGTGATGCTGGTCAAAGCATAATTATTGATTCCACTTTCCACAACTGCAATTGCTCCTCCTATACTTGCATTGTTCCTGTAAAATGAACTGTCAGCTATGTTTAATCGATGTTAAATGGTGCCTCCATCTTTAGGATAGGATTCAAAATATATGCACCCTCCTCTGCCAGTAACTACTGCTAATGAACAATAACTGGATGTTACATTGACAGTCAATCCATAAAATGAGATACCTCCTCCATGGATAGCCTTAACATCATTTATATTTAAGGATTCTACTATCACGTGGGATAAATATGCTGGATTTGGAATGGCATAACTAAAATTATATTTAACCTAATCGGATGTGTCAGTAGCCAGGAGTCTATTTGAGGAAGATTCACTCATATTGGTATATTAAGGTATTTTATCTAAAGTTAGATTAGAAGTCAAAGATGTTCCAAGTAATTTATCCATCGTAGTTTATTCTCTTAAGTACTAATCACTTGATACAGAAAAACATCCATAATAAGATGATTCCGAATTAGAACATCTACATGAACTCATTTAAACCAAAGGAATCATCCTTGAATTTGATACTCTCATTATTTAGACCAAACCACCATGACATTCCTTACAAATCACTCTATTGATTGCAACATTCTTCATTATTAAAGGTGTCTTCTCCTAAATCAAATCGAACAACATTAATGCTGGATTGATTTAATATTCTGGGAATTCTATTCTAATTTCAAGTAATCTACACAATGCACTGTTTGTAATACTAGTGCAATTCAAATTTGCTAATGAAATTGAAGAGATATTTCTAAACTACACCAAATCCACAGTTATCGGATTCTCTAAAGGTTCTTATATCTCTATGTAGGGTCTGTATGATAGAATACTATGCTAAGATTCTATCGTATTCAATTTAATAAGAGTTGATTACCATATTGAAAGAAATCCGTAATAGAATAAACCTTCTGAATAAGCATTCTAGATCTCAATTTATCCAAAATCTTATTCAATGGCTGCAATTCTCTTCAAGAATAGAAATTTTTCAATTGATTAAAAGGAACCCAATTATGCTAAGTAAACCAAGGAATTTGATGAATTACCTGATATCTTCACATCTTGAAGCATCATCTTCTATTTTTCTATTGTTCTTGAGAAAAACAGAGTTTTTATGGCTAGACCACTTAAGGCATAGCAATTGGCGATTGTAGAATCCTAAATTTTGAACTGCTACTTCTTATCATAACTTATCAAAAAGATGCCTCCTCCTTCTCCTCTTGTGAAACAATCTCTAAACTCTGCATTCTAGATTTTCATATCTAACTCCGAGGCCATTGAATCTATGTATACGCACCCTCCTCTTGATGACACTGTTCCACTCAAAGGAGTATAAGCATATCGAACTGAAATATTCCTCAAAGTAACCATTCCTTCTTTCAAAGTCTTTATGTATAATCCACCGCCCAATTTGGCAGTTGAATTAAAGAACGTGCAATCACTCATGTCTAGAAGGAATGTAGAAATAAAGAGATGTCCACCTTCTGCCTTCTCATTAATAGTAGGAAAGGGTGTCTTGGTTTCTGGATCAAAGTTACTATTCACCATTGAGACATTGAAAATGATCTAAGTTCCCACTTCCAAATAGAGAACTGACCCATAACCTGAAACGGAATTCGATCTCCAAAGACTATTCTATAAAATCAATGTGCCAACCACACTTCTAATCAAGAATGTTGGATTACTTGGTCTCAAGGAACCTTATATCTCCATTAAATGAGTGTTCTTGAAGAAATACATAAAATTGATCTACACAATTTACATCTGAGTGGAATCTATCAATATGGCAGATGAAGGCACTGCCAATACAGTAGTGATAATGGTGCATTATGTCACGTAGACTCCATTAATAACTATGGTTTCCTAATATTCAGAAGTTGAAGTATTGTAAATTAGATTACTCCATGAAGATATTCCAATAAATGAATTGTCTCTTCCAACCAGGTTCAGTAATTATACGTTAATTAATTCTACTCCCTTGTATGGGTTGTTAATAAAGAGACAGTAATTATTCCTAATACTCAACCCTTCTTTTTAATGACAGTTGATGTTGACAAACTTGGTTGTCCACACTTACTCAACATAAAAGATGGCTAAGTCTGCATTTTCAACACTCTCAAAATCAGAAACCTACAATCTATTACTTTTCTCAATTCTGATAGAGGCACTTGTTGCTGCTTCCCATATAGTTTCATCGAATCCAACAGTATTTATTTATTTAATAACTAATCCTTTCATTGTAATGTTGATGGGCATAAAGTAATCATTCTAGATTTCTGTAATGAGAATTAAACAAGCAGGAGTTAGACAAATTACTTAATCGAATTCTAGATTGATAAATTATAATTTCAATCCCGAAAACTCAGGATCATTAATTCTAATTGTTTTGAGTTCATATTGGGTTTAAATCAATCGACCCTTAAATGTGAACTTTGTATTTTATAAGTAGGCATCACTCAGTTCAATTGTTGTTATGCGGAACAAAGCAGTAGAATTAACTTTAGAATCTTACATTTAAAAATTATTCACTTTGATCTATTACATCGTTGTAAAATCAGCAATTCCTCTAGAATTATTGTATTCCATGTTTCTCATATATAAGGAATTTATGATCACGATACCCATCGGTTCATCTAGAACAGCTGTACTTAAGAAGGCACCATCATTAACAAAGTAACAATCTTCAAATTGAACTTAAGTGATGATTATCTTACTATTCCACTCAGGTGGAGTTAAAAAGCTAACTGATTATAGTTCAAACAGTGCTTACTTTTCAACGGCAATATCATAAAATTTCACATTTTCTAATCGAATATTTAAATATGGTATTGTGATGTCGGAATCATACACTAAACCAAATGGTTTTGCTTAGAATGTAATATCAGAACTCACCAAATAGTTTTGAGATTGAATGACAACATTTTTTAAATAGATATCATATGTGTTCAAAAGAATTGCAAAGAATGGCTTCTACTTCTTAAGAGTGACTGCAACTGCACTATAAGGGGTGGTATAAGCGGATTTGTCTAAATAGTGATCCTCAGCATTGATATTTCCAATTTTGACATTCTCTAGATAGAGCACAGATCCAGTATTATTGAGGAATTGGAATCCGAAGGGTGTTTCATATTTGGGTATATTTGAGTACAAATTTCCTCTGTCTGATGCTGGGTATAATTCTATTCCATTGATGGAGATAGATGTAAAGTAAGCAAAGTAGATTGTCTTTTAGATGAACCATTAAATCCTCTCGTTGGGAGTTGGGGCGTTGGTTTGTATTTTAAGTTCTAAATTTTAAACAGAGAAGACATTTTTTCTAATATTGGATGTAAAATAGGTATCCTTTTAGAAGAAACATTTTGCATTATCTCCAGAGAAATATTGGAAATCAAGAATAATGGTGATTTTTGTGACTGCCTTCTTATTCCACTCTTCAAAGAGAGCATCTCTGGTTGCGGAATCCATCTTATCTTCTAGGATGAGATAAGTATTTTTGGATGTAATATCACTGTATTAAGAATTGATTTTCCATTCATCATTGGCATTAGGTTGGTTTTATTGACAATCAGCTGTTATAGTGATTTCATCAGTTCGATCACAAGGAGTGGGACAATCAGTTTTAGAAATGCACCTTCCAATTTTACTGTCATAATAATTATTGCCACCATCATCGCATTTGAATGATAATCGTGCATATTTTTTATATTTGTCCTCAGTGGGATCATAGAATTGATTTAATTGCTTAATTTCATCAGTGGATCGTTCTCTGCAACCAATAGTTATTTCTGGACATTAAATACAATCAGAATCATCGATGGAAGAACTCAGAGATATTCCAACTAGACTAGAATCACATTAATCACAGTATCCTTTGGTTCCTTTGGCTAAGAATTAAGCACAATTCTGGCCACCCTTTTCACAATACCTGAGATCCTCATTTAGAATAGGTCCTTTGAATGCATCTCCAGGAGTGCATTCATAACAATAAGGACCTAATATCTTCTTTTCAGAAAGAGTGTTACTTTGTCCATCAAAAAGGTAATCGAAGTATTCAGTATGATGAACAGAGACCAGAGACAAGGTGTAGCATTTTTTACAATGTCCATTTTCTGCACATTGAACACATTTGCCTGTTTACATATCCACATAGAAACCATCCAGACATCTCAAACAACGTTATTTTAATCCATTTATGACACACGATTAACATAAGTAATCTTGCATTAAGGATGAACAATCCATTCTGCATTCCCAATTACCTGAACTATCATTTTTGTAAAGAGTGTATCCAATATCGCATTGCAAACATTGCTGTATCAAAACAGTCTATTTGTAATAGGTTAAACAACCAGTCTTAGGTTTATTAATAGTGTCGAATATCGTACATGTCTTATAGTCATCTGCCAAGAAGTATCCATCTTCACAAAGCAAACACTTCTCCATTGATTGTTCTATTATTAGTTTATGCATGAATACCTTCTTTAGGTAAAGGCACAAAGTCTAAGGCTATAGTTGAAAAGGAAGAATCACTACCAAGAGTTGGATCACCGACTTTAGCACATAATTTACAATTTGCAATAGAACAATCAGTGCAACCAGTTCCAACAGCATAGAAAGTCTGAGTGAATTTGTCACACTCTCTGCATCTCAGTGTGTACTGAGATTCAACAGCCTCGATCTCTGCAGTTGTTGGTTCTGATGTCTCGGGTTCAACAACTTTTTATTTATCCCTTGTTGGTCTGAATGTTTTAAAATATTATATACAATATTGATCCAAATTTGTATTCGCATCTCTTACAATTCGTGCCGCATCTAATGCACGCTCTTCTACTCAGAGTTGGAACAAACGTACTCTAAGTAGTACTGGTACATTGTTCGCACCGTTAGGCTATACGGTACAACTTGAACAAATCAATAAAGAATTAGACCTCGTCGGTCTCATAATTGGTTGTCAGGAGGAGAGGATTGTTATTGTAATCATCCCATGGTTTTTCATTAAGGTTAATTCCATCTCTTCCAAAATAACAGGCATCACAACCTGTGAAACATGCTACACATTAACTGTAAGTTTCCACTCCATTCTATTCAGCTCGAGTTGTCAGTAAACTAAATCCTGAATTGCAAATCAAACAATTCTTTTTAATTGTCACTATTGTCTTCCCTGAATCATCCAAAGAGATGTATTTGTTTATTTAACAAGACTTGCAATTCTCAGGACATGGATCGCATCCACTAATCACATCGCTATACTCGTATCCATCTGTACAACTCAGGTACAGATTATTCAAATCATAAGAAAATTATTTTGAAACTGGAAGACAAGTCTAATTTTGAGATTTGCAGAAATGATCACATCCATCACAACTTTGTGTCGTAAACTATACATATCATCTTATTTAATTTACATCCTATAGTCCACTCTTTACTACGTAAAATAATTGTTTAGCAGGTCGTTCTATTTTGTGAAACACAGATGTTCCTGTCGATTTAGTCTTGTAATCATATGTACACAGTCTAGATTTATCCCTTTTATATTCATTGATACTTACCATGTCTGACTGTTGTCCAAACAGTCTCCACAATAATAATTGTTGGCTTCATTGAATTTCAAATAAGGACTATCATAGGCACAATTTAATATACCATTCTACACATACTCTTGTTCCTGCCTTCAATCCTAATTCATTGTGATCTTGCGGCAATGAAAACAAAAAATACTGCTATTAACAAAGTTCACAATTCCCTTTTACTACATTCAAACAATAGTTGAACTTTGTATCAGTCTCATAATTTGTTGTGCTTATCTCGAAAGACAAATCAAACAAGAATCCTAATAGCGCAAAAACTATTATATTCATATTAATTATGATATTCTAATTCACAAAAAGAAATTTAAATACGTTTTTTATGTATTAACTTCCCAAAGTAAACCATGCCAATTTTGACATCACAATCACTAGCGAAACTTAAGATCTTATCAAAAATGGAACAACTCTGGACAATAAAACCTTGTAAATTAACCAACAAACATTAAATTTTAAATCAAATAAATATTTTATTACTTTTGTATTTTTCATACTCACACTAAACTCTTATTTAAATATTACACTTTAATAAAGTTTTCGATTCAAACATTCTGTATCCCAAATTAAATAAACTCATACTAAAAAACTTACTTTCATATCATTTTCTCAGCCCCACCCCATATTGCCCCAGAATCAATAATTTATGCAAGAATATAACTCTAACTTATTTATTGAAATTACACAAATTCGAATATAAGCATTAGATGTTAACATCAATAACTCAATCAAAAAATGAATTGATAAAATTTACTTGATAAATAATTAATAAAAATCCTTAAATTAAAAAACATTACTCAAATTTTCCATTTTATTATCCTGTCTTCGATTATAGAAATGCTTCTACTAGTTAATAAATGCTCTGTGAATAAATATATCAAAGTGGGTTCATAAAATGACTCATGCGCATTGATGACCAGTAATTCTAATTTCTTCCCTATCCCCTCATTCGGAAACAGTTTGTTCATCACGTCAAAACAGATTACCAGGTCATCCTGGAATAGATAATTGGTGCTCGGGTCAATATGGGAAAAATTAGATTTTAATTGTCTTTTCAAAAACTCATTCTTCTCTATACCAGCTATCAAACATGCAAGTTTCAATTACTGCAATGCACTAATCGACGGCTTCTCCAATTCATTCACTAATTCCTAAGTCTTAACCTAGAGTTTAACTCCCTATACATATGCCGGTATGGCAACATTCAATTTATCCTGGAATGTCGCAAACCTTTTCGTGAAGTCCTTCAAATTCTTGCAAACATAAGGATAAAACTAATTGTAGGGATGCATAAAAGGTTTGATTTCTGTGATTACATTCCCTTTATTAAAGTAGATATTCTCGATTATCTAATTCACAAATTAGCATTCTTCATCCTCTTACGCTGTCAACTGAATGGTCAAAGTAGGATAAATTCGCTTTAATATGATGGCCAATTTAATAATGCTAACCTTATCCTTGGCATCTTTAAGATTAGTTGACAAGACATTCTGTAATTTTTTATATGCATTATATAACACTGCTGGATGTAACTGATATTATTAAACCAACTTGGAAATCAATTTGTGAGTGTGATGAAAATCATAATCCATTATTTAATCCTTTACAATTTTAATTAATGATTCAAAAGTCTCAATGCTAAATTCGGAGGCTCTCCATCCCATTAGTAATTCATAAGCTTATTTACTATTAGGAATTTCATTGGTTTCTTGAAGCTTTTTTAAAAGTTCTTCCTTAATTTTTTTCGATTTATAATAGTTCATATCAAGACACTTTGAGTTAGCCAACAATATATCATCGATTGTTTAAATTGATTTAGGAAGATTACCTTTGTGATTCAAATATACATCGATAAAATTGTTTTGACCTTTTAATTCATGTATTTTATCGAAATCCTTAAGTTTGTCCCTCAATTGATCGCAAGATGATAATAAACTAGAAATTTGAGATGGTGTAAACTTTGGTAAAGTCTCTTTTACTTTGGTTATAATTTCATCATCAAATGTAGTTAAATAGTTGTATATCGATAACCATTTGGACAATTAGTCGAAATCAACTTTAGCTGTAAATTCGGCTTCAATTTAAAATTTGATATACGGTCCAATAAATTAAAAATCAAGGCCTATTTCCTCACAAATAGATTTGTTATTTTAGAGATGTTACACATTTTTTTGAATGAATTCAATAATGGATTCATCATTAGAATTGGAAATAACAGCTTTAACTACTTATCTTATCAGATTATGAGGATAGGTTTGTAAATTATTTGGCTACAAGTATTTTAAGTAATCCACTTTGAATTTATTAATCAAATTGACTAATATGTCACATGTCATCTCATTTAACTAGAATTAATTGCTTTAATTCACTAATCTAATAATGGCTCTGAGATGTTTCTCTTGAATATGCATTGTTGTTAGATATTTTTGACAAAATCCTTCTGGGATGTTGAGTTTGAATAGATTAACAATAGAGAGTGATTCTAAAATGATAGAGTTTTCTAGCCATTCTTCTAGGAACTTCTTTAATTCAATAAGTTCTTCACTTACAATGTATTAGGGTATCTCATCAAAGATTGTTTCATTTTCAATGCAAAGTTCTCTCAATGAAAAATACACAGTCCGTATGATGTTTTCTAGTGTCTTTTCATTGAAGTTGGTTTCTTTAGACATTTATACAATCCTTTTGAGCAATTGCATATAAATTTTGTAATCCTTAAAAGCTTGATTTTTTTGAGCCACTTGAATGAAATTCTTGAGGATTCTAAAGTCGAATTAGTAATTTCCTTCTTAATCCAGAACTCGTTCGACGTACACCTTCTATATTAGATCAAGAAATAGTGGAGAAGGCTTAAATTTATTAAGTAGTACGAAGAGTTGGGCAAGATAGTAGAGATGCCATTAATTTATACCTTGGTAAATTTGGGAGATGACGAATTACAATTGATGATCATTCAACTCTGAGTATTGGAGGACTTGTAAGAGGATTTCAGGATGACAAGTAGCACCAGGAAAGTTTGTAATTGATGTATCATATTAGGATAGGAAGAGTAGGGCATATGGTTTTAAGGAGTGGTTATCACTATTTAAATACTCTCTTAATTAATCAATTTTATCAGATTTTAATTATGGTAATTTCTTCTTGTTGATGCAATACTCCATAACTTAAATTAAAATTGTGTTAAATTGATGTTTTTATTTCTTGAATTCATCATAAATCTCTTTATTGTTGACAATCACACCAGAATAAAATTGAAGGAGTAAGATAAATTAATACTCATTATTGATTGGCTGTGTTATTAACCACTCAATATACTAATTAAAATTGGGTTTTTGGAATTGCATTTCTAAAAATTTAATCATGTTTTCAAATAATTAGTCATCTGTATTTTAAATTGATTCTATTTCTTGTTTTAGTCTATTGTATATTGCAGAACTGTCTGACAATTTCATAGGCATTATTTAATCATAGATCTTTTCATTGAGGAATGCTTGCATTAATGAATTTATTTAAGGCAGTGATTCACATTGTTCAAAGCTGGTTTACAAGGTGAATATGCGTTCTTTGAACAGTTTGTACTTGGTTTTGAAAGAGCTGAAAAGAAATTTTAATTTAAGCATTTTTTATGGCAATTATTAATTGAATATAATCATTTCTTTTGGGAAGCAGCAAATTGATCATAATATTTGCGAAGATCTTTTTTTGAAAAGATGAAATCCTTCATTGCTATTTTAATGAACTTGTCTGGATCATAATTATTAAAGAATTTCTAATCTTTGAGAATTGTAATGGCTTACTCCATTGTTTTAGTCTACAAAATATCATTACACTATAATTTACAGTCAAAATCTCCTCCTTCCTTATCTTAAGTATGGCTAGAGATGCTCTGAAGGTTGTCTTGTGATGCTCATGCCAAAATATATCAGTGACCCTTAAAAATATTTGCATTGGCAGAATTGAACTAAAGAGAGTGATAAACCTGAAAACCTTAATAAACTAAGTACCATTCTGCAGCATAATAAAAGGGTACAATATTGAACTTAGTGAACTTTGCATGTAAATCAGGTAAGAATTACTTGACCAAAAGGTCCAATGCATAGAAATATTTTAATGTATTAGTAGGATTAATATAAGTATCAAGGCAGCCATATTTGGTCAGCAAACTATACAAATGCCAATAGACCAATTCATCATTCATCAATAATAAAAATGAGCCTGCCAAATAGTTCAATCCCTAACAATATCCCATGTCTTAAAAGGTAAGGCTGATCGCCCTAAGTACTGTGAATAGAGATTGACTGGTGATAGTGTCCATTTTGATTAGATCATTTGTTTGGAATGTACGCATAACATCCAAAGTGATTTGGCTATCATGGGGTGATATTTCTTGAGATTCTACGAGCTCCTTATAAGTTCTCTTTAAATGTCATATGAACATTTTACTTTTGCTTGTATCTTCATCTAGTCTATTTCAGCCAAACAAGGCCAAATGAGCATTCTGATACCTTCAGGTATGCCTTTTCTTAATCGAGATTTAAGCTTCGAATCATTGTTTGCCATCAATTGGGGAATCTTGGGGATCATTTTCCTCCACTTTTCAATCCTTGCATTAATCTTTAGCATTTCTTCCTTACTTGGTATTTGTGTATTTTGCTTCGGAAACCCATAATGATCTCTATTCTCTGGATTCATTATTAATAATAATCAATTACTATTCTAATGAGTTATAATTAAATATTTTATAATGAGGGTTTATGATATATATATATATTATTGTATTTGATCAAACGTCACAAATTTTTGGTGATGGGAAATAGTTTTGAGAAGTTTTTTAAGGGATTTCAGGATACCATCTATTTAAACTAGCTGTCCACCTATTTATATTAATACATTTTATTACCATACACCATTTTAAGAAAACAGGGATTCAGGAATTTCAGATTCATTTGCATCTATGCATCCTACTAACCAAGCTAACCATTCAGTTTTTAGGGCCTCCGTAGTTCCCACGATTTCAGATTACTTATCATTGGGCACTACAAATGTGACAGCTGGATCATCTTTATCAGCCACATAATATTTGATATGAGCATTTGATGATATCAATTTTTCTTAATAATTTTCTTTATCACCAAAATTTTGAACAAAAATCAAGTATTTACTAAGCACTAGAGCATTAATTTCAATGGCTTCAAAACTATACTCTTCATCTGATGATTTACCAAACTTGGCTCCAGTGCATTCGATATCTAAATATCCCACTAAACAATTTGAGTTAACTGTTGGATTAAAAGACAACTAAAGATCCAAATTAATATCTGGGTTGTACCATTCCAATACAATTCTGACTTATCCAGATTTTAATTTCTTGGATAGTGGAACAATAGTAACTTCATTATCTTTGAATTCATAGCAATTTTGAGAATAATCTGGATGAGTGACTATTAAATTGTATTGTGAACCCTTAACCAATCTAGTAAATGTAACTTTTCCATTTGAATCAGTCTTAGCTGTTCCATATACTTAAAATGATCCACAACTACCAACTCTCAAATCAACTTTGACTGATTCTAAATGATTCCAATCCATAACATCTACAACATAAACTTCAGTTTCATAGTAGTTGATCTAGAAAATCTGAGAGAAATCTCCTAGTTTACATTCTCCATTTACAACCTTATATCCTTGTTCACAAACAGCACATTTGTTCTCTTTAGTACAGATGGCACAATTTGCAATTTTCGTAGTGCATAATTTGTATGCTTATTTGCATTAACCATTATCAAAGGTGGAAAAAGCATCACAAAAGTCTTGATCACACTTTTCCTTGTCTTTTGAGCATTTCAAACATTAATTTTATGAGTAAGGTTTAGAGCATCCATTTTCTGGAAGACAAGATTTATCAGCTTATAATTGATATTCTGCCTAACAACTAATGCATTTATTATTTTTATCACAGAATTTACAAAATGGAACATTAGTGCATCCAGTAGGTTAACATTTCTTTCTAGCATCCAAATATTCTCCACTCTTACATCCACCTTCAGTCTTTGCTGCTTCTTTTGGTTATTCTTTAGGTTATTCTTTTGCTGGCTCCTTAGGTTATTCTTTAGCTGGTTCTTTTGTGGTTGAACCACTAGTTGTTGTAGTTGTTGTAGGCTTAGCTGGTTCTGTAGTTGTAGTAGGCTTTGAAGTAGTAGTGGTTGTTGTTTCAGCTTAATGTTAATTTGATTTTGGAGGTGGTGCTGCTTAAACTTTAGGTATTGTCACATTAGATCTTAATAGGATAGTTCCAAAATTAATTTCTTCTTAGAATTAAACCACTTAAGATTATACGTAATCATCATAACCAATGGCAGCCACAGTTACTAATCCAGTTGTTGGTTAAAAGAGTTAAGTGCTATAATCAGCGACATCAAAGGTTGAGATCTGTAATTTATATTCTCCTTTCGGAGATGCAACTTCACAAATTGGTTTTTCTAATCCTTCTTGGCTCCAACAAATCTTAGCCTCTTATAATGGATATTGAGTATATAACTTATCCTCTTCCTTTTTTATTTCTCCAACAACAAATCCACTCACCTTTGATTTCATCTCCTTGAACAATTAAACATATATCGATTCATTCACTCCTAATTTTCCAGTAAATTTACACCCTCTTTCATCATCTTTATCAAAACCTGCCTTACAAGTTACACACTGTTATTCCTTGCACTCTTAACAATTAGGAATCTCACATTTAGGTTATGTTGAAGTTGCCTATGCTTTTGGATCAGCACTGCCTTTATCTGTAGTAGTGGTGGGACTTCCCTTACTTGGTTCAGTTGGTTTTGCTGCGGCATCTGCAAAATGAGAAAACATTGAATAATGATAAACCTTGCTGTTCTTTTCTTCAATTGGAATATCAACAACATTTTGATATAAATTTATGGTAAGGTCTTTTGATCCCACTTGATAACACACTTAAACGTCATCCAAATACTATTAGACATAATCCAACTTGCCAATGATAGCGAAGAAATCTAACTCATTGCCATCATAATTAGGCCATAAGAATTTAGCAGCAGCCAAAGTTTAGTATGTTGTTGCTTCCTTCCTCTTAAATAGTTAAACACCCTTAACCCACAATCCAAATAAGATATCTAAATAATGATATGGAAATTATACTTGTCTCTTTCTTGCCTGTTTCTACTTTATTCAAAGGACAATTAGTTGTAGACTTACATTCGCTACTCAATTCAATCCTGTTACCAACCAATTAAGAAATCGATTGACACATTCTTGTTTAGATCTTTGTGAATTCCTTAGCTTTCACAGCTTTTGCAGGTTGATCGAAATTGACTTCCTTTTTTAAGGGAATAGGAGTGTAATTGTTTATTAACAAGAGAACTCCAAAAACTATGGTACCGATGAATAATAATAGGAATAATGTTTCTATGTTTCTACCTAGTGTTTTATCCGATCTTGTTCTTCTTGAGAGGTGGAATTCAAATAAAATTAAAGCAAATAAAAATAATGGAGTTGCTAAAGATAGCATGATTAGAATCAACAAATCTTTTGTGTAAATATTACTTACTGTTTTACAACAATTCAAATTCAAGCATCCCAATGGATGATCTGCAGGATCTGTTGTTTATTCTTCCCATCTCTAGACTTGAGCATCCCGATCACATGTTGTAGAATATACTGAACATTCTTTTTCTCCATTAGGACAATTTTAAGTTTAAATGTCTTTGATATATTTTGAGGCACAGGAGTGTTGAGACAAATAAGATTCAGATAAATTATTCATTTATTATTAGCAATTTGCAATATTACTTTCTTGCTATTCTTAAAAGTCTCTTATGTATTGAGCTTAGAATCCTAAAAGTACTGGAATTATAAGGATTTGAAGGGCTGCCAAAATCATCAGCAATCCCTTGATTTTCCAAGTGTTTGATATGATCGCAAAGACTATTAATCCCAGTATGATTAGGTTCAAAATTGCGCTGATAGGGTAGATGTCCATTCCTTTCAATAAGTAGACAGATCCCCAACAGGTCAAGGATACAGCTATGCAGAGGAGGTATATGTTGAATCGACTTGTTATTGAGGAGATTGTCATCTGATAAAAATTGTGTATGGTGTATGTTAATCCAACTACAATTAAGATTGAAAATATCAATATAATTGGTTTCATAACAGATACAACTTTATCGAATTTCTGGTAATCGTTTCCAATCTTCTCTGATTAGTACAAGCCTTAGACGTAATCACTAGACAAGATAATCAAGATGAAAAAAACGAACTCTGCGATTGCCATAAGGATAGTCAAAAAGAATAATAACCTTCATAAATTAATTTGTATTACCTCCCGTTAAAGTTATCTGTCAATTCTCCCCATTCATCTTCAGTTGTCTTGAGATAGTTCTGTTACTAGTTATTCCAAACCAAGGTCCCGATGCAAATCAAAACGATGAGCACATTTATGATGGCATAGCTTAAAGTAATGTAATTTAACACAAATCCATTGATTACAAACAACATTACAGCGTCTCCGAGTGCCAACAACAATACAACTATGGAAACATATTGTTGTATTGTGGTTAAGGTCAACTTTTCACTGCGATTGAATTCACTTTGAGAAATGAATTACCGACTTTCAAACTCCATTTTTATTTTTTTATTTTTATTAATAACTGTATAGTATTTAAATCAAATTTTAGGTAACTTCAATTATGAGTTAGCCATTTGAGGACGACTAGAACTGCTTCTGATTTCTGATGATTTATTAAAATTTTCAGAAGACAAATTCATTCTCTGTTGAGAACCTCTATTTCTATTCTGAGGTTGAGTGAATCCTAACGATTGATAAAACTCCTTTGATTTCATATTCTATTTCAATTGACTAATCTCAGAAAGAATCGACTGCTTCTTTTGTGGTTTAGGTAATGATCTTATCAATAGTTTCTATCTTACATTTGTATCCTTACTACCCTGATTCACTCCAATGACTACTTACTCATTTGAATCTTCAACAATCTATTGCCTAATTTAAGAATCTTAGAGAGACTGCTCCTCTTAATGACCTCTTTAAGTAGAACACTCTGATTATTAAGTTTTCAAAAGCCTTCTCAAATACTAAGCTCTGATATTATCCATCTACTCATTCTATTCTGTGACAAATTTGATGAATTCGTTTTCAGCCATAATATTTTCATCCTTCTAGTGCTCTTAATTTATTTTGCTCGCAATTTCATCCTCCTCATCCTGGAATCCCTATACTCTAAGAATGGCTTTAAGTCTCTCCTCAGTTACAATGCCCTCCTCAATATCCAAATCAGACATATGATAATTATTCACATCGATATCCAATTCTTATAATTTCTCTTTCAAAGCCAACACCTCTTATTTCAAATATTATCCAGGTTTGCCTACCTCTCTACCATTGATTAGTTCTAACCAAGGACAGTCAACTATAAATTTGTCCTCGTAATCCCGACTGCAAAATGGATTTGCTTGAAACTAGATATCAATCAAATTTGACATCAATTTTAAAAAGTCAAAGCAGTTTTCTGCATAAATCTAATTTGATTACACATATAGATTAGTCAAATATGGGAATTTGAATTCTAGCACTCTTAAATCCTCAATTTGATTATTGCTTAAATCTAGAATATTAAGATTTTCATTCTAATTCTCTATTTTTAAAACGCTTATCTAATTGTAAGATAGATTCAGTTCCTCCAACTCAGTGACAGTATCAATAAATTGAGTATCGCTAATTAGATTATTACTTGCATCAAGAATCTTCAATTTCTTTGTATTACTGAATGAACCTTTTAAAGTCGATATTTTATTTTTTCTAATATTCAATTCCTCCAACTTAAATATATTGTGGAAATAATACTTAAACATTGAATACCAAAAAGTCTATTTTCTCTATTTGATTTCCTCCCAAATTCAAATACTTTAAGTCTTTTAGGTTATTTAGGAAATCAATCTACAATCACAAATTATATGCTACTTTAAGTAATTTGTTGTTCTCCAAATTCAAATGCTAAATTTATCGGCTTCCCAATATTAGACCTGTTATCCTATTAAAGGATAGATCCAATTTTAATAATTTTTGCAATTGAATTCTGTGCACTCCTTCTAATTCATTATTGGAAACCCCCAAATTCTCCAGAATGGCAGAATCTATATTATCAATCAATAGATTAGAATATCAATACTCTTTTCAGTAAATTGTGATGCAAATCCAAAGTCTGAACCAATTTCATATGATCCTTTATGCATTAATTGATTTCCGTAATACCTCACTTAGTAAACATTTAATTACCTAAAATGTTTAATCGAAGGGTCTTCCCTCCGTCTTCCAATTTGGCCATCACGAGTTCTATTGATATAGGTTGTTCCTCTGACATAGGAGTATTTAAATTAAAATTATATAAATAAATAACTTAATTCTAATGTATTTGGTTGTTTTATTGTTATTACCCAATAAAGTAGGTTTACTTGTATGATTGTTACCGAAAACTAAATTTCTGTTTGTTTATGTCATAAAAAATTCTAATAGATAAAGAACAATTATTAATAAGTTAATTAATTAGTTTCTTAGAATTTGTAATAAATATGAAGCAAAGATAGAAATCTCACACTTATCTATACAAACAAATTTGTAAACACCTGAACGTGCCTTGTTCGTCTGGATTACTAAATGGGATTTAAGAGACGGAAATAGTTTTAATTTTAGAATAAATTGGGTTATAGGGTATGAAAATGAAAAATAAATAGATATCGAACCTCTCCAATTATTGCTAGCTCAATGTAAATTCAAAACAATCATACTTAAAAGTATGTAGAAGAACTTGAAATTAAATAAATCTATGGCGCATGATAATTATAAAAATGAATTGCTAGAAATCTTGAGAGTGATTACCAAGTTATTCACTAAGAGTTTAGACGTGATAACATTTGTAATTCGAGACATAAGGATGAGTAGTGAACATATGCAAATAATCTCGTAGGGCATAGCAGTAGTACAATCTTTAAAGGAGCTAAGGATTATATAGTGTCTGATGACCTCTAATCATTTCAGCATTCTGTAGCCCTCTCTAATTTAGAATTCCTCTCTTCACATCGTAGATTTCTCTCATAATTATCTTACTCATCAAATTGGAGTCTTGTTGGGATAATTACTATAAGAACATGGCAAGAGAAGAGACAGCGTCGATTATTTGTATAGAACAAAAGGTGAAAGTCCAGAAGAAGACATATCTAAGATTGGAATAGGCGAATTAGATTTATCATACAATAAATTAAATGATCAGTTTGTTAAAGATGTGGTGCCCTATTTGGAAAGAGATCGATGGATTAAATCCATAAATTTGAAATACAATGCCATTTAGAAAGAGGGGTTCGAACTCTTAATCTAATTACTTGATAAAAATACTACCATCACTAGTTTGGATACTCGAAGAAATCTAGGAACTACTCAATAATTCTAGAAGGAGATTCTCAGAAAACTAATTAGAAACAAAAACACTAAGAATGATTTGCATGAATAAAGAATTGAAGAAGAAAATGAGAATATTTTAGTGAATGTCTCTGCCATTCCATAGAATCTTTTGTCTGTCATATCTGATCAAGAGAGCCCAGTTATGTCATTTGGGGTTTTCGAACCCAACAATTAAACCAAACAGATGTCTATATCTGGAAGACAGGATCAATTAAAGTTTAAGTCCGGCTATAAGAATAATGACTCCGGGTGTTTGGATTGCACTCGATTGCAAATAAAAGTGAAAAAACAATAATAAATTATTTAATTACTTAAATAGGAAGTGTAATATCTTAGATTTCAACTGCAAACTAAACAATAACTACCCCAATAGTAATAATAATAATAACAATAGTAATAATAATAGACAATGAACTTCTTAAATTTATCAGATAATAACAATTAGCATCCACCACCATAAGAAGTGGAATAAGAGGACATGTTGAATAAAATAGAATACATGATGAATGAATTAACTAGAATGATGGATGGTTTGGATGCTCAAGGAAGTGTAACCAATAATTTGAATGCTCATCTTTCAAGCACACTTATTGGATAGGATTACACAAGAGTAATCTGTGAGAGAGATGATAGAGCTAATGATTTTATGAACATCTTGGGAGAAAACAGTCACAATAATTCATCTGAATCTTCAGAAGATGAAGCTAAATCATAGTGATAATATTTTTGGGTTTTTTGATAAAATTAATATATCATTGTTAATCTACTAATTATTATTATTCTAATGGTTTTTCTTTTGGAAGGTCTTACATTTCCATTTCAGCTTCTCTGATTGCTTGTGAATTAATCCATTCATCTACATTCTGCTATCTTTATACTTGAGAGTATTCATTATTATAACTGATTGCAAAGAATATAGCATATAACTTTTGGTTATAAATTATTCAATATACCACTGCTGTTATAAACAATGCAAAAGATCCCTCAACTCTGCTATGAGGTACAACATAAACCGTTTCTGATCCTATTGCTATCATGAATCCCAAATATGTCATAAACACACAACCGGGAGCTGAAATAAACATGCAATATTGTGCACACGACACCATATATATAATTTTTTGAAATTTTATTACTTTTTATTTTATAAATAGGAAATAATAATCAAAGACTTTTTAATCAATAATCTGATTATTTAATTACTTTAATGTTCAGTTCTTTGCATATCATATTGATTATTAAGTTTATTAATTATGTATCTTTAATTTTAATTAAATATATGACATTTGGTATTGAAATTCATTTAGAAAGATAGATTAATACCCTTCAGCCTTTAGCTTTTGCAGAAATAAATTAATTTGAACCTGTTCTCATAATCTCAACTTCAGTATTTTAAATATCTCTATTTTTTTAATTTATATTTGATTCTTATCTTTATTAATAAATACTGCATTAAAAGTGGAATCGATTTAAAAAGGTATCAAATATATTTAATAAAATTTTGATATATAATATTTATAAGGTAAAAATGATATCAATTTTTTAGCTTTTAGGCCAACTTTGCTGATTTTGGTGTGTTAGTAGTCGTTGGTTATTTTGTGACTCGAGATGACGAAGTACTCGAAATAGCAATCTAACTGCTTGGAACACTGGCATTATTATCATAATCGTAGCCATTAAATAAATCTAACAATCATGATTCCTCTTACTTTGTATAGAATTCCTCCTTAACATAATTTATTGATCCTCATTCATCGTATCGTCTGAATCTCTTCTACTGTCTGATGGTAGGTAATTGTCCTCATTACCCTAATAATCACTATTTAACTAATTTTACATTTGGTATAAAAGGTGCAATCATTTCCTTGCTAATCAACTTCTCCCAACTGAAGTCTTTAAACCAAGGATGTTCCTTTACTTCATCTGGTCCATTGTTCCCCAACCTATTCTATGGTTTTCTTTAAAGTAACTAACCTATTAAACACAAATGACTTACTCTGTTTGTAAAATCAGCAGCCTCCAAACTCCATCCTGGAGGTACTTCTTATCTCTTTATGGCAGCCTACTTTGCTAGCATTTATTCTCTTATTTCCTAACGACTTCTTCCCAAATATGGTCTTCTTCCCAACATACATTCGTATACTATCACTCCCAATGCAAAGTAATCTACTGCTACTCCATGATTATGCCCTATAAAATTATAATTATGGATATGATACTGCACATAACTTCTGGTGCCATGTATCCTGGAGTTCCACTAGTGTCTTAAGAATTTTCAGGTTTCCAAATTCTTGCAATGCCAAGATCTGTTAATCTCAAGTATCCTAACTTAATAATGACATTGAAATACCGTTGCCATCAAAGACTAAATTTTCTGGCTTTAAATCTCTATGTAATATCCCTTACTGATGTAAATATTCCAATGCCACTATTATACATGCACTGAAAAACTCTATATTATTTAGAATCAAGAAAATACTTGTTTGTTCCTCATTAAACTTTCTATGTCTTCCGATGTGATATCTCAGATCTCCCCCCGAAAGCAGATCCATAACTAAATACAAATATTCTCTATCTTGAAACGAGTATTGCATATTGATCAAGAAGCTTGTTTTTAATTTCCATATATACTTATGCTTTAAACCACAGAGCAATGCTTTTTCATTCATTACTGACTAAACAGATTTCTTGTTTATGATCCTAGATAATTCACAATAGATTACTTGGGTTTAGACATCACCTTGAGGGCATAAAATTGTTTATTCTTTTTTTGTCGAACTTTCCACACTTTGCCAAAACCACCTCTTCCAATGGCATCAATAAATTGAAAATTTTAAACAGACATCACTACCTATATATTCTAAATACCATTGTTTTCCATTTGATCCTCTTTTTTTTCATTGATATTGCAATTTCCCATTATTATATAAATATATATTAAATTCTTATTATAATTTAACTATCTCTACTCTTTTTTCACACAAAAAGAATTTCCATCTGGAATAATCCAACTTGAACATTCAAAATTGAAAGTTACTAATTATTATAAATCATATGCTAATATAATTAATTCTCAAAATGCAGAGTCACTAAATTACAGAATATCAATTATTTGCATCTTCTTGATTCAAAATAAATCAATGTTAATTAATAATCATATTTTAAATTTAGAGTACCCTATGTAATCCACCTTTTGAAAGTGATATCTAAAATGAAAAAGTCTCATTAACATTGTATTAGAATTGTGATTTATATTAATAAATTTATTAACGAATATGCTCTACGATTCAACCTAACCATACTAAGGAATCAAAGGAGGAACTTCTTTCACTTATGATGATTACGTACCCAAAAAAAGAAACATGTCTACACTATCAACTACTACTAAAAAATAATAACAAAAGACTTAGACTTCAGTGGCAACCTCTAGTAATGTTGAAGACAGATTGCTCGACTATGAAAAAAGAAGATTGATAAAAATTTAAAGAATGCAAATGGAATTCCTTTCAAATAAAGAAAATCATTAACTTCATAAAAAGTTGTAACAAAAATCTGGGTCCAATAAAGTTTTATAGCCAAACGAACTCAGATCAACATAGCAAAACAGCATCTTGAGCCAATGTATGAATAACTTTTTAAAGAAAAATTAAAAAGCCTAACTTTACTTTTGATATGATCAATATTTATATATATATAATAACACTTAACATTATATAAAGTTATTGAATTTATATAATTATGTTAAATCAATTAAATCTATTGGGCAATGTGAATGAGAAAGACATCATCTAAAATTGGCATTCTAAATATTCACAACATTCATTATTGCAATGAAAAGGAGTAAAACGACTTGAGCATAGTTTTTGATGAAGGGTATGTTTTGATTAAATTAAATATTTTAAATTTCAATCAGAGTTTAAGTCTCAATTAATCGTCATTTTCTAACGTGTTTTTTAAAATCTCTGGCTCTCATTAAAATTTGAACACTGTTTCTTGTCTATTGATGTTTTCTGACATTCAATTTCTAAATGCCAATAAACTGAAAATATGGGGGTTATGAATGATAATTAATTCATATCCTACGCAATTGTTCGTTTTGGATTTAATGATAAAAATATAAAACAAGTATAGCTACTCATAAGAAGATCTCATCGGAGAAGGTGCCTATTCTAAGGTCTATAAAGGTTTTTTAGATAAAACAAATGAGTGCGTTGCTGTTAAAGGTTTGAATTTAGCATCATCTTAGTAATTGATTGGAGTAAAGTAAAGGATAAATACTATACCTCTGGGTTTTAGAGAGAAGTTCGAATAATGAGAGATCTTGACCATGAAAATATAGTTAAAATAATTGATATGATTCATGACCCCAGTTAGAATAGAGAATATCTAATAATGGAATATTGCGATAGTTAAAACCTCGCAAACTTCATAAATCAATCTGGAGGAGTTCTAAATGAGAATGTCTCGAAAATAGTATTGTAGTAATTATTGACGGCTCTAAACGAACTAATCAAAAAGGACTACTTACACAGAGACATCAAACCTGAAAATATCTTGATTCACTAAAGGACTTTGAAATTGGCAGACTTTGGATTCTCAGTAAAGGCAGATTATTCGGGCAATCAACTTTTTAGAGAAAATGTAGGCACACCATTGTATATGGCTCCATAAATACTCGAAAATAAACACTATTCGGTGAAAAGTGACATTTGGAGTATAGGAGTCATGGCATATTAAATGTTGACTGGAGAACACCCTTGGGTAGCAGATGACCCAGCACAACTTTTAAAATCCATAAAATCTCAAAAATTATAATTTCCATCACATATTCCAATCTCAGAAGACTTCAAAGAATTTATTAAAAATTGCTTGTAATATGATGAAAAAGATCGATATAATTGGGATGATTTAATCGAACATAAAATATTTAAAACGAAATATGTTATTTAAAAGAATTACACCAAAATCGAACAACTATAAGTATTTTTATATATTAATTCAAGGGAGCAATTAATTAGATAAGACAAGTTCAGAAAAGAAGAGGCACTCCTTTAGAACAATTATTTAATAACTTAGATATGGATGGTGACAAGAAGCTTGCATTCGAAGAATTTCAAGTATTACTACTTTATGTGGACAATCTTATGGAAATCAATATATAAAAAGGAATCTTTTACAGATACAACGTTAGCAAAAATAACTTACTTAATTTTAACGAGTTTAGCAGAATATTTTGTTGATCTTAATTTGTATTTATAATATTTACTAAGATAAATTAGTTTCCAATTATTTAATTCAAGGAATATCATAACTTAATATTTAAAGTAAAAGCAATCTCTGACTTAACAAATTTTTCGCTTTTTTTTAAGTATGTTTTTTCTTAAAATTTGGGGAATCAATGAACTAATTTTTAATCCATATAGTAAATAAATTATATTATTCAAAGGACTTTCTCATTTATTTAATACAATTTCAATTAACGATAATATAATTAAAAATAGATATGTCTAGTTTAATAATTCACTCCAATAAAATAATCATATTGAAGTTATTAAAATATTTAGCAATTAATAAAACTAAAGAAATGGATTTTGGATATCTTAATTTAAAAGTTAAAATCGAATGATTTTGTTTAAAATTAAGATGAGTTTCGTTTAAAGTAGATAGTAATCAAATATTTGATCAAAATAGTAGTAAAATTTGTTGAAGCACTATCTTTTTTTCCCAAATATTTAGAGGGTTAATATCAATTTACATTACAATTTTGATTATAAAAAATGCATTAGTTGGCTTATTTAGTGCTATATACAAATAATATAAAAAATGATTATTTGTTACTGTTTATACGTGTTAATTAAATTATTATAAATGAATTCTTTAGTTATAGTTTTTGTAATTCTTTTAGTTCATGGCCAGGAAATAGACTGGGGATTGAATCTCGATTAAGAATAAAAACGAGATTATTTAATTGTCAATAGTAATGTTCAAATAAATTAGGCTGGATGTAATATTATAAAATTATAATAAGCAAATAATTAATAATAAAAAGGATAGTATATACAAGGTTAAGACTAAGGAACCATTAGTGAGGAGAATAAACGACAAATTTATGAAGAATTTCTTTCTTACGATTTGGATGAAGGTACAGATTATGAGAAATAATTAGATGGCATTTTAAGAATAGATGAACTAAAATAATCATTTCGAGGGGAGGCAGAACAATAGGTTAGAAAATTATTTGGATTCGGGGATAAAGACATGAATGGTTTTCTCAACTTTGAAGAATTCTTTAAATTCAGGACCAGAGATTCAATGTCAGATTTATGAAATTAATGAGGACATATTTATAAATTATACATTTCATTTTGATCGCTTATTTTATGCACAAAGGAACATTTTTTAAGCCCTTTAAATCAGTTGCTTATGATATTAAATCAAATCATTAGTTGATAGTTTAGAAATAGTTAGTTATTTTCTTTATGAATAAGTTGATTCAATGTGAATAGTAAGTTGTTTTTTAAATGTTAGGGAACTATTCGGTGAAATAGGAGTACTATCTGTTTGTTTTTCTTTGCTGCTACGTCTGCTTGATGCTTTATACTTGATAATTTTTTTATAAGGTGAACATTCTCCGGTTTAGATCTGAGGTTATGAATAGACTCTTATTCTGCTTTCTTCTTATTTTCGAGATAAAAATTGATTCAAAAGACACTATATTAAATTATTAGTTATACTTTACATTGATGTTCTTTGGATTTTAAATGCTCTATTTAATTAGTTACTCTAATTGATCACGTTCAGTTTGATGAAAACTGCGAATAGGTGATACATTAGTCAATTTCAAGGACATTCTCTCAGTTTTTGGGGCTTATCGTTTGTGTTTTATCTGAACATGATTATGATTATGTAGAAATTAATTATCAATCAGCATAAAATAATAATTCTTGCCTTTAAAATGGATGAATAAACTTGATATTTTGTTTAATATTGATATTCTCATATTCAAATGAAAAAATGATGGAGAACAATATGAAATTGGATATTATCATAAAAGAGCCAATATTGAAATGAAGCTTTCAATTTAATTTTAAGTTTAGATTTAATCCTAATTTATTAGTAGTAAGAGTTGATTTATGTTAATATATATAAAACCTTAAGTAAGTCATTTATTATTAGATTTATTCAAATTAATTTATAAAATGGCTGCAATAGAATAGCAAGATGGGATGATAATTGATGAAAGTAAATAAGGTATGAAATCAGTATACCATGTAGATTCAAGGATGAATTTTGCTGATGAAATTATTATTGACGATCAACATATTCTTACGATATCGGCAGAAAAGATGTTTGAAGAGCCCTAAAAACGTACACGCAAATCAAGATGGGGAGGAAGACCTGATAGAAAGTGTGCTAGACCTGAGTAAAAACACTTGCAATTCAATCCTTTAGAGGCGATGATGAATAGAAAATGCATCTTACCTGTAGGAGCCCAAAGCTTAGCCCCACCTGTACCCATTGGTATGGCCTTACCTTGGGGTATGCAACCAATGCCTGTGATGCCAGTTATGCCATAGCCATATGGCTACAATTTTGTGCGAACAGATACTTCTGTATTGGGATTTGATTAATAATTAGCATACTCGATGGGGTCCTGAATACGAAAAAACCTTTCAACCTCCTTCTTTAAATTGTATACCTCCTGATTTGAGTATTGATGATTTAGAATATATAATCAGATTGTATTGTCTTGATGATATCAATTAAAAACTACAATAACCAATAGATAGTAAAATGGATGATCCTGATTTAAGGTCTCCTTCTCCGGAACCAGTATATGATCAACATGGTAAGAGGGTGAACACAAGGGAGGTGAGAAGAAAAGAAAATTTTTAAAGAATTAAATGTTCTTTGACTGAAGAATGCATTAAAATAAATAAAAATTTTGTTCCTCCTTATGATTTTAAGCCTTTGAAGAAATCATAAAAAATATATTTAACAGATACTCTTAATGCTCCTGATACAAATTATATTGGTCTTATTTTGGGACCAGGAGGAAATACTCAAAAATTCTTGGAGGGAAAGACTGGATGCAAAATTTCTGTAAGAGGCAAAGGAAGTTCAAATACTAAGAAGGTAGATTGGGATATGGATGACAAATTGCATGTCTTAATTCAAGCAGACAATGATGAATAACTACAATAAGGTGTAATTGAAATAGAGAAAATATTATCTGGGAATCAAGAAGATGAATAAGCTAGAAATGCTAGATTATAAGGATAAGTTATAGCTACAGTATTAAGAGATGACTTTTGTGAGTATTGTCATGAAAAGGGTCATAGAACATATGCTTGTCCTACTAAGATTCCTTTTGAAAAAGCAAGAGTGAAATGCGAAATCTGCCATGAATTTTCTCATCCAACTTCAGATTGTCCATAAAAGTTTGAACACAAAGAGAGTTTCATCCAATAATAATATGATAAATATAGAAAAGATTTAGGTTTGGAAAAGAATACTGAAATATTGTCATAAGATAATTAAAATGAAAAAAGAACTACAGAATAAAGAGTAAATTTGTTTATTTATATTTAAGGTTGCTTTTATTACTAATGCTTAGATTGTAAAACCAATCTAAAACTTATAAATAGAGGATGATAAATTTATTATGGAAAGGCTAAGAAGAGAATAACAAGAAAGAGACAATTATGAAAAGGCATAGAAAAAAGCATTAGAATAATATACATTATAATCCCAGGAAAACTAAAATAAATGATGAATCAATATAATTATTCAAGGCATCTAAAATTATAAATAATATTAATTTGTTTGATAATCAAACAATAGTTTAGTGAACTGACTTTCTAGCCTAGAAATGATTAAGAAAATTTAGTTGAGAGTATTCTTATGTTTCACTTTTCTTTAGTTTAGATTTTTTTCTCACCTGAAGGTTTTATAGTATTGAATCCTTCATCAAAACTTTGAAAATTGGTATGGCACAAATATTGGGTGATTCTGAATCAACTAAAAATTCTTCAACGTTTTTGTCAAAATTATCAGTCTTAGCTTGAAAAAATCCATTACTTCTTTCTAGAAGGTTTTGTACTAATAAGGGTTGTTGTTAATTATTCAACAATTACTCCTCTTGAATAGTATCATTAAAGAAATAAGGATGAGATAATGCTGATTCAGCACTTATCCTCTTTTCTGGATCTAATTCTAATAAATCTTTCAATAAATTCAGCTCATTTTAACTTAATTTATATATTTAAAGAATCTGTAAGTCTATTTTACAAGTTCTATTAAGTTTTAGAATTTCATTTGTTGTTTTTCCATAGAATAAGTCTCTTTTTGTAACTCTATAAAATCAAGAAAATTTATACAATTTAAAAAAGATACAACCAACACTAAAGATATCCACTTTTTCATTGTAATTATCTTTGAATGTTTCTGGCGCTGCATATCCTGGAGTACCAGAATCTCCTAAGTTTATTTGAGAGTTGATGGGTACAGCAAGATGAAAATCAGTTAATTTAAGCCCTTCTATTGAATCTTTATTTTAAAAGACAATTGCAGTTGGTTTTAAGTCTCTGTGCATTATGTTATGGAAATGAATTTCTTTAACAGCAGTAAGTAATTGCTATGGGTTTAATTTGCATATACTTTCATTATTATTAATATCTAGGGTTTGTCCAGAGTCACTCTGTTAAGCAATTCATTTAAATTAACACCATCCAAGTATTCTTAAATTAAATAGACAGTATTTTCACCTGTAAAAACCTCATGTAAACTTTAAACATAATCTGATTTTATTTTATTCAGGCAATATATTTCATTGTAAATACGAGACTAAATAAAATGTAAAATTTTACCATTGAATCTTCAAACTGATTTTTAGCATGGCATTTGATTTAAAATTATTTGTTATCGATTAGATCAGAACATAAATACAACTAAATACATTTAATTTTTTACCTCATCTAAATTACTGCCACCAAGCAATGAGAGAGGTTTGTACAATTGATGTACAGTTTTAAACATAATTTGATTCCTTATCGCCTCTCTAAGCTTCATTAAGTCTTCGTGAGTAGAATGGAATAGTTTTTCAATTCTATTCCAAATAATCCCAAAACTAACAAGCTAATTCAAATGATTGAGTTGCCAAGAAATGATGTTGTGTAATTCCAATTCTAAAATGTATTTAGGTTCTTTTCCAAACTTTATTATTTAACTCTTTATACTTGACTCAAAGTTATCTTGTTTGGTAAAAGTAAGAGGACGTATTTCTAATCCAAAAACATGTGTTATCTAATGCAAATGAACTTTAGTTATGATTCCATTTAAAAATAATAGATTTAATTTTTTCATTACTTAGCATTATACATTGAATTATTTACAATACAATTAATCTCGTTTTATTTCTTAAAAAAAATTATTGAATTTAAAACTATTCAATATCACATTTTTCAAAATGTAAATGAACATATTTGAGATTAAATTAGAATCGAATGCCAATCATCACCTCAAAAAAAACCATAAGTTAAAATTGGAACAAATACTAATACTTCTTCAGATGAACAAAAAATATAAATAAAATCATTCAAAAAAATTCTTGTCGCTTATATTTAAATGAAAGGGAAAAATGCAATTAAGAATGTATATAATCATTATTTCTATATTACTTAATAAGTCCTAATTTTATGAAATTGAGAAAGAAGCAAATAATTAAATGAAATTATTCCAGTGACTACTTTTATCTTTAATGTGTAAACTATATGATCCTCTACAGAAATCACTTTAGGGACTATTAACCGAGTATTAATTCTATCCCTTCTATCTCTATTTTCATTTTAATCTTAAGAAAGCATTCTGAGATAATTTTAGTGGATAAATTATTAAGGAACATTAACCTTTTGAAATATAACAACCTTAACCTAAATATATTTAAGATAAATGCATCATAATTAAGATAAATTATAGCCTGAAGAGGTGTATATAATAATGATCACTCTATATTATAAAAGTATAAAAAAAATTAATCTAAAATTAAATTTTATCATAACATTTTCTAAGCTAAATTCCAACATATAATCTTCATTTCTGAATCATTAATTCAGTAGAACTAAATCCTAAATATTTCGTTATTATCTAAATTTAGAGGAGCTTAAAAAGGCTATCAATAAAAATTAATAGACTAATAATATATAATTATAAGCAATAAATGATAAAGGGTTTAATTTTGAAAATTAAAATAATGTTTTTGTCTATCACTTTCTTAAGTTTACTTATTTTTCCACATATCCTATTAAATCACATAGTCCTTATTGAAAGAGTAACTTTTAAACTGATAACAAATATAAAATTGAGTAAAAAATACTCATGAAATTATATAAGGCAAACATTTTAGGTAATTATAAATTCTTAGATTTGATATTGATTCTCAAAACAGTATTACATATTCTATATTCAGATAATTATTAATATTAACAATAATTCTATTTGATTTAACTCTAAAATATTAGATACTTATTAATAGTATTCATCAATCTGAGAGAGACTATTTATTTTCAAATCAAACCTAAATAATCAAACAAATTTAACAAATCTTTTAGAATTTTAGATTTGTGTATATAATGAGCTGAAATTAATAATTGTAAGTTATATGTGCATCATTTTTAGTTAGAGTATATTTTGAAGTGTAAATTGGCATTCTTAATTGGAGTGTGTTTTTGAAATATCTTTGTAATTTATTTCAAATGCATCATTATTAAGTCAATTAGAATTAAAAATCAATTAATTGAATTTTCTGTGTCATTTACATATTTAAAAATATTAAGATAAATAGCAAATTGCTTAGTATTATTTGAGATTATTGGTTTTTATTAATAGAGTAATATTATATTGGGAAGAATTTCAGGGAATTTTATAATAATAATAATTTTTATAAATAAATTACAAATACTAGCGATTTTCAATTTTTGATCATTGAAGAAGTTAGCCTAGAATTATAAGAATCATTTAAGAGATCCAAAATATCTTATTCTTGTTCCCACAATTGTTAAATTTTCATAAAGTCTTATGCCTTTTTCTTAAAGCTATCAAGAACGGCTTTCTTGTGTTAAGATTTAAATTATTCTTATTTTTATTATTTGTACATGGCTAAGTTTAATTGTTATTACTATTCATATTATTGAACTCTTTATTTCTTCTCCACATTATATGATTTTGATCTTTCCTTTTAGAGAATGATAACTTTATCGTGATTCAACGATTACTTTTTCATTAACTCAAATTATTGCTTCTTCTATTACTGCACACTTTATCGAATTTAAACTTTAAGTGATTATTGCTGTTATTTCAAATGCTTAGTTTTTTCTCTGAATAGTTCCAGAGATTGTTCCCTCGATTCTTTATGTTTACTTTACTAAATAGATGACTGATTAAATACCTACTTCAAGTATTCGTTATATTGATTTCTAATGCTATTTACTTGTTCACTTTTTATTTCATTTTAGATTTGTTTCCCTTATCTAAATACTCAGAAATGTTACAATCGTTATTGAAATACTGCCAACATTTTGACTCTGTTGACCATAACATCCAATTATCGTTTCATCTCTAATTACTCTTTCTTAGAAATTCTTTGACTTAATTTTTCAATTGTGTCTTAGTTACTAAAAGAATCCTAATTCTAACTTATACAACACGACATAAAGAGTTTATTTCTAAATTAAATAATATAATGTATGAGTAGAAATAATTAAATGATATTCTAATCCGAAACAACAACTAAAAAGAAGAATAAAAAACAAAGTGTTATCTATATATTTGACAACATTTACAAATAAAATTGTTGACATGCATTCTCAACATTATAAATTCGATAGTATTTGAGTTGAGTTGAGATGGGATTAAATTTATATTACTTTGCTTTGATTTCTCGATATTTTAGGAGGTTTTACATTGATATTTAAAATGGAAACAACTTTAATAATTAGCAATTTCAAAATTTGATAGTTTATGAATTATAAAGTATTCAAAAGTAAGAAATTATATTCTTTAAAAACTAAGATAATCTCTAAAAATAGCTTGATTTCAAAAATTATAAATTTTGTTGTTGTTTTTATAAATGAATTAAAATTATTTTATCAAATGCAGATATTTGATAATGATTAGATAAATAATTAGAAGAGAATCTAACGGTTTGATTATTTGTATCAATTTACAATATGATGAGAAAATATTACACTAAATATAAACTCATTTTCTAGACGGTTCAGTTAATAAATTTTAATAAACTTTAAGGTTTGTTACACTTTTAGTATTTTTTAGTGTTTCATTAGAACCTAATACTGAAGACAATTATGACTAAGATTATTGGGATAATAAGGATTATTAACTATTCTGAGAATTTTTAGTTCTCTTCCTCACCAACGAATCTATAGTGTCTTTTGTCACTTAAGTTGAAGAATTTTTATCAAATTCATAACACTGATATCTTTTTTATTGATAAAAGAACGAAGTGTCAAACATTGGTATAAATTGATTGATCAATTTTTGCTCACGATTTAATTGTTCGAATAATATTCTATCATTAGTAGTAGGTGATTTAAATTATAATTTTGTTAGATCTGGAATGTAAGGAGGGTCCACCTATTTTTGGATGTACTTTGCAATATCGATATCTTGAAACCAAGGATGTGCTAATATATCATCTACTCCACTTTTGGAACCTAACCTTTTATTTGGATCCTTTATCATAAGCAATTTAATCAGATCCTTTATTTCTGGACTTAGTTTTTTTGGGAATTAGACTTATTCGTTTAGCAATCTTGTATAAATAATGTTCTTATCTTCACAGTAGAAGGGTGGAAGACCTGTAACAAATTCATAGAGCAAGGCTCCTAAACAATAATAATCAACTAAATTGTTGTGACCATCATTGTGGAACATTTCTGGAGCCATGTACTCTGGGGATCCACAAAAGGAATAAGCATTTTATTCTGGTTGCATGTTTGGTCTGGCCAATCCAAAATCCGCCAGTTGGATATGTCCTGTTATATCAATAAGAACATTTTCTGGCTTTAGATCTCTATAAATAATTTATTGATGATGCAAGAATCCCAAAGCTAGACATACTTCAGTGATGTAGAATCTAGCTTAAGACTCAGTCATTTTCTAGACTCGCTTCATATAACTAAACATTTCTCCACCAGGGCAATATTCTATGCCAAATATGATCCAATTTTTAGTTTCAAAAGCAAACTCAATTTTGGATGTAAATAATGAACCTTTATTTGTAGTTTCAATTAATATATCTCTTTCATTTTAAACCAAATCCTATTTTTCATTTTATACCACAAAAGACTTACTAATTAATTTCAGAGCAATAAAACTGCCGTCAATTAGGGATCGAGATAATATCACTGTAGAGAATCCACCTTTCCCAATTACATGTAAAAATTAGAAACAACTTAAATTTAGCTGTTTGGGAGGGGAAATTCCAAAAATGGGTTTCATACGGATGGTCTTGCCTACCATGTGGGTCAAAGGCAAAAAAGGTATTGTAAGGTAATAATCAAATCCAATATTTTCATCTAGAGTCGCAAATCCTACCACTTAATAGTTTCCAGACTTATTCTTAAGCATACTCAGCACTTTATCTGTTGTTGCATTTGCACAGAATTTATAATTCTAGGTTACTTCTGACGAATAATGAACATAGATCTAAATTTCTGATTTCGGTAGTTTATCAATTGAGGAAGATTTACCTCCTATCTAAACTGAATTGGTTAATAAATCTTCAACACTATTTCGACGAGTCATGGATCCTTTTTCTAAAATCAATTTATTTTTGTTTGTTAGTTTTTGATTCAGGATCAAGTTGATTCCTTTGGTTAGTTATTGAAAAGGAAGGTTAATTTCAGTTGGAACCTTGGGTTGCTTTGTTTGTGGTTTTGCTTTGTCCCTTGAATTAGATCGCTATTGACTATGCACTCTCTCAGTAATACTCCCATGATTCACCTTACGACTTGTATCTGGCTTTACTAAGTCCTTCAATATTATTTGTGACAAATTCCTTTGTAGAAATTTTAAAGGAGATTAGGATGCATTTTTGCTAGTGTAATTCTTGGTGCTCATCTAAAAGTTTTGAATCACTCTAGCTGGTGACAATATCTAACCACTTCGTTATCTCATTCTGGCTATCAAATAAAACAATATAATATATATTATAAACAAATTCAAGATGATAAACAATAAGTTTGATGATGATTTGGACGATTTATTAAATGACATCAATTCAGTTATGGATAACAAACAGAGCAAACCAGTTTCATAATAAAACTATTAGCCATAACAACAGCCGAATCAAAGTTAACAATAAAAAAGGAAATGTTTGTCTCCCCAAATTGGAAACCAATAACAATTTCGAACATGCACAAATCTCAGATGTCTTAAATGTGATCTCTAAGTTAAATGTCACTTTAACTAAAAATGGAACAAAGACGCAGATTATTTAATATTCAGAAACTATTTTAATAATATGGCAATCTTATAAAAGTATTTGACAGAGGACAATCAATACAACGCATACAATTGTCAATGCACTAATATTAATGCTCTTGAATCTATAGATGCACCACAGAATTGGGTGTGTTCAGGACATGCCATTTGAAAATATATTTAATAATTATTATTAAAATTTAGACTAGATTCTATAATTTATGCAATTCTCAATAATTTTGATGTGTAACTAATGTGTATAATGAATCAGTTGTTGCTAATAATTATTATTGAATATCAAAAATTGCAGGAGAATATCACTTAAAATCATGATATATAAAATAGTTTATCCATTCTAATTAATATTTGATATTTCAATAGTTATGATTAGTGTTTTAATATGGTATTATTTATTTTTAATTACGGATAATATAAAATACTAATTTCAATAATAATTTTTATCTATTATTTATTTTCATCTACTGATTAGAGTAAAATCATGTTTTGTCTCATTAATCAATATATATTTAAGAATATAAATACATTAAATTTCCAAAAAAACGAGTCAAATTTCTGATTTAATCTTTTGATCTAGTACTTATATTATTGGATTATCTAATTGATATAATATAACTGAGAATTCACAGATGTAACATTATCTAAAATAAAAATTATTAATTATTATTAAACAAACATATGACATTAGAACAAGCAGTATTTATAATTTGAATTTAGTTGTCTGAAGATAGGGAATATTTGAGATTGTAAAAACTCACTGAGGCATTAAAACAAATAACAAACGAAATGCCTTACCTGAAAACTTTTAATCAAGTGTCGACCATTAAATATTGTAAAATATTTATGCCATAAATAAGTGTTATGTGCTTACCCATTCAATCCAATAACTGTAGAACTTGTCATCACTAGTCTAATAGATCATTTTTAAGATGAACAATTTATTTACACCTTTTTTTCAGCCATAATGGAATTGGCATAAATATAAGAACTGAACACTATGTTAGGACATCGAAAATCAAAAGTGATGGATATGTATTACTTATTTTAATTATTTGAGTTTTCCATAAGCTAAGTCAATCCACTTACCTCATCAAGTTGGGCAGAGATTTTGTAGAGCTGTTTATGAAAATATATTGGAGGCAAAGAAATTTGCATGCCAATATTTAAAATAGTTGTTTGATGTTGCCATATAATTTTAATAGGATATCTAATATTTTTCTATGGTGTTCAAGTTGATGATCAAAAATTCAACCAACACTGAATTTATTCATTTTGTAATATAAAAATATGAAGAATGCAAAATTGATTTGTTTGGAAATCACAAATGGATTGATGATTTAGATGATGAAATTATAGAATGTAAGTTTACTAACAAATTTATTAGATTTTGAACAAAGCCAAATACCAATGCCCTTTGCTGTAAGTAAAGGACTGGAGTAATAAAGATAGGATATCAAATTGAGTACCATCTAAAACAACACTTCAATGAGTAATTCTAACAACGATTCCTCAATTTTGGATGAAGTTGACATAATTAAAAAAGAACTCGAGACTCTCTATGTGAATATGCAGAAGTGGCTCTGTATTGTAGGGACTCCATCTCTAAAATCTAGAATCGAATATTTGAGTGATGAACATCACTTCGATTATTTAATGTCCTTCATATTTAATCCATTAAAATATGAGCCAATTTAAGATTGGGTATAGACATAAATTATTTTAGGAGGATAAATTTAATAATTTACAAGTTGAAGTTGAGTAGACAGATTATAAAGTGGAATCATAATTGCCATCAAAATATGAACTGATAAGATCATATAAAACTACATTAATATTCTTGACTGATGACAACTTTTAAGTGATGATTCAAACTGTTCCTAAATTAATCCCAGTTCTTCGTATATTATCTTAATTATATTTAAGTGTATCAAATAAAAGTGAGTTTGGAAGAGAAGAATAAGTCAGTTAATCTTTTGCATATCAGCTGCATTTTGGATAAATTTCTACAGAAATATCCAAAATCAACTGTATTATTAATGACTGAATTGAATTTATTTTAAATCCTTGGAAAATATATCTACAATAACAAGTTAGCTACAATATTGGTAGATGTTTTAGATATTTAAATCGATAGATATGGTATTGGATCTCCATGTTAAGAATAATTATGGAAATATTTTCAGCGCATTAATTGGTTTGAAACAATCTCAGTTCTATTGATCAACAAAGATTTTTAATTCTAAATTTTGGAACAAAAAGAAAACTAGAAGTACATTCAATTACTTAGATCATTTGCTTTAAGTGAGAAAGAAAAAACTCCACCAATCATTGATTGTGATGAAAAGAAGAAGTTAACTGACTTACTAGGAACATTATAAGCAGGCAAAACAATGGAAGAATATTATAATTCAAATTAATTGAATTGGCAAATCAATTAAACTTAAAGGGAACACATATTGTATAGTCAAATCGAAGTTTAAGATATTGATGGGTTAAAAAAGTTCGTACAAGAAAGAGATTCAAACCTTTAAAGATCTATACATAGAATTAAGACTTAATAAATGATTAAGTCTACCAAAATCACAACGTAAATTACAAGAAAATCCTCCTAAGTTATACGCTGTATATAAATTAATAAACCTATTTTGAGAGGCTTTCATGGACATAGAAGATATTGCGAGAGTATAGATTTTTAATCAGATACAATAAGAGAGGATTTAAATAATGATGAGGAATTGAAACTTCATAAATCCAATCCAGGGAGTCTTAGGACTAGTTAATAAAATTCTGAAGATGATGAAGATATGGGATCGATTTCTCCCAGAAAGCTTAAGATTTATCCTGGATATAAATTGCATTTGTATGTAAGTGATTTTGAAAAGAATGAAACCAAATTTAAAATCAATAAACTTTATTCTGAAGAAGCAGTCTAATTACTAAAATTCTAAATTACTGCATTATTCAATTATCTAGATTTGCAACACACTAATAAAATTAAAGTTGAATAACAAAAAATTGATATCAAGCCTATCATTAATTCTCTATTGACAACTTAAATTGTTATGAAACTCCATTAGTTTTTTTTATATGGAATCTTGAAAGATGAAGCAACTATCGAATATTAATTAGCTGAAGAATGTGGAATTATTGTTAACAAGATTTATAAATATTCTTTGCTATACTAAGAATTACAAGAAATCAAACCAATTTTATAAGATACATTTCTAAAAACAGCAGAATACTTATGTAAATTGATAGTCAAAACATATCAAAATTAGGACAATATTTCTGGACTTAAGAAAATTTAAACATTTTTGCTTCTTACTTTCAAACAAGGTTATTCAGTATTTCATTTAGATCCACATTCCAAAGAAGATTATGGAGTTCATAAATTTTTTCACTCAACAGTTATTCATATCCTCATATACTGGTTTTTTAATAGCCAAAACAATAATTTGTATTAGAATATCTTTTTGAAGTATACAGTTTATTAATTTTAGATTCATCACTTTGGTGTTGGCTAATGCTCCGCCTGTAATCTTGAGTAGCATCTTATTTAGACTTGGACTTATAGGTTTGCTCTTCGACACTTACAATATTTACTGTTTGAATGGAAATGAACATGTACTTCTAGCAGATAGTCTTCTTGCTCATGTTAAATGTATTGTGTATTCCATAAATGCTTCAATAACGCATAGATAATTGACTGCAATTTAAATGAATCTAAGATGTCTTGATTCTTGGAAAAAACTTATAGATACTAGTCCAAAAGGAGAACTATCAATCTATAAAGAAATAAACTTTATCATCAATCCGAATTTCAATTTTAAGCACAGCAAGATAAATTTCTATTCTTCCTAAATGTCAATAGATAACAATGAATCAAATAATACTCCAAAGTTAGGTAGAATGAGGGATTAATACAATTCACAAAGATTGAAAGGAAACTATAAACTGCAACATAAGCTTCCTCTTTTACATCCTCTTAATTAAAAATAACATGTTTTGTCAAAAACATTTAGTACAAATAACAAACAATGATAATTAGAATATATATATTATAATACTAAATCAAAAACCTTATTTAACTATTTAACCAGCTTTATTCGTTATTGTTGATTTTTTACTTAGAATTTATGTTAATTCATTTTAAAGCACAGCTGAGAGATTATTTGTGATAGGAGAAGAAGGTTCAATTCTATACTTACTAACCTACTTCTCTTCAGATTGTTATAAGCTGCTTTGTTTTTTTATTTAGCTTGATTTCTCCTATAATTCTTATTCCAATTATTGCACATATTAATCTAATTAGGTGATCTTATTTTAGAATATGCTTAATTATTTTTTATAATAGTCAATTTGTTAATTAACAGAGTTTTTCTTTGATATATCTTCTTTGGCTAAATTGAGCAATTGATAGTATTGCTATGAATTCGTAGATCTGATCTAACTTCTATAATTATACTTATTAACTTGGATTTTCATATCCTTTATCATTTTGTCAAATGCGTTGAATTCCACTCCAGATCCTTCTTCTAAACTATGAAAAATTGGGATATACTTTTCTAAGACAATATCTAACTCTTCATTTTTATCAAAATTTAATTAATTTTTTTCATTTGAAGGAAGTATCGACTACCTAATTTTCTTAACAAAGATTACAGCGTACACTGCCCTTCTAAATCGTTTATATATGAGATTATTATTGTTTTTAAACTCATTTCTCATTAAAACAACATAATGCAAATAGTTTGAATATTGTATGAATTATGAGAAAGTTCTTTAGGATTTTTCAACTGATAATAAATGAGATATCACGCTGTAACTTAGAGCAACTTTATTTTAAGATATAGCTTTTCTTACTTATAAATCAGAGTAATCAGATTTTAATTGATTATGCTCATTTTTTAGTTCTTCAAATTCTTAAACAATATTTTAAGTTTACCATTTGGATTGTTAAATTTATTATTCTTAGGCCAGAAATTATTGATCTAAGTGATAGCATTTATCGATTAATGAATTTATATATTAGTTATCTTATTAAGCTTTTAGATTTTATTATTATAAAGCATCCTCAAGCTAATTGATTTTATCATTTTATTATTCTTATATAGACTTGTGTTCTAATTATAACTTTTCTTTTGTTTTTGTATATTCTTAATTTAATTAATCAAATTTTAGTTTAAGTTATTCTCCCACTTTATGCATATCAAGAATATTCTCACTAATTGAATCTTTTTCTTCTTTTAAATGTGCATTGGATTCAATCAGATCCATCAAAATATCTTTAATATCAACAAAAAAATCTTCAATTTGTGAAATGTTGTAACTACTTTTTTTTTTCTTTTTTGAACTTGAGTGTTTGTTGGAGGTTGAAGATTTTTTGCCTTCCAATATTGGATCTTAAGGAATGTAACTTTTATTTATCTATAAACATTCTGACATAATTTCATCGATTTGATTCTACACATAGCCAAATAATTTTGAAAATTCTTTGTTTTAATTTTCAATAGTTGAATTATAATCTTTCTATTATTCATATTGTTCATTAAAAACTTCACATTGTTTTCTTAATTTCTCATTTGCCTTATTCATTTCATCAAATTATAGTGCATAATTCTTTTCGCATTCCATTGCAGTTTAAATTTAAATATTGAATTGTTCATTTAATTAAGAATGCTTTTTCTCTAAATCTTCAAATTAAATTTTGACATATTTTAATTCAACTAACTCCTAATGCTACTACTCCAATCTGGTTCTATAATCTTCCAACTCTTGTTTTAGTAAATCATTTTCTGTTTCCAATTATTTCAACATATTAGTAACACTGTTTTCAAATTTATTCTTTTCAGCAACGATCTGTCTCATCTATTGTTCTGCATCCTATTTCTCCTTCTTTAATTGTTAATTCTTCTTAGTCAATTATGACAATTCTTCTTCCAAGCCCTTTACAGCATCCTTAATCAATGCAATTTATTCAGTCAATTCCTATAATGCCTATTCTTTAGATTGTATTTCTTGACTGTAATATTGCACTTACTCTAATAATTCTTAATTTTTATCTTATACTTCTTTTAAAGCAACCAATAATTATTGATTAAACTATTACAATTACTTAGTTTTCCTTTATTGATTCTCAAACATCTGATCATGTTCATCCTACAGAATCGAAAATTGACGATCTACATAATCTTTTTGTTTTATTGCCTAATTCATTTGCTCCTCCATCTCTGCCAACCTCTCTTGCAACAAATTAATTGTCTAATCCTTTATTTGAATGTCATTATTAAGCAACTTGATTCTTGTGTAACTTTCTTAAATTGCCTACACACTATCAGTCATATTAAATTCAAAAATATTAAAAAAATAACAATTTCATATCACTTCATAATCATTCCCACTATATTCATGCCCCCCTTGGCCATTTCTCTTTTCAATTGTTATAATTTCTTCTGGTGCTCCCCTCTGCATTTGTAGAATCCTTACAAATTAGTCAAAGACAAAACAAAACATACTATTGGCAAAGGTAACTATACTCTATTTACAATCATACCCAGAATATTTTGAATCCAAAGAAGTCTCCAAGACACATTATGCACCAAAAGAGTGTCCCATAAATGAGACAAGCCCAGAAGAAATACCTATCAACCTTATTGGATTATTCCTGGGATTGAGTTTAGAACATCCATTTCTACTCGCCTTTGATATCCATCTCAATCCACCAACGCAATCCAATCAGTTTCAAGCCCAAATAATTCTTCAGCACTAGAAATTGTGCCAACTACAGTAAAATAACTAAGGGGTAAGCATGAATAACATCTTGCAACAGGATAAATGACAATCCTGGAATTGAAGTTAATGCCAAAGCAGCAACACAATAATAGGGATGAGCTGCCTCAGTAATATCATACTCTTATATTAATAAATCTTTCTATGGAAAACATAAACAACATATATACATTAGCTGTCTCCACTTCCTCTTCCTATTAGGTGTTCTAGTAGACAGCATCATACTTGTCGACTGTCAAATCAACATCAGGTTCTACATGCTCAGTTAATTTCTTGGGCTGTATGTTTATTTTAAAATCTAAGGAGTTAGATTCCATTAAATATTTTATTTTTATATTTATATTTCATAATTAAAACAACTCTTTATTCCAATGCTCTCTTGAATTTACTTAACAACAATTCTAATTATATTTAATTAATATTATACATTTGAATAAATGGTTAAAAAATCACAAATATTTTGAAAAAAGGAATTTATTTCCTTAAGAAAAGGGAATGAGAGAGTAAAATGAAGTGCTTAACTTAAGTAAATTTCTACTTGTTCGGATTACAAATATTCTAGATTTTGACTATAAAGTATAAAAAGGAAAGTTACTTATAAGAGTCAATAATAGTTTTTGATAATAATCCCCCCAATTAGGCTTAAAATATACTAAATTTTCTTAGTTATCAAGATACTTGTACTAAATAATTACTTTTAACTCTTTCATTCTTATTATAAAAATTTAAATTATGAGTGGATAATATAAATAGAATTTTTACTAAAATTAAAGTTAATTAATTAATATCATTCGCAATATTATGTAGGATGCCTCCTAAAAGAAATACGGTTCTCTCCAAATCTCGAATTGGATGAAGAAGGTATTGTAATAGCAGTTGATATGCTGTTATAATTTGTAGTACAAGTAGATTTGGCTCTTGGCAATCTTAATGGGCATTTTGAGTGTGGTCTTTGTTCAGTTATGGTGATCTCGCGACTGAGGTTCATTAGTTTACTTAGAGGTTTTAGTTTTTATTCAACAGGAAGTTATTTGTCTTCAATCTGTGATAAGAGCCTACCTCTTTCACTTAAGTAATGAACTTAATTTAAGACTTTGGTAATTTCGGTAGGAAAGTAATTTTGAGGATTTCTTTCATTAGAGTTACGAATTAGTTTTCTGAGAAAGAGTTTTGATTTTTCAGATAAAACACACTATTTGAATTATTCGGTTGTTATAAATCGACCACTTTTGGAATTGGCTTGTTTGATATAACATGTTAATTCTTGTTCATTGATGCTAATTCCATACTTATTAAGAAGTGAAACCAATTCAAATTTTTAAATCCTTCCTTTTCCTTCCTGATCAAATTTAGCGAAGAGTTCTGCCAATTCTTATTTGTATTCCTGAATTATGATATTATAATACTTCTTCCTGTGGATCTACAATGTATTAACTATTGACGGATTTACGAAATCTTTAGAGGAGCCATTGTTTGACAGTATGAGTTCGTAATTTAAACATTAATTAATTTATGAGTCCAAAAATTGCAATTATCATAGGGCTTCTAATAAGACTAGGATTAATTGCTTATGCGGAGATCTAGGATAAATATTTCAATCTCAAATACACAGACATAGATTATTCAGTATCTATAGCATCTTATGTAGGTGTACTCTGATGGAGCTTAATATGTTGTGGATGGTGGTTCGCCATATGATAGACACACCTATAGATATTCACCTATTTTAGCATACATTTTAATACCAAATGTGTGGATTTCATCATTTGGAAAGATTCTGTTCAGCTTTGTCGATATGTTGGCGTGTTATTTTATGTAAAAAATGGTCAAGTCTACATTTTTATTGAATTTGTGGATTTTCAACCCTCTCACAATTTAAGTATCAACCAGAGGATCATCAGACACCATAATAGTGCTTTTAATTTATGTCATGCTTTATTTACTTAAGAAAGAGAGATATACATGGGCTGCAATCATATATGGGTTCATGGTTCATTTGCGTATCTATCCAATAATATACGCAATCCCATTGTACTTCTTTATCGATACTCATCAACCTGAAAGAATGTAAGATAAATGATATATTAAGATATTTGGGTATAATTAGTAAGAATAAAGTGAAATTTGCCTTGATTTCAGGTGGATTGTTCATAGCCTTATTGATATTATTCCATTTTATATACGAGGACTTCCTATTCCAAACCTACTTATATCATTTTACAAGGAAGGACAATAGACATAATTTCTCTCCTTATTTTTATCAGATATATTTAAGTTTTGAATCCATAACCAGGACTCAAGCCACATTGACCTTCTTACCATAATTTTTGATAGTTCTTTTGGCCGGTTTGAAATATTACAGAGATTTACCATTTGCTATGTTGATTCAAACTCTAGGGTTCGTTGTATTTAATAAAGTGCAAACAGCCTAATACTTTGTGTGGTGGATTGCACTGATCCCATTAGCACTTCAAAATACCAAGATGAGCAATCGGGAGATATTGATGTTGTCAATTACTTGGCTGATTTTGGAAGTGCAATGGAATTTTGGATCGTATTATCTGGAGATCTAAGGGTATGATGTATTTACAATGATCTTTATTTAATGCGTGATATTCTTTTTGGGGAATGCGTATTTGATGGTCAAAGTGATTGAGAATCGCAAAGCGAGTGAGTTTTATAAGATTAAAATGGATTGAATGACTGAAAATATCATATAATATCAATAATTTATACATATCTCAATGTGATTTACTCAATCCAATATGTTACTAGGGGCGGTGTACTCTAGTATTCTATTAAAGTTTAACAAAAAGTCTCCGTAACCTTCAGGAGTTTGCAAGTACTTGATTTGTAATAGGTATTATAGTAAGAGGATGTTTTTGAATCTAAAATAATGAGTAGGAGTAAGCTTATCTCTTTTCAATTAGAATATTGAGGACTAAACCACATCTCGATTGTCGCTATAGCTTTTAAACTTGATTCCTGTCGAATCGTGTTCCACTTTGAGGTTGTTGGCATAGCAATCAATCAAGGATGAGGAGGATCTTTCGATAATAAAATAGGCTCCTCTAGAGCAGAGTATTTCTACAAAGTCATTTAAATTGTATTTGATAGCATATTATAAGAATGTTTAATCCTAGAATTGATGCACAGGTTTGTTAATGTCCTAAAGATTACAAGTCTAAATACTTTTCCGAATTCGTCACATAATAATTTAAAGCTCTCAAAATCATTATTTAGAAAGGCAGTTGATAGTAATGTGTATTGAGAGAGGGGGTGTTCAAGCAGGAGATCTTTTTCATGTAGATCTCTCATGAGGTCGTGATTGCTATATCTGACTGCATACATTCCAAGTGTCCAATAATTTGGAGCAACAAGACTCTAAATATAATCCCTATGGTTTTTTATGAATTCGATTAATTCTTAAGTCTTATTCTATTCAATTAAATTGAAAAGGTGAGTTTTCAAGTTTTTTGGAGCAGAAACAAGACTCATTCTTTATTTTATATAATATCGAGCAAATAATTAATTATGTTTTTTATAGTTCTTGGTTTAATAGTTTAAGGCTTCTCCTAAACCAAAATAGAATTAGGTTAGACCTACAATGAGTACTATATTTCATAATAATTCAATTAGTGCTATCATACCTTAACAAGGAGATAAGAATTACAAATATTATGAAGTTCATATAACAGAACTGAGTTCATTTCAAGATCTAATCATAGTTGTGAAATAACAATCAATGATTGGAAATCCAGATATATTTATTTCTTCCTAGAATCCCTACCCTGATAGAACAAATTCTGAAATCTAATGTGATTCATAAGGAATGGGTAATATAATCAATAAATTGTTGTAGATATTTGCATAATATAGTTTCCAAACAAACAGACTTATTATTTGGCTGTGTATTGTGAGGACTATTGTCGATATAATTTAAAAGTAGTTTATCAAGATTAATTCATAATGAGTAATTGTAAGTATCCTAATCTGAATTATAGCCGATGATTTGGAGTTCAAGCTTAATAGCACAAGTTGGATTGAAATAATTACAATCGACATAGAATAACTACCAAAATAGGAGATTATATAAGATTACAATTTAGAGGTTTCTATAAAAGTGAAAAATGTTGAAATCCTGCAGGAATCTTTCCAAACTTTTATGAATTTGGGATTGGAAAGACCGACTCTCCAATAGCATCTATATAAGGGTTAGGATTCATTCTCTGGGATTCAGAAGTTTAAAATACGGAACATAATGGAAGATTAAATTTATACACTTCTGGTCGAGGCTCAATAAGGAGCAATAATATAGATAAAAACAAGAACATATGGATCCACAAGGTTTATTAATGTAGGAGAATCTATTGAGGATGTGATCTCAGCCAATTAATATGGATTCTATGTGCTCAACGTGACAACAGAGCAAGAATTATTCTATTCAGGGGAATTAATATTGAATATTTAATTAATATCCTTTAAAGGATACACTGAGATGTATGTGAATCTTGATGAGAACCCAGCAGAATTAGAAAATTATCAATGGAAATTGCGAGATGGAGTTTCAGATGATCTCATTATTACTAATGAAGATTTGATACGATTGAATGCTAAAGGATCTTATGTTTATATTGCAATATTTGCAAAAGAATCCATCGCTACATTTGAATTGAAAACATAAATGTTGAATCCAGATTTAATGGTTATGGAATTGAATAAGCCAGCCATAAGGAAGATGAGTAAATCGGAATAACATCAATATAAATTCTTTATCAAAAGCAATAAATAACAAAGTGTTAGTGTAAGCTTAAGAAATATAAGAGGAGATGCTGATATCATTTTAAAATTATGCAATGAATTTTGGACCTGTAAGTTTAGCGAAGATGAATAGAGTCTCATTAGATCTTAGGATTTCAAAAATCATAATAAACCATACTTCTTCTCTTTAAAGTAAGACACAATCTTATTATAATAGTCCTGGGAATGACATAGTTCTTTTTGATTATCTACCAGCTAATTGTAAAGAGTATCAAAATTTTCACATCTGTTTCTACGCGATCTTAATTATTCCAGGAGAGGAGAACCTTGAAGAGGAGTTAACCTATTCTGTTTTAATAACCACTAAACAAGATAACATTCTATTATTAGAAAACACTCCTATTAAATAGTTTGTACTCCATGAATTCTACAACTATTACAAGTTTATAGTAAATGATGGCGATCTTATTTAAAGATTATTCATTTAATTAACACCCATTTAGGGTTATCCTAGGATATTTTCATCTTAAACTCAAATGTATCCAACAAAAGAACAGAATGACAACCAAGGCGTTTAGAATCTCATCACTTATGGAACCAAAAGTAATGGGGCACCAATTGATGGAACAATATACATTGGGGTCTATGGGGAGACAGCTAGTTAATATATTATCACTGCAATCGTGTTCAGAGAATAAGATGACTGGGCAACCATTGGTAAATATGCCCATCAATATATATAATTACTTGAGGGCTACCCTTAAGAAATTACTACATAATATTCAACTGATGTTCAACTTTTTAAAATCGATCTGAGTGGATATAGTGATCAAAATGCCTTATATCATAATCAGGTAAAGGTGAAATTGAGGATTGATTCTGGTGAATTTGAAATTTATGGATTTGATCATCCAGAAACTGATCTCGATAAAGCTATTCTAAAAGGATCAAACTCTTTAATACTCACAGATGAAATCGAGAAATATCCATAATATTTATATGTGAGAGTGTAAACTAATTCAACCTCAAGTTATCCTATATACTCATATACTATTCATTACAGAGTGAGTTCCTAGCCCATTTAATTGGTCATTGGAGATAGCTATTAGGGCTTCATTGAAAAGTCTGAAAAATAGATATTCTTTGTAAACTTTTATAAAAAGCAAGACTTAGAGATTAATCTCCATGCCGAATTCTTTGATCAATCTATAATTTGGGCTACTGTTTATCTTAATAATGATATTATTGAAATGAAATAGCAAGGTCTAGTGCTTAATGCTGAATAAATCAAATTCGATAATTGCATAAAAACTGAAGAAATCGTTTAATGTGTAATTGCTATCCATGTGGAATCTAAATAAGACACATCCTTTACCTTATTGGTCACAAAAGAATTCTAAATCATCAAATTATTTAACGATGAGGCAATTACGAAAGTAATCAAAAGAGACTTGAATTATTTCACATTTCTATTAACTGAGGAAACATCAATAGCTATTCATTCTCCTATGACCAATATCAGAATTTTGGTTAGCATCATATTGTTAGATCCACCAACTATAGAATAGTTCCCTACTAATAATGATAATTCCTAGTTTTAGTCTTTAAACGATAACATAGAAATTGAAAGCTCTGTGTTTATAACATAATAGGACGTGCAAAGGGCTAATTGTGATAAAACTCCTTGTTATGCAGCTGTAACTTGTATGAATTTAAATTCAGCAAATAATCATTCTGCTGTATACACTATCATCCGTTCTTCTGGAGTTTTTAAATTAGTTGAAGGATTTGTTTATACTGGCCTATTTAAAAGAAATTAAATGAAGTATTTTAAAGTTACTAACTTTAATGAAGCAGTTGGATTATAAATTGTTGTTTAATCATAAAATAAGGAGCACGTTTCAGTATTTGCAAGTATCAATTAAATGCCTACTTAATTTTCTTATGATTTTACCTCATTCATTAATATTGGTGACTTTGTAATAATCCCTCCGAAATAGAATTCGAATGAAATTGTCACTTGCTAGTATATAATATCAATATTATTATAGTATTGCTATTTAATCTCCTTATTAATCAATTATCTCGGTTTAGGTAAGAACAGGCACTGCTCGTTTTTATCACATCCCAATCTCAAAACAATTTGCTCATGTTTTCCCTTGGAATTCAAAAACATATTTATCATTTTATAAAACCTATAAAGAGGATTTTACTATTCTAATCGGTTCCAGTGTTGTCAATAACTACATTAAGCCCAAGATTCATATATGCTCCTATCAAATGAATGAATTGCTAAATGTTATGACTTCAATACCAACAGAGTACTTTTAATTATATTTAGATATCATTGGAAAATGGATGATTATTATTTGGAAATTACAAGCGATTAAGAACATTATTGTACCCATTGCTATTATCTGATTTATGTGGAAAATAACTACTAAGACGTCTTATTAACAATTACAATAGCCAGAAAAGATTTACCAATTTATTTAACTGACAATATGGAGATAAAACGAAAGCTTAAGACTGATGAGTCTTAACATTATGTCTATACTCAAAGGCCTAATAGCGAAATCTATTTGAAAGTCACTGTTTTTCATGGAAAAATTTATGTTTTCAATAGAATAAGAGAGGAAGATCAGAATTCTAATAATTTTCTTCTTGTCCTTGATGAAAAGGATGGATTATTTGATCATTAATAAAATTAAATAGGAAGTCTTGAAGGTATTCATGCCAATCGAACGATGCTCCTAAATTCATAGATAAATTCTTATCGAACAGCTGTTTATTTAAAAGTGTTTTCCAATTTCACAAATGACACTGTTTATTAAATTGAAATCATAGATAAAAATCAGGCTGCACAATTGAAAGTAGGGTAACCATAAAAATTCTAAAGTTCCCAGTCATCTTTTTAGACATTTTACTTTGTTATCCCTAATGGAGTCAATAATTCGAGTGATGATTATTATTCAATAACACTTGAAAAATTGAAGTTTTTATAATTTAATAGCCAGGTCTTTGAATTCACTTTAAGATATGATAGAGATAATAATCCTAATAAATTATCAGATCATCATGATTTAGTTGATGCTTAAATCTCTTTCATACAAGAAATAGACGACATCGCTTATATCTAAATACCTAGTATAGCAGGCACCTATTTTCTCACTGTTAGTTCTGCCCAGACTGGTACATTTATCTTTTACGTTACCTTGGGGAATAAAGACTATAATACTTTAACACCAAAAACTTAGAGAATAGTGAGAACCAAAGTTGGAGAATAAAAAGTCTGGGAAATTCACATACATTAAATCTCCTAAATATTTGTCTAAATCTAATTGTGTGGAGGGATTGTTCATGCATATGGTAGCCCTTCAAGAGATGATCTTACTATGGGTCTTTACAGGGACAAAATTGAATCAGTACACAATAAGTAATTATCTGGCAAAATCCCAGCTGTTTAACCCAAGATTTATTACTTAAATACTCAAACTATTAAAAATACCACCCAAACAGATTTTGTTTCTTACATAATATAAATTGACCTTCTATAATTAGATACAATTGTACCTGTAGATCATTTCTATCCAGGCAATGGTGGAGAGTTCAAATTATCGATAGTTGAAGATCATCTGCATTTTGATTTCTCACCAATTTAATCTTCTGAAAAATCCAGTTAAGATTACATTTTAGAAAGCATCAAATATTCGTTCATCCATCAAAAATAGAATTTAAATGATAATTCACAATTGTATAAATGTAATTTGAATGCATAATACAATTCATTTATTGTTAAAAGAATTTAACATGACCCTTCAAGCATCCTAACTCAACGAGTTTATATTGGAGAAGATGAATATCAAAAAATATCAGCTTCAATACAAGCCATAGGTACTTTCAATATATGTATTCTTTTAGTAACTATCAAAACGAATCATTACGAAACAGTGCAACTATCATACTTTTATTCCACTTAAATTATAGAGCAAAACATCATTACCCATAATATTTATGATGAAAATAGAAGAGGAATTTTTATTATAATCCTTTCATTGTTATTGTTAGCATTGTTCTTGTTGATCATTAAATATCGAGATCTCAGATTAATGTAAAATATATCATTTAAATTTCTTAGCGCTAAATATGAAGCTTAAACATAGTAGCCTATTCCTTAATAGGAATAATCAATTGAAATGAATTATACAAATTTCAGATCAGGTTGAACTTTGTGAATTTACATTTAATTAATAAAATATTATTAATTTCAACTCAAAATTTAATAGTAATACCTAAAAATAAATTATACTATAAAAAGAAAACATAAAATAGCATACAATATTTAATTATAGTAATAATAAGAAAGGAATAATTAAGTAATTTAATTACAATTCTTCTAAGAGTTATTTTAACATTTATAATCATTAATTTGATTACAAAATCAGTCTTAAGATTCTGACATTTAAGAATCTAAATCTTTTTCTGAATGCTATTCGTCTTCATCATCATTAATGTCCTCTTCCTCATGAATTTTTTCAGCATATAGTGACTCTGTTTTGTGCTAAATGCCAACAAGTTTTTCTAAGTCCATAATTCTCTTATGGGAAAATAGAATAGATTGTCTAAATTTTATTTGATTTTGAATACTAAATCTACAGTTTCTCTCTATTTAATGCTTCGATCTCTCTCATGAGTTTGTAATTCTCATTTTTTTCTTCATGCAATTTCTCCTTCAATTTACCATGAAATACTTTGAGCATTGGTTACAGCTCTCTGATATTGGTAATGTTGTCGTTGTTGATTTTCTCATTCATAGCTTTTAATTCTTCCTAGATTTTGAGTATTATGATTACTTCAGTCTTCTTTATTAATTCCTTATACTCAGCCAATGAATCTTGAAGCTATTTGATGGATGTTGTATATAATGTACTCATAGCTGCCACATTGTCACTAGCACTCATTCTGGTTTTGTATTTCTCATCTAAGTTAACAAACTATTTCGATTTCTCATCATAGATGTCTGGAGGTTCATAAAGTTATCCCATCCCAGCTCTGGCAAGAACATTAGATACTGATTTACTGACTTCATCTCCTTGGAGGAGCTAAGCTGTTACATTATCAAACCTTTAGAGATTTTTAATTCGTGAGCATTATGTCTTTTGGAAGGTAAGGACCATTATTCTATCCCAGATTCAAACTGTACAATCCACCCTGCTTGCTTGGCTTATCTTAAGTTCTCATAATTAATAATAATAAATATTAATATAAATATTGGTAAATCATTAGAATATAGTGTCTTTGAAGTAATTCTCCTTGCTTCTTAGGGTTTGTTAATGAGCATTCTAAGGTCTTTTCTCGTACACTGCTCTTTGAATTTCCCTTCTCTAATTATCTTTGGGTGGAATTTGGACATGTTCTGGTTTCTCATAGTATAAATCAGGATCATAGGATTTGGGAATAAAGGGAGCTCTTTTTGGATGCTGAATGGGCTCACATTACTTATCTCTTAGCTACGTAATATTGATAGGATTTATACATTCTCACTGTCATAATTGGGGATATGGTAAGTGGGAGTATCTAACTAAGAGGGATGCTTAGTCTATTAGAAATCAGGATGATTTGGTTATTTTCTTTGTGGTTTTTCATAATAGTATTAATCTTATTCATCCTCGATCTAATCTCTATAATACTATTCTGGAATGAATGGAGCAGGCCTTGATTAAGGTGGATGAGGTAGTAGTGGTGGTTAGTATGGTTAGTTAGGGTTGATCTAATGTTATTGTAAGTGGGGATGTAATTAGTGCTGATTGAATAGCTCTTGTGGTACTTGAGGTACTTAAGGAATTAAGTGAGGAGGTAGCTAATGTTATGGATTTGCAAATTAATGTGAATAAGCTGGAGGAGGTGGTGAATCAAATTGTGGAGGTGGTGGTAATGGGGAATTTAGGGAGGCTTAAACATGAAATTAGTGAGGAGGGGAGGGCATGGCCATTGTTGGAAAATCTTTGGGAGTATAATTAAAAGGTTGTAAGGGGAGATGAGGAGGTGGGGGAGGTATTGGAATATCCATAGGTTTATTCAAAACTCTAGGAGGGGAGGATTAGGCTTGGGATCTTATTGATGTTAATGGGGCTTGTTAATACGAAGGAAGTGTTGGCATTCTGGTTATTTAAGTAGGGGCAGGAATCATCTATATTTGGGAAGGTCTAGGAATAACAGTTTATTGTAAAAGAGGGGGTTATTGAACAACAGTTGGAACAAGGTGGACTTCCTTTGGAGGTGATAATCGAACAGTTCGTTCTGGTGAAATAGTTTCAGTAGTGACTGGCACATATTCTGTTATTTCATGTGTAACAGGAACTTGTATTTTTTTGATTCTTGTTTCATATTCAATTATCTTCTTCTCGACTGGTATGTATTCCGTAATGGTTTCTGGTTACAAGTTTGTGAAATCTGCTAGGGACTATTGTTGTTACATCATCATATCTCGTCTGGCTTGTTCTGATTAGGCTGTTTAATTGACCATCAGATTCTGCAATTAATTTTAGAGTAGATAATTATGGTGATGCATCTGTAGCATTTATTGAAATTATTCGTTCCATTATTGTTACATTATGTGTTGTTAAAGATTTTGTGACAATTACCTCTATCTTAACTATTAGCTATCATCTTGTATTTAAATTGGTTGCTATTATTATTAAGGATACAGAGCCTATTGTGCTTATTAAAATTATTGGGGCTATTGCAATTGTTATTGCATTTAATAATTTTGATTTGTTGCTATTGGATTTTAGAGTTGTGTGACTGAGGGTGGGTAGAATGTGATTGGTTATGGCTTGATGTTAAGTTGACTGGGCTGCTGAATTAACTAGGACTCGACAGTCTAACTTGTATATGGAGGTAGTTGAGACATTTGTTATTGTTACTGTTAATTAAATTAAATCATGCTTTTGCTCATTTGAGTATTTTTGTTATAATTAATAAAGTCATATATTGTTTTATAGTTTTTATTTCTTCATAATAGTTTTGGTTAATGTATTATACTTCCATTACTCCAATATAATAATTATAATAATGAAGAAAGATCGTCAATCTTTGCTCTCAAACGAACCTTTCAAAATAGGTGATAATCCATATAAAGCATACTTGGTGTTAAGACAACCTCAACTGGATGAACCTGAAAAGACTTAACTTGTTCATTAGCTTAACGAACAGAATGTCTAAGTTAAAGATCAATAGTACTAATTCAGTGGTGTTTTTGCAAACAAGAACTCAAATGAAGATATTTACAAAGCGGTTTTTCGTGATTTGATTTCACATTTCTTGGCTGGGGAATCTCATATGATTTAGATCTTGGGTGAACGACATTCTGGCAAGGCAACTCTAGGCATAGGGAATATGAGAAATCCAGGACTAGTACTTCTTATTATGCAAGAGATCTTTAATTTTATTGAAGAGAAATTTCTGGAGAACAATATCACTATAAAGATGAGTGCATTCGAATACGATGAAACCGGTTTCAAAGACTTGTTAGTCTTGGATTCATAACCCTTCATGCCAGTATTTCAGAATGGTCAAAATTAATTGCTAGGGATTCCAGAAGTCATTATAGATAATTATCTTCTGGGGATGAAAATTTTAAGAATCGCCATGGTCAATCTCATTAATAAAGAATAAAACATCCTTAGTCAAAAGTTTGTGGAGAGACATAAAAGAACTAATTTAATTATTGAATTAAAGGCTGAGATCAGTCCTAATGATGATATTAAAGAATAAGTGATCATCTCAAAACTTAAGATAGTCAAGTTTAGTGGCACCTTTGAGTTTGGACAAATATACAAGACCATGGCTGATTTAACCACAAAAAGACGAAAACACGTAGATGTGCCATTCAAAAGTGTAGAGTTATTAGATTACTTTAGAGATTATTTGTTGAATCAAAAATAGACTGTTTTTGTATGCATTAATAGTGATAGTGTGGAGAGTGTTAAACTCGGATCTTTTATAGGGTAAATAATGAACAAATCTCAATTTTTGACCTTCTCTATTTACTAGTAAAATGCTCAATTGAAGGACATTATGAACAATTAATATGAATCATTAAATTTGTTCCATAAAGAATTTTGCCAATACAACGAGAGTAAAAAGGAAAGAGGCAAAATCATCTTTAGTATTCTTATAGGAATGGCCAATTTATACAAAACAATGTTGAAGTTGTTTGACTAAGCCAGTGAAATAAAGTATAAACTTAATTGCCTGTATTCGCAAGTCATAAGTTTTCACTGTTCCAAATACAATAACATCATCAATACAGAAGACTGTAAGGAATTCTATTTGGCCAAAATTCAATTGTATGCCATTGAACAAGTGTAGACTGTTGAATCAACCTGCTAATCCTTGGCAATTGAACTTCTAAATGATTTATTTTCCAAACATTAACAATTGATTAAGCTAAGAAAGGAAATGATACAGTTTGGCAAACAATTTAATAAATATCAATAATTATCCTAATATGACTTACAAAGATTAAATAATACTCATTAATTGGTAACCAAATTATTGATCATCTTCGAACAACGATTAGGCTACAACATCCTAAATTAAATTGATCTAAAATATTATCAGATGTTTGATAATGTATTTGATATAGCCTCGTTTTATAAAGAGGATGTATAGATATAGAATCAGGATATTCAAAACTAAACTCAGACCTAAACCATTAAGAAGCAGACTTAATTGAATACTACAAAATTCTTTAAGCCAACCTTGCCTAATAAGAAGGAGCCTCCACAAAGACAAAGATTCACAGATGTAGTTTAGTAATTATTCCATGATGAAAATACTAAGGAATATTATTCAGCTAAATCAGTATTTGGGTTAACAAAAATAAATGATCACCCTTAGATGAGGTAGACAGTTAAATCAGAACTATTTGATAAATTGTAATCTCGTCAAACAAATAATATTAAAGCAATTGTGTTGGAAGAGCAGAAATATAGGTAAATTTTAGTAATAACATCTTTAGATTCTTTAGATCAACAGGAGTGGGATTCATCAAGAACTCTTATAGAACTGGTAACCTGAGAGCTCAATCATAGATGCTACCTAGAATTGTTTAATTCGAAAGTGTTGATCATACTAATTAAAATTAATAATCATGATTATAGGTATAGATTATTTCTTTGTCGTATGCTAAATAAATTGATATTAATAAATATGAACATAAATAACTAATTACTTAAGATCGTGCAAGATGTAAATAATTTAAGATGCAATTTACAGATTTAAGCTGTTATCAAGAGTGACATCGAAATCAAGCCTAGTTTAGATGAAATTCTGAAGATTCTCAAGTAGCAAGTGGCAATTTTGATCGAATTAGTTCAACAATAAAAAGGGGTAGAGTATGATCAGTTGGAGAAGGCAGTTTAAAAGGCGGAAGCTGAAATTCGAAATCATATCAGAGTAATTATATATAGTAATTTGTAAGTTGGAGCAGCAAATGAAGTTATATTCGGATGGTCTATAAGAGAAAATCGATTAATTGGAGAAAGAGAAGTTAGAATTATTGGAGAAGGTATGAAATAGGTTAGTAACCTCAAGAACAAAAGTTTGACAGCAGGTTAGGAACGAAAGATCTCTTCTCAAAACCAAACTAGAGAATCTAGTCCCAGCTTGTTCAAAAAAACATACATCCTGGGGAACCAAGTGTACAACAGACAGTAGGGCAATCAACAAGAGGGTTGTGTCACAGCGGCTCAGAATTGTGATAGTCAATAAACACGAGAGAGAAGAAGTTCTGGGACTCAGCACTCGTACATGATGATGAAAAACATGTAAGAACCAAATTTATTGAGTAGTCGTGAGAAAGTGAATATGAATGCTTCACAGGAGAAGGTTGGCGATAAGAGTTCCACAATTTTGAAATCTCAAAATAGCAGTTCTTTGTTGAAGATGTACAACATCCAGAAACTCATCATCAAAAATTAGTAGGATAAACAATTGCAACAACTGAAGAAGTAATGTGTGTGTTGTTATTAAGCTTAGCAAAACTATAAATTAGATATTAGATGACTCTCAAGCTACTAAAAAGAAACCTTGATTTATTAATCGTTATCTCATAATATAATTTATACCGTTCAATTATTTTAAATTTAAACTCAAATGTCTGAAAGAGTTAAAGTAGCAGTTCGACTTCGACCATTAATCGATGAGGAATTAATTTGTAAAGACAAATCCATTTGTGTCGAAACTATTGATCCCAATAAAAAACTAATCATCAGTACATACTTCCAAATATTATTAGTCAAGAAGGACTTTGAGAAGAGGCAATTTCAATTTGACTCTGTATTTGATTCCAAAGCAACATAAAATTAGGTTTACAATGATATCGCAAGAGGAGTTGTTGGAGTAAACTTATAATCTATAATCAATTTAGAGCGTAATCAAAGGCTTTAATGGTACTATATTTTGTTATGGTCAAACCGGAACAGGTAAAACATATACCATGATGGGCAGACTTGACTCTGATGAAAAGGGAATTACTCCCCGTACTTTTGAATAGATTTTTAATGAAATCTAAGCAGACACTAATAACATTTACACTGTGTAATTGGGTTATTTGTAGATATACATGGAGATGGTATTGCTTAGAATATAAATTTAGTTGCTGGATCTTATTAGACCTGACAATTAGGATGTGAAAATAAGAGAATGTCCAGATAATGGTGTATTTGTGTCAGGATTGGAATGGATGGAGGTTGAATCCCCTCAAGAGTGTCTAAGTATTATGAATTTTGCAGAAAAAAACAAAGTGGTTGCATTCACCAATTTAAATGCCCATTCTTCCAGGTCTCATTCTATGCTTGTAATCAAAGTAGAGAAGAGATAATCGAAATAACATTCGAGATCCATGACGATTTCTAAGAAACCTAGTTCCAAATTGCAAAATTATTCTCAAGATATGATCACAGAAACTGATGAAAGTATATTACCTTCTGGAAATTGTGTTGGAACACTATATCTTGTTGATTTGGCAGGAAGTGAAAGAATCAAGAAATCAAGAGCTACAGGAGATCGTCTTAGTGAAGCTAGATCCATCAACTATTCACTTACAGCCTTGGGGAAATGTATTCATGCCTTAACTGGTCCTAAATCTACCTTTGTTCCCTTTAGGGATTCAAAATTGACTCGTATTCTCTAAGATGCTCTTGGTGGTAATTGTAAAACTGCTTTAATTGTGAACATTGGTCCTGCTGGTAAACATGTAGAAGAGACTCTATCCAGTCTAACTTTTGGTATGAGAGCTATGAAGGTCACAAATACCCCACAAATTAACCAGAATGTTGATTTTGAAGTAAAAGTTATCTTTATCCCCATAGTAATTAAGTATTTAACTCAAAATGGAAATTGAAATGAAGGATGAGATTATTTAAAAATTGGAATAATAATAAGTTAAGTTTCTATAATAGGTCAGAATTGAACCTAGTAGTAACAGTAATCTTAGTAGTTCGGAACATCAATATAAAGTGAAATTAGAAAAAGCAGAAGAAGAACATAAAGCATTTCTAGAAGAAATTGATAATATGATGGTGGAATAAGAATAAGAGAATGAAGAACTTAAAAAACAATTGGCTCGTGTCATGTTAGAATTGGAAGATTCCAAAAGCAGGGAACAAACCTTAGAGTAAGAAATAGATGAGTTTAAGAATGTTCAATAGCAATTGGAGAATGAATTAGAGGAAGCTTTGACAAATGTAATAGAATTTTATTAATTTTATAGAAAAATGAATTCGCAGATACCATTAATCAGTTACAATAGAAATTAGAAATGAAGGATAGAGAAATTTAAGAATTAAAGCAGTCTACAATAGTGTCCAACAAGAACACTGATATCATTAAAATATCAAAAGAAAAATAAAATCAAATGTGGAGATCTGAATTACAACAGATTACTTCGCAATATGCCAATAAATTAGAAGAAGTCAAAAGGTTAGAATTCTAATAATAAGAAAAAGAGAATAATAACATTTTAGAGTATAGATAACGAAATGAAGAGCTCATTTTATAAGTTAAATAATACAAATACGAATTATCTCAATGGAAGGAATAGGAGTAATAATTATTATAGAGCAATTAATAACTTGATGAATGTTTACAACAATAGAAGGAGGGTTTCTAATAGGAGTAATCTAAACTATTAACTTAAATTAAAGATCTTGAAACAGTCAATAATGAAATTACCAAAAGACTCGAATAATATGAGATTAAATTAAAAAAATAAAAGGATCTGTAACAACAGAATGAATTTGTATATCAACAGGAATTGGAAATGAAAAATGAACATCTGAATAAGGTATAATTAGAATACCTTGAAATCCAAAAATAAATTACTATGATCAAGGAACAATACTCGACTATATAGACAATTAATTAGTAGAAGGTGAAGCAATTGAATCATGAAAATCAAATGCTCATAAATAAAAATGCTGACTACTAATTGTAAGTCTAATAATTAATTGAAAAGCACAATGAACTTTTATTGTAGATCTAATAGGGCAAAAATTCGCAATACAACAACTACAATCAATTTTTTAATAGCTCTAAAGTTGAATACCAAACAAACTAATCATATGTAAATGAATAAAATTTTGATATCGAATTGAAAAAATCAATTACAGTTTCTGGCGTCAATGAAGGGCAAATAGTGTTTGAGATGCAATTTCGAATTCAATAATTAGAAGATTTTATTGATTAATTGTAAAATTAATTAAAATAGAAAGAAACCATTATTGAGGAACTTCAATTAAAAGGATCTCAATAATAGAAAGAGGCAGATTAACTTAAATTTTAATTGGAATCATTCTCCAAGAGATCCTAATAATCTTTATAAAGAATGGAAGAGACTATGTGTTAAGAAGTCGTTAGAAGTGTCTTAGAGAAGATGATTTTTTAGGTCGAATTGAACTCTTTTGAATCTGATGATATTAGCAGTCGTGCTCCAGATAGTGATCTGAAACTATAAATGAAATCATTTTCTAAATAAGACAATGCTTAATTAGTTGAAAGTTTATTTATAAATTCTAGACGAAGTTAACACAATGCTATAGTAGAGTGCGACGAAGAAGAAGACAATTCGTCAGAAATAGATTACTAATTACCGAAATTCAGTTAGTCTGGCAAGAAGATATAATAAAAATTGAGAATGTCAAAAAGTAGATAAGATTCGGTATTCTCATTCAGTGAGAAATAACAAAAAAAAGAGGCTGTTTCTCTTTATGATGATTTAAGTGAAATTAATTAATAATTTGATGTCTAAAGTCCAAGATCTCAATTAGATGAAATACAATTTTAAATTGACTTTAATGATGCCAATGCTGTAGATAAATTTATGTCATAAATCAAAAAAAAATAAGTCTCTCTACTTCAAAATAATGACTTATCTGTAGATTCAATATAATAAGCACATAGTCCTTAGTATATAGAAAGCTTAAGCGAAAAGAAATCAAAATCGAATTCGAGGTATATATTGTTGTCAATTATTATAGAATTGGAAATGAAGAATTATAAGAAGTGATTAAAGTGATGGCATAAATGTTAGTTGAAAAGAGTAAGACTGAATAAACAGTGACTAATAATACATTGGAAACCTTAAGAGCTTCTTTATTAGATTTTAACAATTTGTGCAACACTTTAACAACCTATTTTTTGTGAAAAAGTTTAGTTTTATCTATTTTTTCAATTAATTATTTAAAAACACAATATAGTATCTAGAAATGAAACTAGATTCTTATATATCGGTTTTTTAAACATCTATTATGAACATATTGTATATTAGTATTCATACTTTAAATATATATCATAAATTGGCTTCCTCATCCAATCTTTACCTTTTTAACCCAATCTCATCTAAGAGTTACATAGCCAAATTTTATATTTCTTTACTATCGTCACTTAAACTGTTCATTAATATCAGAATCAAATTGTTTTCATAACTATTCAAGTTTTGAATAGAAAAGTGCATTAATAATTCAGCCACTGCAATCAGAGTCCCTTTTCTTACATCAGAAGACTTATCCAGAGAAAGATTTCTTAAATTAGTTAAAACAATCTCAAGAAATGTTCCATTAGTTCTGCTTAAGAGAATTGGAGCGATACTCTTAGAGATACTTAATAAAGTCTTACATCAACTGTTGCCTTTCTTATTTTTGTATGAGCATGCTGCATATTTTAATTTAGAGATTTGACTGCTTCTCCCATATACTCACCAATGGGTAACTTTTTTGAAATTTCAGCTGCAAATATGGCTGCATCCTATCAATTTATGTTGTAATTTACTTTTTTGACTTCTGGGAAGTTGTCTTGAAGAGCCTTGCCGATCATATGTGCTAGTCTTTATAAATTATTTGTGTAAGCATCAATGTGTTTCACTTATATTTTATGTAGCAATTTAAATAATGCTAATCGTATTTCTTCACTTGTTTCTGTAAATGGTAATTGATTGAGTCGATTAATAATTGTATCAACAATTAGCCTGAGAGTCTCAGTATTAAAATGTTAGTCATGAAGATCAAGATAATTTAACACTATATTTATAGCAGTTTCTCTATTTCTCTCCACTTAGTCTTCGAATGCTCTTAACAGATTTTTAAGTGCATAAGCATCAAAAATATAAATACGCTCTTGAGCATTCGACTTGACTTTGAAGAAATCTTAAAGTTTTGTTAATCCTTATTTCCTCAAGTTTCTATCCTATAATAATAGCAAATTAACTCACCTAGTCGATTATGCAATTAATATCTCTTTAAAGCAATTTAATTTAATCTTCGACGAAGCTTCTATCGATATTCGGCTCGGTAAGCATTCTAATATAAACTATTTTAATTAAATATAAATCCCATAAATAAAATTTGTATTAAAAATTGCAACACCATTTTTAGATGGGATATGATTGGTGGAATAAAAATGTATACTAATCTAAAATAACAAAAAATTGAAAATGTATCCTGTTGTGTATAAAGTTGAGTATTATATTTCAAAATATAGTTGTTTAATTAACGGTATCTATGGCTGTTTTCAAATATGGAAGATTACTTAAGTCTTTATTTTCTTAGTTCTTGATAATAACTTCAGTTGTTGCATTGATACTCATGATTCTGTCTCTTTCAAGTCTATAGGTTTCACTAAACGAATTCTTTTTTATAAACTTGAAATTCTTATTAGTATTGATTTTTTATTATTGCAACTAGGTACTTCTTCTAAGTATTTGTCTTGGAGAGACACTCTTATATATTTATTTAAGTTCTGAATTTTTTTGATGAACTTTAGGAAGAAGTGGTTTGAGGGTAAGTTACTCATTTCCTTATTGTTGTTGTTATTCTGAATTATATTTTTTGGTTATATCCTCTAGGGCATGTCTTAATTGATGTTCTTAAGGGAGACATTGCTCTGATAGTTGCAAAGCAGATTGAAATATTTTCTTGGATTCAAACTGTAATTTTAAGTGTTCCATTTCAACTCCTAGATTATGATATGCGACGACTAAGATGGACATCCTTTCTTGTACCTTCTTACTTTCATTATAATGAGATTTGACAGTATTCACATATTAAACACTAGATTGTCTGGATGGGAAGGCTTAGATTAAAAGATTGAAGTATACATTATTCATTGGGTTAATCCTATTTTAATTCAGGTTTTTGAAAAGTAGAAATGAGTAATTCATGTTGCAACATGATGATTGACAAATAGATGTGTTGAATGGCTTCGTCATGTCTTTCTAATTAAGAAAGAACTGCACAGAGATTTAGGTAGATGTCAGGCAATGAAGTGGATAGTTTTTATCTAATGTAAGATAAATCAATACTGTAATTCAATTGCCAACGCCTATTGCAAATATTGAAGAGCTGTTCTGGTTTTGCCCATCTTTCTATAATAACAGGCCAAATTATTAAAAGTTTGAACCTATGTTATCGTTAAATCAAACCTTTAATTCTGGAACGTAAATTGTAGCCACTTCAGCCTTTCGTAAATACTCGATACACTATTCGTAATTTTATTTTTATAGGGCTATGAGACCCTGCTGATTCAACAATTTGCACAATATTTGATTCTACCTCACCATCTAATATTTCGTTAATTTGAATCACTTACTGTTAAATCATCCAACCCATAAATTGTGGTTCTCTTTTGAATAGAGGTCTCTAATTGCTGGATGTACTTCTCGATCTTCCCCTCACTAAGATTTGTTATATCTATATTTTCGTTGTCCGACATTTAATTAATTAAATAAATGAGTTCTCCAGACACCAATTCCAATCGACATCAAACTAAAAAGAGGTCCAAGCTTGACTCCAATAAATCTTACTCCTTTTACGATTCCTTTGTCACTCGAAAAGACATCATTAAATTGGCCTCCTTGGAAACATAAAACCAATAAAGGGAATTTCTTAAAACTGTCATTGTGCGATTTGAAGAAGGACACAAAAAAGGAGGAGTATTCACCTTCCCAGTTTACGAGCTCATCTCCTTTTAATATTATCAAGCTCAAACCATATCGAAAGTATTATTTGGCATCAATTATTCCTAGGCTACAGAAGAGTCTCAATAATAGTGTAAATTGGCCGTCTTCTCAGAATACCTGTTGCAGATGTACAACTATCTTAAAAATTACACATTTGAATAGAAATCTGCCTTCATGTCATTAGGATTTTACATTTTTGTAGAGAGTTTAGAGCGCAAAATTACATAAATCGATTCATATGAAATATTCAAAAGGTTACTCAGACCTAAGATACTATTGACAAACACATACAATTTGCCCATATTTACTTAGGAACACATCATGGAATTCAATAAATTTATGACAAGCTATTTTTATAGGTGATCTGTACAGAATATTATTAGATATTATTCCCTATATGAATTAAGAATGACCACTTATTAAGAAGTCAATATCTTTGGTAGATTAAAAGGGGAAAACCCAGTACAAGTAGAAAAAGAAGAGGACAAAGATTCCATATAAGAAGAAGACGAGTTTAACTTCAAAGATGTAGAAGTTCATCTAGATGATGAAGTCTAACCTGAACAAGAAGTAAAGAAGATCAATGAAAAAGATGAAGAATAAATTGAAAAATTGATGGAATAATACAAATTGAATTGGAATACAAGATTAGATGGATCATCATTATTGTAAGAGGCTGAAAAAATATTAACAAAGAAAAAATGACATAATTTCATTATATTTATATTTCATTTATTTTACTTGGTATTTTGAGTACTTCCCCTTGCAACTAATCAAGTCAAAATATTTTTATACTTGCTATAGAGCTGCAATTAAATTGTCAAAATCAGTTAACACATTTTTTATGCCACTATCATCTATCTTCAAATTTGGATCGAAAGGGACTTAAGCAAATATGATGTTAGATCCCATATTTCCATTTCCGTTATCTCTTCTTACCATCGAGGAATTCATACTACCACATGATGCTCCCATTTTAATTTATAATATTTATAATTATTAAAATTAAGTTTAGAATGCCTGAATATTACGTAGAATTATATATACAGAAATAATTATTTAGAGTAGAATAAGAATAGCCTTTTCTCTTTTATTAAAGAGAATAGACGAAATAGTTATAGAAACGAATTTAGATCTTATGCAAAATGGTGTCTAATAACAATTTCTTAATGATTAAACTTATAGAGATTAAGCTAAATAGAGCATTTCAAAAATTAAGAATAATAAAGTGAGATTTATTGCTTTAAGAATTTTCAATATTTATTTCCTTCCATATATTATAATTTCGTAATCAACAAAAAAGCTAAGATTTTATATTATTTCAACTCAATTTACTAGAGAACAATTCAAATTTAAAGCAAGAATAAAATCTAAATATTAAGTTATAAATTCCAATTCAGTAGGTATCAAAAGAATACAGTAACGCAGAAATATGATTCAGTCTATTTGGTAATTGCTCGATTTCAGTAGATTGCAAAACAAAAAATCTAGTTTAAGAACTTTTAATAAAATATTAAATCCTTTTTTGCATTCAAATTGACTCTTCAGTGGAGTGAGAAAGATTTCTAAAATTACATTTAGGTCCATCAATATTATAAATGTTGTGGCTATTTTTAACTTAATGGCAATATTAAATCTATATTAATCATCTTTAAATATTATCAAGGCGCAATTCTACATATTTATCTATAAGAAATGTTGTAGTTAATTAATGCTTATAACTCCAATAAAATAATTCAACTAAAATGATAATAGATATAAATTATATTATGAATCAGTTTAACATATTTTTTAGCTTAAACTTACACTTTTTGAACAAAGGTTCTTAATTTGTTTTAAGTTTTTAAGAGACAGGATTTATTTAAGATATAAAATTGAAGTAAGTACTTGATGAGTGTGTCAAATTTTAAAATTAACTATTTTACTTTTAAGCCATCAACAAGCTCTAAATACATTTTTATCGGTATTAACAAGTTGAGTTTTTTCTTGATGATTTATGTGGAGTAGAAATGATAATCCTCTGCATGATTTTAGTATAAGAAGGAGTAGCAGGAGGTATTCCTAGATCTAAGAATTAATTTGTTTGTTGGCAACTCTGAGGTCTTTTCGGAGTAGTCGGTGTTTCTGTGGTTTGCTACCTGGGTTGTACGCGAGATATTGGTTGTTTAAATTTTATGGTTTTGACTTTTGAGTTACTCTTCTTGGCTGGTCCAATGGGTGCATCCCAAGGTTCTGCAAAAAACTCAGTTTCAAATCTTTAAAAAAAATTATTTCTTAGTGGCATTTATAAGAACTCTCCTGCTGTGTGATCCATATTCAACAAATCAACCTGAGGATCATGAGACATTCTGATATTTATATTATTGTTTATTAAATCACATAACAATTCTAATTTCAATAAACAATACTTTAATATAATAACAATAAAAAGCTTATGTTTTATTATTAAAATTAGTGAAAATCAATTTATTTACACTTCTCATGAAATATACTTATGTATAACTGGAATTGAATTTCTTCTCATAAGTCAAATAAATATGGACATATTTATAGAGTGAATAATATAGCAAATTAATTGAGGATTGAATTTATGAATTCTTATAATTATTGATTAACTATGTTTGAATTTATTATAATCATAATAAGGCTTTTTTTAGATTTCATTTTTAAAATATTACTTCTCATTCTCAAGCTACAATGAGTCCATTATTAATTGATAAAATGATAACATTTCGTTTCAACAATATATCTTGAATGGTCGATTAAAATACAAAAAGATGGGTTTTTAAAAAAAGTAAGGTTGTTTTTTAACGTATCCTTGTTAATTGATTGAATAGTAGTAATATCTATAATTCAATAAATTATATAAAAAAAAACAATAAATAATTCATGAACGATTTACGAAGGATAGAAAAAGAGATCCAAGAAAAGCAACGTTTAGTACAGTTCCTAGATGAAATAAGGCTCCATCATTTTTTAAGAATCCGTATCGTCCGACAGCAAGGTTGTTAAAATAGGTGAGAAGACAGGCAAACTTTATAAAGACCACCAGTCATTAGAAATATGAGGAAATGATAGACAAAGTTATGCAGAGAAGTCCAAGATAAAGTAGGATAAAAGAACCACCTACTCAAGAATAAATACTAGATAACATTATCTAGGAGTTAAAAAAAGAAATTGAACAAAAAAAAGCAAATTTGTATTATAATTGTTGAAATAGATCTCCAACATTTTGTTTAAGAAGGAGGGAACATTTTGATTAGCACGATAAGATTTTGACTCTCAAGACTCTGATCTCACATATCCATAACGAACAAGCAATGAGAAATCGTCAACCTTAATCTAAGTTCCCTTGTATCTAGTAGGAGAGCAACTCATGTGATTCAGATAGAGTGATGTCGATAATCTCAGCCTGTTCTAAATAAAACAATTAGTTAGAGAAAATGCATAAATTCGTGAATTAAAAACAGAGAAACCAAAGAAAAAGATTTGCCTCGTTACATGATCAAATAGGATTACTATATTTATTAGAGTGAAACTTCCTCTATCATTTTTACTCAATGACACTTTCCTTCTGTTGTTCAACTTCCTTTTATTGTAGATCCTCTTTCCCTGCTTCTACAATTTTGCTCTGTAATAGCGTATTGGCCTCCTTCTCCTCAACACTCCAAATTTCGATGCATGTTAACTGAATTTATTAAATAGAAATGCCATACATTCAAGAATTCAATGTGAGGTTCCAATATGTAGCCCATCTCGTAAGTGAGATCACATTAATTATTGATCCTGCAGGTTGCATTACCCTTGAGATTTTCATCTAGCCATATTCTATGATTTCCTTTTCCATCTCCTCCAAATGCCAATCCCAAAGGTTGATCAACTCTGAAAGATCTATTGTTTATATAAGCAAAACATTATTTGGATCGTTGATCAAAGGTACTCATGAATAGTTAATATTTTGGGAGCAATGAGAATAGGAAGCTCTTTTCATCTCCAAAATACAAACTCTTAGGATCACTATCACTATAAAGAATATTCATGGGATCCTTAAGTTTTCTCCTTATGTAATGAGTTTCGAGTGTTGGATCAATTGAGATATAGGCTCCGAATACTTGTTGTTGGAAAGTGTCATTTTATGCTTAATAAGATTGATAATAATAATAATTTACATTCATCTTCTCTATTTCTAAATATGAACAACAATGGTTTCTAAGCATTTATTACAATATCTGCAATGTGATCCAAATCATCCTCACTCACAGATGATGAAAATTGTAATTACAATTACTTGACTTTACTGAAATCAGGAGAACTCAATTAAAGTAATGCCAACACCTAATCATTCAAGATAAAACTGGAAGTATTCAATCTTGGTATTTGAATCTGAGATTGCTCTCCCAGAAATTTCACATTAAAATAATGTTTGCATAATTTGTTTGCATATATCAACTGAGCTTTGGCCATACTAACAAATTGATTGAAGGGCATTTCATCTTTTTGATCAAATATAGTATTTGTAACTGATCTGGCAGCCAAATCATTTCTCTAAGAATTTGTTATTTAACCTCCTGAATAAATATTCAATAATTCCCTTATAACAATGCTCCCCTGTGAATAGGATACAGCAAATCTATAATAACTACTATTGATTAACTACCTGTTTATGCAGTCCTTGTCATTTTCCAAACATTCCAAACTGATCAAGGCAAATAATTCAAACTTCTCCAAATTTCTAAACTTATAGTCACTTAGATAATAGTCCTTCAATTCCTTAAGAAGTAACTCCACTAAACATCATAACTAGAACTTACATAACACTACAAAGTTAGTGTAATCAACCTAGTGATTCGGACTTCGCTCGACCATCCAGTTGAACAATTTAATTGAAAAGTCTGGGTTTTCAGGGAAGTGAGATAGAAAAGATCTTTCCACAAGATCTTTGCCTCCATTTAGACCTGCAAACAACTTTTCCAGTTATTACAGCTATTCAGGCGTGAAAGCAACCTTTGCATGTTTAGTGATCTCTTTAGATTTGGAATTTCCCATATAAATTTATTGTAATTGTGAAACCAATTAAATATATATATATATATATCTATGACTACTCACAATGCCCTACTAAAAGCTTAGATTCCTGTTATTCCTCTACCCAAAATTAATGCATGAATGTCTGATGCTCCTTCATAGGTATTCACAGTCTCTAAATTGACCATATGTCTAATCACTTGATATTCGTCACTAATGCCATTTCCTCCCATAATATCTCTGCATTCCCTGGCTATCTTTAAGGCAATTGCTAATCAAATATATTTATTCTATATTACCACATGAATTTCTCTTAATTAAGGATACTTATTCTGTTGCTAATTAATCATTCTCCTTCAATCTACTCACTTATAGTACTGCTTATTAGGCCAATGCAATATCAGTTACCATTTCAGCAAATTTCTTTTAAATCAATTGGAAAGAGGCCAAGTTTGCATCAAATTGCTTTCTATCCAAGGCATACTATCGAGTATGATGAAAACAGAATTCAGCTGCTCCCAAAGTTCCCCATGCGATTCCAAATCTTGCATTATTCAAGCAGGAAAATGGACCTTTCAATCCTTTCACTGTGGTGAACATATTTTCTTGTGGGACTTTTACATTGTCCATAATGATCTACCCTGTGATTGAAGATCTCAATGACAATTTTCCTTCAATCTTTGGTGTTGACAGACCCTTCATTCCCTTCTCTAACACAAACCCTCTTATGTCTCCCTTTTCATCCTTTGCCCATACCACAAATACATCAGCTATTGGTGAATTTGTAATCCAACTCTTAGTACCATTCAATATATAATAATTGTCTTTTTTCTTTGCATGAGACTTCATTGATCCAGGATCAGAACCTATAAATGAATTACATTTACTAATATACCATGATCAGGTTCAGTCAAACCAAAGGCACCGACATATTCTCCACTTGCTAATTTTGGAACGTATTTATCCTTTAATTCCTTTGATCCAAATTAATAGATTGGATGTATCACCAATGAACTTTATACTGATAGAGCAGACCTGTAACCTGAATCTACACGTTCAATTTCTTTGTTGATCAAACCATAAGCTGTATAAGAAACCCCAGAAAGGTCATATTCTGAAATTGTGCATCCTAAGAATCCCAACTTTCCCATCTCTTTATATATTTCTGGATCAAAATGCTCTTTGCTGAATGCCTCTCTGATTCTTGGCTGCAATTAGGATTGTGCATAATTGGCTGCTTAATCTCTAATCTTAAACATGATTAAATCATTTACCAGCTTCTCCTCACTTGTTAATTAGCTTTCTAAGTTCAGAGGGTCTTTGAAATTGAAAGGTACAAACTTCTCGGATGCAAACTACCTAATTTGTTTGTTGAACAACGATTTTAATAAATTGCTTTTGCGCATTATTTTTAATTATTTGTAATATTATTAGAGATTATCTGCCTTAATAAATACCAATAGATACTAAGTTTTCAAATATTATTTATTACTAAAATTTATAAAATAATAATTCCTAAATTTAGAGATTTAAGAAAGCTCATAACCAAAATGTATTCTTTTAAAAGATGAGCAGATTACTATTCCATCAATATATATATATGAAAATCATATTAATTAATATAAATTTTTTTAAAGTCCTTCTTTTTTTTCTATAATTTAATAAGAATGTATATTATCAATTAAGTAGAAACAGAATAGAACCTAAGTTGAAAAGTGAGACAAATAAAATACCAAAATTAATTCAAAATAAATAAGAGAGTAATAATAATTACAGAAGAGAATAAAAAAGAATTTGCGAGTTTGATTGTTAACAATAAATGTATTTGATTTATTCTTTTATGTTTATCTCATTTGAATAATGCAGAAAATTCTTAAAAGTCTACTAAATTGTCTTAATTTTTGTCAACAAGCTTAAAAACAAGACTTGACTCCTCAAGTGTCGATGAATTATCCATCACTTTACATAATTGTTAAAATTCAGCCAGTTCAAGCTTTTAATTCTTATTTTTATCAAAGTTTTAGAAGATTTATTCAACCTTTAAATTATTTTATTTTACAATTCTCACTAATTCTGAAAGTATTTTCTACAATTAATTATATAAATACATTTGCTTTTTCTTTAGCTGGGTTAAATTATGAATCTTGATCAGTTCCATAAGACAGTTCTCTCTTGAATTCATCATAGCTGATTTTTTTATCATTATTTTTATCAAATTTTGTAAATACTACTAAAACTTCTTCATTTTTCAATGCTGGAGCAACAATATGACAAAGTTTAGTGAATTCTTCATAATCTAAATCACCTTATCTATCTTTATCAAAATTCTTGAAAATGTCCTCTATTTTCAAATTATTGGCTTTGATAATTTCTTTTAGATCAACAATAAGTCTTTCAGCTACATCTTTCAAATTAGAGTAATCATAATCACAAAATAATTTTTTAAACTCATCAATGTTTACTTTTTGATCCCCACTTTTATCTACTAGTTTAAATAAATGTTCAGCTTCTTTATGTGTTACTCTTGGATCTAAAGCTTGAACAAAATTATTAAATTCATTTAAATCTAAAAATCCACCTTTATCTTAATCAAATGTCTTGAATTGTTATTCTACATTTAAATTCTTAGCTTAAATAATCTTTTATATATTGGCTAGGATTTGTTTGGACACTTCATCAACTTAGAAGTTATCCTACATTATAAATGTATTTTACATATTTTCTGTCTTCTTGAGAAATCTTAAGCACTTCATGTTTGAAAACTTCGTTCCATCCAACTCTTTAATTCTCATCAATAGTTAAACACTTTTTAATGAAATCTTTGAATTATTCTGAGACTTTTTTTTCAATTGGGAACTTTAATGGAGAAGATTTAATATTCAACAGATATGAGTTGATATCTCTGCATGGCCAAGGCTATCTACCATAGAGCATCTCATAAGCCATCACTCCAATAGACCAAATGTCACATTTTGCAGTGTATGCAGTATTTTGAAGGAGTTAGGGTGCCATGTAAATTGGAGTTCCAACGCAATCTCTTATTAGTTGTCTTCCTGTAATATCGGCTTTGGTTGCGAATCCGAAGTCAGCAACCTTATGTACATTCTTGTGAATAAGGGAATTCTCAGGTTTGATGTCTCTATGAATATACCCTCCTTTTATCATCTCCTAGAATCCAAGCATCAATTATTGCATCACTTGTTAAGCTAAAGCCTCTTCAAGCATTCCTCCATGTCTGCTCAGAAAGTGTCTTAAGTCACCGCCATCGCAAAGTTCGATAATCAATACCTATTAGAAGTTATCTAATAATCTTTACTGTTTATTTTGCATCACCAAAAGTTTCTATAAGTCTGACAATATTTGGATGTTAGAGTTTTTTCATGATTTCTATTTCCTTACGCAAAGCATCAATCATAAACTAATCATCAAACAAACTCATATCCATAACTAACATATATAGACTCAGAAATACTTTTTATGGCTACAGCTTCTCCACTTTGAGTGTCTTTACCTTTGTAAACTCTACCAAATGAGCCACGACCTAACAAATCTTTCTCAAGGTATTAGAATCTATTCTATAATGTTTACATAATTTAATTATTTATTTATTTTAATTGGAAAACTAGATAAATTATACATAAATAAACTTATTCTTTGTCTGTTGCTTCAGGAACTTAATATACGTTATCATTTTATTTTGGTTTTTGTTAAGGTTTGTATAATTTTTTCATATTTTGAGGAACTTTTGCATAATATTATTTAAATATGCTTGTAATTTCTAATAATTTTGATGTAATTTTTAGCGTTTCTTAAAATTTATTCACATTCATTGGAGATTTAATGTACTTATCTACTTTCTAATTCATAACAATGCACTATATTTTCTCTAAGTCCTCTACTAATTTCTATATTTTATATCTAATAATATCTATATTCTTTAGTAATATGATGCAATCCAGACTCATATGAATTTAAATTGTTTTCTCAATTTACAATTAAAACATATAAACAGTTTTGTGCTAATTCACAAATAATAAAAAGAGAAAAATATATGAGCAATATTTTTTTTAAATGTCATAAACTAAGGTTAATCAATTTATTCAATTTTTGGCTAATAAGCATTTGTTCCAAAAATAATAAAAAAAAATATAACTATATATATTTAGAAATTGACAATCTAAAAATAGTATATAGTTGTAAAATCAATTCGAATTGTCATAGTATTTAATAAAGTATGCTTAATAAGCTACTTTGAATCTTTTGGTTAGTTTTCAAATTGGCTGTAAAATTTTTTGTAATTTTAATTTATTAAGTTTATTAAATTCTCATGACTCCACTTAAGGGGATAAAAAATTCATATTCTCAAATGGTCAAAACTAAAATATATAAACAAAGTCAAAAGCAATTTCCAAATTAGACTGTTTCTTATTTGATTGTCCAATTTTCTACATATATGTTTATAAACCATTTTTATGAGCAATTCTTTGCCTTTCAATGTCTGCTCAATAATATTGTATGTTTCTAAATGTAAAATAAAGATTGGATTAAAAATATTTGTATTTAACTTATTGATTAAAATTATAATCCTTCAGAATTCAAAGAAGAATTATATAAATTACAGATTTCAATTTAATGTATCAAATAGAAATTTTGATGAACATAAAACCTCTTTGAAATAATCAAAGAAAAAGATGTCATATTTACAAGTAAAAGTATATTGGCTTGATTCTTTAAGTTACTCCTGTTACGTATATTTATTAATTTATATTAATTTATTCAATCTATTTTTAAATACATCGATATCCTTTAGAGGAATTAAATGATTTAATTGAAATATATGAGTTATTACAAATTTAATATGACGAATCCACAAATTATTTATTTTTAATTAACTAATGAACGTACGCTTTTAAAAAATGTTAAATTACTTCTTGGAATTGTACATAAAAAATGAAGAACAATCAATAATTTTTCCAAGATCTCTAGTTTTGTTTTTGAGGATTCAATCGTCATTACTAAGCTTATCATATATTTATGGAAGAGAGATAAATTCATATGTTACATTATTGAGTGAGTTTGCAAGACCTCAATAATTTTTAACCTCTTTCGATGCTGCCTAATATATCATATTGGTAATGTGTAATTTGTACATCATAAATTTGTTTTCAATAAATGCTCATAGCAAACATATAGGAATATTTGGATAATTGTTGCGAAGCAGTTTATTAAATTTTTTTTTTGAATATAGTACAGGATAAATAAAGATACTTACTCATTCATTTTTGATCCTCATATCGTTTAGTGAAACATTAGTGTTATCTGGCACATTAAATGCCAATACAACAAATTTTTAACATACGCGATTTTCATTCTTGGATTTTATTTTGGCTATTTTGAATTACATCATAATGATCATCTATTCATATTACGACTCATATAAAGTTATCGTAGTGTTGGCATTGGCGATCAACATTTTAAAAGCACTAAATTTAATAATATTTTCTCCTCTGAAGAACCTTTATACTAAATCTATTTTACTATCGATAAATCTTTACACATTGTTTATTGGACTACTGAGGGTTGCATCTCTGAACAAAGGATTTACAAGTGAAATCGTATTAATACCATTCGTTTTGAATGTAACGCTGGCCTACTATTAAAGGTAGCTTAAGCAAAGGGTTTTTAATTGCAAAAATGGTAATTGTAAGGTGATTAATGTTTTAATATACCTTGACAACATCAAAGACATCAAAACAATTAAGGTCGAAAAACCTCAATCTGCCAAGGAAAGAATCATCTATTCAAGCATTCTGATGTTGTAAGGACAAGATTATGAAGCATATTTGGAATTAAATTCAATACCAGAATAGTAGTTAAATATTTTGGAGAAGTTTAAAAGGAAAGTGATTTTAAAGTAATGTATAAATAAGATTGATTGCAAGATCTAAGTTGAATCTAATTCACAACACAAGATCGCTTTGGCAGTATCTTCTCTAATGGCGAGTGAAGAATCAAATTTATTAATAAGAAATGATATACTTAGCATTTTAAGAGAGAAGATAGCCTGTTAGTAGTTGTTGATGCAAAGCCAGACTTATAATCATTACACATCTTATCTTCGTTTTATAGAGAAGGCCTTAAATTTACAAAAAAAACTAGAAAAACAATACACTGATTTTCCTTGTGATAAGACTCAGAGTATACTGGGATTTTATTATGCAGAAATTATTAATGATTTTCTTTAAACTAACTAACTTTTCAGTATTATTGCACTGTCTGATGAGAAAATCAAAAGAGTGGGAACATACTAAGATGTATTTTCAAGCAGGATGATTTATTTAACATCCAAATTCTCCCATACATTAGTTATAACAAGATGTTCCAATGATGCAAGTCAATTTCTACATAAAGCTAATGAGCAACTATAAGGCAAATCTATAAATTGTTTGATTCCTCCTGGAATTGCAGAACATCATGATAAATTTGTTTTTTAATTCTTATAAACAGGAAAGGCTAAATTTATGAGAAAGATTAATTCAAGTTATCTGTACTATTCACAATAAAACATAGTGACTTAAATTGAATTTGTTTTTGATGTTAATTTGCTTAATGATTTCAGTTTTATATCATTCATTTAACCAACATCAAATTAATAAATGTTTCTCATTGTAGACTAAAATCAAAAAATATCTAGTTTAAGCGAAGGATTGGTAGTTGAATTGGGAACCAAAATCCCAATCCACAGTTACATAGGAGTCAATATCAAGAAGGTTTTACCTGATTTTCCTCTTATAGTTTGTGGAACTTAATATATTGAGAATGCAGAAGCTCATTTCTCCAAATTAAATGAGGAAGTCTAGCTAAGTACAGGTTCATCATAACTTGTAACTCTGGTTACCTCTTATAATGCAATGCCATGCACATTTCAAGGTGAACAGTTATATCATATCCTCACCTTTGACTTTTTCAAAAAACCAAGTTACTAATCATAGCCAAGTATTTCCCATTTAAGTCCCACTTATAGCCCCAAAAAAGAAGACTAAGATTTGAACTTTTTCAATCTAGTCAATTAAGAAAGCAAGGTCAAAATTCCTTATCATGAGAATTGTAGTTTAAAAAGAAACACGAATTCCTTTTATCAGATATAATTGAAGGGTAGCCAATAGGATGCAGTCGAATAGTCTGAATAAAATGAAGTCAAATTATTTTCTTGTTTAGAACATACCAATTTAATTAGTCCTAGCAGATGCAATGAGAATTTACTTGCCCAATAATAATATTTTTCAAAGTCCAAATCTCGTAAATATATACTCTAAATCTCTGGCTAAGATTAAGATTAGTATAGTAATGAGAAATAACAGGCCTATCAAGATGATAGATCCTCTCAAATTTCAAGTTTATAAGGTGCCAGAAGATCTAAGTTTTATAAGAAATATGAGATTTTTGCCAAAATTAATGAATCAGGTAGTTTTTCCAAAAACCATAAACTATTCATTGTAATGTTTCTTCTTTGCATCATGATTCAATTTTCAATCCAAATCATAGTAATTTTTATCTAATATCAACTAGTAATTAACAGAAATCAATTCAAATTTAGAGGGACTTGCATCTGACATAGACCTGCTTTAAATAAAGAATTTTATATTCCAACCCTTAGAAACATTTCTAGTAACCAGATGGACTATAGTCAATTATAACTTATTAAGAGATTAAAAATAAATTAATTTAACACAGTATGCAGAATTGATTAAATTCCCAAGATCAAATCTGAATTTGGGTTATGATTCATTGGACTAGAATCTTAAGAAAGCATTTAATAGACCTGAATTATAAGAATTCTTAAAGAGCACTTATTTGGAAGTCTACGCTTATGTCAAAACAAACTAAGGCGAAATCTATAACATATCCCTAAGAAACAGCATTAATATTTTAATAAACTATTAATACACTTTTAAAATGGCTTATATCCTGGATGGATCAGCTGTAGCTGATAGTCCTTACGTATATTTTTAATATAGAAATTATCTGCCTATAAAAGAGAAATTCACAAATCTTAATGAGATAGTTTTGATCGACACGATGTAGAGAGCAACTAATATCAATGATTAAGTGAGGGTCATTTTTATCATAAGCATAACTATTCTGATTGCTTTTTTATCTTTAACCCTTTTATATTTTATCAGAATTACTAGAAGTATCAATAAGTACTATGTTCTAATGCAAAATATCTCTAATTAATATATTGAAAATGACCTGATTCGGTTAAAGAGTCTAGCTGAGAAAATCAGCAAAGATCAAAATCTATTATTTAAATATTAATTTAGCTTATCTGAGAAGGAAAAGTTCTTCGAAAGTATTGCTGATAGGAACAGTACAATGAGAAGAATCAATTAAAAGTTACAAGCTGTCAGCATGCAGGAAATTTATTATTATATATTTATCTTCGCAACTATATTACTAATAGGTGGAAATGGAATCTTAACCTTTTTTGAAGGTTAAACTTACTTAAACAAATACCCAGCTACATCACGCTTTTATAAAGCAGTTTCTGATATCGGCACTGATGTACCCACCATGTATGCTCAAAGAGATGTACTTTATGGGAGAGCTAATTTCCCTTTTTATACTTAAGTTGATATTGAAAATATTTTAAAAGAAATTGAAATGGCTATCAATCGAACTCAACTATTTTCCAGTGAAGATTACAATTTCGACAAGTAATTTATGCTGTTAGTTTAGTTTCCTTGTGTCCGATTCATTCAAAGAATACTTTCAAACTTTGTAGGATAAAGATTTATGTGATTATATCCCAAATGAATTGCAAGAGCGTTCTAAAACTCTATGTCCTTTGGTAATGAGTCAGAATATGAAGAGAGGGTTAAAGGCAGTCTTAATTTATATAATCAATTTCATCAAGACAGATATGGAAATCAATAAATTTCAAGTGAGAACTTAAGCTAGTTTTCTAGAATTGGAGGGAGGATTTTTGGTTTCGAATCTTATTAAACTGATTAATGATAAGTTTAATGTGGATTTGATGAATTAAACCAAGTACTATATCTCAACAATTAATGTAATAGATTACTTTATTTAGATACACAATATAATAGTTTTAATTTTACTATTCTTCATTGCACAAATCATTCTAACAGTTGTAGTCCAAAGATTAGCATACAAATTTCATCTTGTCAAAAGATTAACTTACTTACTACCTCAAAGAACTTTATTATTTGATGATGTTTATGAAAGAAACATCCGATAATTATTACAGCAACAATGAAATTATTAGAAATTTTGATCTCTTAATTTATAATCTGTTAGTTAAAGATTATCTTTTTTAGTGATTTTTAATTTTATAATGCAGTATTAAAGTTGTTATTAAGAATAATTTCACTTCTATTATTGGCTATAAAATTGTAGATCATTAAAATTTACTATCATTCCAAATTTCATATAAAACTATGGAAAAGAAAGAATAAACTTTAAATATGCCATATATCAAAGCTTAATTGGCCCTTCTTTCCCTGTGTAAATCAAAATTGTCTAATATAATTATTAAATATAAATAATGGTTAAGTTGTATTAATTCAAAGAACAAAATAAGAATCTAAATTTAGGATATGAAATAATTCATAATTATTAGGAGTTCTCCAGTTCACAATATTATATGTTGATGCAAATAATTTTATTTAGAAAAGTTTAAAGTTTAACTCATTTCTCATAGACATAGCAAAATGCGATATACTTTAACTATGTGTTAAAACAACTATCTTATCAATGCTTTGGTTTGAGGAGCATATGATTTGGATAGGAGTATTTTTTATATAGATAATTTTATAGTCATTATCACATAAAACACTAAATCAATTTTCAAATTATTGTGCAGTCACAAATTTGAGTTTTTTTGTTCAATTGTGGTTCCTCCAAATTATATTCTTTGAAATTTTCAACTATGTGAATTTCGAATAATGGACCATTGTTTGCTTGATCTCTAAAAATCACTTTATGGGAGTTATTTCCCTTTAAAATAGGATTATTAAAAGCGTCCTTTCTAGGTTTTAAGGCAGTGAGTGGAGGACTTATTTCAGTCAATTAAACAGACCTTACATCAGCATTCATTTATAATATTTAATATTTTAAGATTAGTTTATTGCAACTTCATGAAGAAATCAACGCTATGATGATGAAATAATCAACTAAGTCATTAAATAAAAACTATTCAGATAATAATTAAATAATTAAATATCACAAATCACATCAATCCGAATCCTTCTGCATTTTCAAGAGAGATCTTTAACTTTTCTTTTAAGGTTTCCTTAATTTTATATTATGGTAACAATAAAACATTGAAACAAGTATGTGCTGATGGTAATTATTCAGTATCTAAATTTAAATAGAGTAATACCTTCTCCATGTTTTTATATAACAAATTTAATAGATTTGAGTCCTCCTACAGGAATTCTGTCTGAACCTGTGCAGAAGAATAAAAATCTTTTTTGCATTTCAACATTCAACGAATGGATGCAATTCCAAAAATACCTTTATTATTGCTATATAATTTACTTAATGTACTCCGAATTACTTTCATACCCATCATATTTGGTTGATGCCTCCAAATCTCTCATATCAAAAGTTGGCAAACCAATAATCAATTGCTACAATTCTTCTCCTGAAAATAGCTATTTTAAAATTAATTAAATGAATATCTACCTTTATTCCATCGCCATCAACTACTGTTTTAAATCCATCTTTTAATAAGTCAAATTACTTTTAAACCAACTTATTCAAATACCAATCGATATACAATTATATATATTCCTCTCTATTTTAAATTGTGACCTCAATTTAGAATCCGTTTGGCTATTTTCATCTATGTCATTATTACCTTTAAGTCTTCAAAATAGGTTTCTCCCCACACCTTGTATGTGGCATTGAATGTCAGACCTAGACTCTAAACTACCTTTGGATCTGTCTATTCCCTCAGAAATTGGAACCCAGTATAGGTCTCCATATCCAATTCCTTAAGGTCCTCCTCTTTGACCTTCTCTCTCTACAACTTCTTAAATAACACTGTTGGAAATCGAACATCCAATAATACAGAATTATAAAGAGATAATCCTAAGAGCTTCCCAATCAAAGAATAATAGATGGGCATTTCAAAGGATTGAGGGTTGAACCAAAACACAGTGTCATTGTTTTTTGGAATAAACATACCATAATCTGGAGTGACCAACTTCTCCATAATCAATCTGAAAAACTCTCTTTTTGGTCCTCCCTCATCAACTCCTTGTTCATTAACAAATTAAACTTTCAGAGGATTCTTCAGAGATAACTAAGTTTACTGTAACTATTTAATAGCTGACTCAATAATGTTATCTCTTTCTATTGTTAAGGATACATATTAAGGTAGAATACCGTATGTTCTCCTCCTTTAATCAAACTGCTTTACTTTGCACTCGATATAGATTAGCCTAGATTTAAACTCTATTGGCATAGACCAAGGGTATTGACAAAAAGTAAATGAATAATTTCTCAAAATTTTTTAGTTGAACATTTAAAACTAAGTGAATTCCTCTCTATCTGCATCGACTTTGTAAAAATGTTATATGGAATTTATGATAAAGTCAGATGTTTTGATCCTGCGATTCCTGAGATTTGACTTGTATATCATACTGTATAATTCAAAGAGTCCTTTGAGTCTTTAGATATCATCAATATCTAGAAGCGGTTTAATGGGGGCATTTTATTATATTTTGATTTGATCTTCAATCAAGGACTTTAATATAAATTATAATTATATTATTCCGGAATTATCGAGTTTACTAAGCCATTTAGATAGTTAATTAAACTGTTATTAACTCAATCTTCTTATTATTGTTAATAGAATTTAAGTTTTTTCCTCCAGAATTAGATTAAGGCATCCTCTAAATTATAAAATTAGATAGAGTGCTCTAAGTTAGTATAAATTTGTAAGTGGTTCAACATCTGCCACTTTTTTGCAGAATAAATTCTTTATGATTTGTATAGAGGCTTCTTTCTACTATTTTAATAATTTATCTGTGAATTGAATTAATGAAATGTTGACTTCTGGGTTTTCTTGATCAATCTAATAAACTCCTTAATTCTTATTGTAATTCTCCACAAATGAAATTCCAAATAATTCTAATGATGCAGATACCTTCAATAAGTATTAAGCAATATCCATTTTATCATCCCTCTAATAAAATGGAAGCAAATTGTTAGTTAGACCATTTTGCTTTGAACACATTAATTCCCATTTGACTTCCTCGTTTTCAATAAGAACTGAACAGATTCCTTTGATATCTTCCACTCCAAAACCCAAATCTAAAAAACCATTATTTAATTTGCATTGTGGAAACTCACACACTAACTAACTACAACCCTATAATGCAATTTCTAACAATAGTTCGTTGTCATACTCAATTGTTTTTTTAAATTTCGTAAACTACCAATCGTTCAATTCCAAATCAAGGATTAAACAATTATTTCTTTAACTTTGCAATTGAAATATCATCAGATTATCATCTAAAATATCTCCATCTACCTCTTTGGTTTTAGATATTTGCTAAATTAATAACCCTGATTTAAATGTTTTATGTCTTGGTTGCCAAATACGCACATTATTTATTTTATTAAGTTTGAATAACTCTTGAAATGTATCTCTTAGTAAATTCTTCCATGCCTTGATCTCAGAGTTGTAGTCTACTTATGCTATTACTGTTTAATGCTTATTATCAACAGGAGACCAATAAATCAAAGTAAACTTAATTTAATTGTATATATACTCTTGCTAAATTAGGGAATATCTACTTTCTTTTAAGATTTTCATTATAGAACCCCACCCTTATTTGGGGTTCGGCTGATGAATAATTTTTTAAAAAATATTCATAAATTTCTCTTAATACCTATATTTCTATTACAATAATTACAATTTCATAATCCCATTCATTTTCCAAATAACGAATGGTAGAGTTATAAACATGACCTTCAGGAAAATACTTAAACAATTTCTCATTGCTCATTAAATCAGAATTGATTTTATCAGGCTAAGCATATTTAAAATTAAAACTTTTTATCTGCTGTCTTTTTCATATTCATCCATTTCCTCATCATAATCTACATAATATTTCCATTATTTTATGAATTTTTTAGATATCAAATAGTACTCCTTCCCCCCTTTTTCTCTTAGTGACTTTTCTAACATCTACTTCTAAAAATAAAAATTACTCTTCTTCCTTCTTCATATATGGACAATTCCTCCTAAAATGGACTTCTTTATTGCAATAATTAGAGGAAATTAATCATTAAAATAAATAATATTCAGATTAGTATGATTTACTTAAATATTCTATAAATTCATTATTGATTCAGAACAGATTAATTCTCTTTCACCCATTGTTCGGTTTTACTATATACTTACATAAGAATAATACCTTAATTGTCTTAATTTCTCTTGTATTTATTCCAATTTAGCCTTTCCTGTATTTTTCATGCTTTCCAAATAAGAATCTTGATTTTCCTACTTTGATTTCATCAACCTATCCAAATCCATTTGCACCATCTTTTAATCTGACAACAATTGATCCTTCTACTATCTAATTTAAATCATCAATTGAGCAATTGCAGCTTCTATTTCAAAAGGAGATTTGTTATTAGATATTTTGTTTCTCAGATTATCAATTTAACCACCAAATTATCCAAAAGCAGATAAATTTGTTTCCCCAAACAGCTTGCTATTATAATTAAAATTATTGATATTCTTTTTAATTTCTTAAATTTTCTACTATTTGAAAGCAATTTGTTCTAAAAGTTATTTTTCTTACATTGTCAATTATTTTAATTCAAATTTTTACTTGTTGATTATTTGTCCATATTCTATTGATTAACTTGTTATTTATAATTGAATCTACAATTCTTCCACTTCTTATTTATATTTATTATGCTCATTTTTAACAATATTGAGTTCCTTTTTTAATTATTCAATATTTTCTAATAAACTTTATTCTTTTTATTTTTTTGAGTATTAATCCTATTCAAAGAATTCTCTGATTTACAATTCTTATTGTTGAGCAGAGTCCTCAAAGTTTTTCTTATATCTATAAAATTCTTCCTTAGCTTTTTCTTCAATTTTCTATTTTTCTAACTCAAATTCTTCCTCCTTCCTTTTTTTCTCAACTTCAAATTACTACTCTAGGATTCTCAATTCTTTATTAATTTGATCATCAATCTCTTTTCTTTATTTAGATTCTTATTCTTTAATTTATTTTTTAATCTTCATTTTTTCAATTTCTAATTTTTATTTTAAGTTTTCAGTTAATCTTTATTCTTCATCCTCAAATTCTTTTTAATACTATTATCTAATTTAATTCTCATCAAAGGTTGATTTTGTTTTTTTCTCCTTGGCCAATTCTTCCTCAAGTATGGCTAATTCTTAATTGATTTTTTCTTATTCTTATCTTTTGAACTGCTCAATTTATTCATCAATTTGCTATTATTTAGCTTTTTTTAGTTCTTCAAATTTTTTGTCTTCCTCCTCCTTGAATTTTAACTTCAACACTTCCAATTCTTTCTCCTCATCATACACAGTATTAGTAGTTTCAAAGCGTAATTGTTTCTCTTATTCCACTAATTATTAATATTCCTTTTCATATTTAGTTTCAATATCCTTCTTCTAATTCTTATATTATTCCTCATATTCCTCATCTATCTTCTCCATTTATTTCTCTTCTAATTATTTCAAATTCTTTTTTTCAATATCCAACCTCGATTAAATGTTCTTCTCTAAACTCGCTCTAGATACTCTTTCATACTATTCTAATTCTAACATTTATTCCTCTTCCTATTCTTTTAATTTCTTCAACTTTTCCTCAAATTCCTATTTCTATTTGGAAGAATTGACTTTTATTGATTCCTTTAATTTAGCTAATTACTTCTCATAATCCTAATCAGCTTCTTTTTTCAATTACTCAATCTTTTTATCAATCTTCTTCTTTTATTCCTCAAATTCCTTCTTTTTTTATTCCCTATATTATTATAGTTTCTTCTCTTAAGTTTGTTTCAACAATGGATCTTAAGCCCTATTAAAAACATCAGATTAAACAATAGGTTAAACTTAATATTATACTATAATTTATACTTGCAATTTCTGGTTCCTTCGTTTCTGGGCCAAGAAGTGATTCTTTGACTATTTTGGCTTGCTCTCTTGCTATTTTCTCTATTTTTTTTTATTTTTCCTTCTAAAACATCTATTTGTAATAATCATCACACGGATGCTCTTCCTTTCTCTCATTTGTGATTAAGTTAAGATACGAGATTTCCTTATTTCTGTTTTGATATGGTTTCCTTTAATTTATGGATATAATTACCAAGATTCAGGCAATGGAGCCATCAAACCCTCTCTGGCTATATATAATAGATCATTATCTTCAGGCAATTCCATCCCTAAAAAGTAAGCATATTCTCTTATTTCTAAAGATTTTGTATCTTAAAATAATACCTTGGTTAGTAGGTCTATAATGCTCATCTATTTCTTCTTCTAATAGCATTGATTCTTGTTCTTCATCATCCTCATAATTAATTTAACTTCCCATGCCGAGACCCATGTTCATCTATCCCATTCCCATACCCATTTATCCCATACCCATTTATCCTGGTCCTATTTGTCCCATTCCTTTTTTCATTTAATTTTATGCCATTTACATTTACATTTGTCCCATCTACATCTAATTCATCTAATTCATATTTGCATATTGAGCATTATTCATTCCCAACATTCCTTGTTGCTAGCCAAACTTATTTTTTTGGTTTTATTATTGTTATGGTTATTTAAAACCAGAGCTATTTGAGAATCCCATGCTACCTGACATATTACTTGACATTCCAAATTATTTTTGTTAGTTGCTGATACCTGAGAACCCTCCAGTTCCTGACATATTCATCCCACTCTGAATACCATTAGACATCCCCATGCCAGACATACCCATTCCAGACATCCCCATACCTGACATTCCCATTCCAGACATTCCAAGGCCATAATTACTAGAATTAGGAGGACCTAATCATAATATTTAATTTACAACCTGTCTTCTGACCCTGTTGCTTTCCTTTTGAAATATTCATAAATTTAAATTATATTTATAATATCAATTCAATACGTATTTTAGTAACCATGATAACATTAATCTCTAAATTACTTATCGATATTCACTTCGCTAGTAAACTTGATCTTTAGAGACAGAATTTAATTTTCTTATATAATTTAAATTAGAGTATTTTTATTAAAATGTAACAGGATCAGAATCAAGGGATGGACCATCAGATTGCAGATAAGGAAATGACTGTTCAGGATTAGTTATTAGAATAATAGAAGAAATTTAGAAACTTGGAATCCGATAGAAAGGCATATGCTGAAGAAACTGTTGCAAACATTAAAAAATAAAGAGGAATCATTGATAAGCTTAAGAATGAAAATTACATTCTAAAGGACTTAATAGCTAAGATGAATTCCTAAAAATTATAACTTAATTAGACTACCTATTCTAAGGGACCTAATATTGATACAATAATTGATGATTTGAAAGTAGCAATTAATGAGGAGAAGAAAGTGTAAGAAGAAATCGATACACATGTTGCAGATTTTCAAAAGAAGATTATAGAAAAAAGACATGCTTTGGGTGGATACAATGCAGGAGCTGAAAATGAAAGTGCACTGCAAAAACAAATTAAAATTTTGGAAAATAGATTAGACAAAACAAATCAGAAATTTAATGAAGCCATTGCCATCAATAAATAATTAAGATAATAAATTGATAGTCTACGAAGAGAAAGAGTTATTTTTGATAATCTCTATAAAAAACTGGAGAAGGAATTGCATGAAAAAAGAAAAGTATATCTAATACATTATTATAGGAAATGGCTGATATTATTGAAACTGCTAATACAGCATATGAGGAGAGGGATAAGGCAAATGATTTAATTTAAAGTTTAAAATAATAGGCGAAAAGAGAATCTGCTGATTTTGAAAAAGATCTCAGAGAATTGAGTTAAATCATGGAAAAAAATAAAAAAACACTAGATTATATGAAATTAACAGAAAAGAACAGAGAAATGGATCAATAGGAAGTAGTTGATCCTGAGAAATTCACTAAACCAAAAACAAACAAATTGACTAGGGATAAAACTGTCAATTAAACTATTGTTGAGTAAATCATGAAATATGAGGAAGACTTTGCTAAAATCTAGGCAGCCACATAAATTAAAGTGTTTGATGAACTTATCAAAATATTTATTTAAAATGAAGAAAAAGTAAAATATACTTTATAGTGATCGTAGAATTTTTAAATGTTTAAATATGTTAATGAATTAAGTAACGAAATTGAAGATCTAGAAAAACAAATAGGAGAATTGAAAGATGAAGCATCATTGTATGAAGGTCAAGGTTCTAATGTAGATGTTTAAAGAAAAAGACATCTTAAAGATTTAGAAGAGAAATTGTCAAGATCAGAATCGAAATCAGAATCGTACGAATTCAAATATAATGAATCTATAAAACTCATAAATAGTCTAACAGTATCTCATATCTTTCATTATTTAGAATTGGATAGAAACTCTATTCAATACTGTTGAATGCGATAAGTAAATGGCAACAGAAATTGCTGGATCTCATGGGGTTACTGATACCAACATGATGATTTATTTAGGATTAATTGAAAATAAAACAAATAAATTATTGCAATACTATTAATAAATTCATTAGAAAATATCAGAAAATTAAATCAATTCATTACAATAATTAGCTTAAATGAATGAGAAAAACTTATAAAACAAGAACAGAGCAGAACTACCACAATTTGGTAATTATTCAAGTTATTCAAGATGAACATGAAGATGATGACATAGAAGGAGATAAAATATTGTCAGTTGAAGAATTTAAGAAAAAAGCTCTAGAAAAACTTGAAGTATTTATTTAGCTCTCATTTAGAAATAATAAAACTAAACAAAAAATAAGAGAGCTGGGCCTAATAAATTAAGAAAAAATAAATGATGATCATTAATTATATAAACAAAATCATTACAACTCTATTTTATTCTATCTAGGTAAACATATCACTATGTTTAATAAATTTTTGATAAATTCATACATGTTATTTTGAAGAAGGAATATTTTTCTAACTTCAATTTATTATAATATAGATCGGATTTCTAATTGAAGTCCAGATATATTAATTTAACATAAGATATAATTTAAGATGAATAAATGTAAAATATTGTATTTAATAATCTGAATTATTGATAAATATCTAATAGTAAATATTAGAATTTAATTATAAGACTTATACTAAACTATACACATTTTAATCTAAAATTAAAAAATTAATTAATAGTATTTGTTAATTATTTATTTATTTCATCGTTAAAATATATATTATAAATAAATATAAAATGTAAGAAATAGAGGCGAAAAAATAATTAAAAGCAAGTGAGGGGGCGCATTTTTTTTACACTTTAATATTCCTATCTGCATCAGGAATTATTGAGACCTAATTTATTGAAGAAAAATGCAATTAAAATCTTCAGTTATTTGTACATCTGGTATTCTATGGATTAATCATTTGGGGGACTTATATACTTATTACTTTAATCCCAAGGTAAATACTTAAATGAACATAGATATAAAAATGCTGCTATTAATCTATTTTTTAACTTCTTGGATATATGTTTTGGGATCTATATTCTTTTGCTATTGTTTTATGGAGGAAGAATGTATTAATCCCCTAATGATTGCCTGACAGAGGCTCCAGCGTTATTTTTCTTTTTAGAAACATTTTTGCTGGTATTTAGTTATCCTAAATAAAATAGGTTAATGGTATAATTTTTGCGATTTTGTTCTTGGCATTTGTTTCATATGTTCTCAAAAGATTTTCTAAATCTTAGCAAGTATATGATGAAAACAAAGAAGAATTTTATGACGCTTGATATTAATTTTATTATATAAATGTATAATACAATTCTAAGTATAATAAGACTATTATGATCTTAAAATCATAGATAATATAGATAATTAGATGAAACAATTAGTGATATCTTAAGACAAAGTCTTTCAATTGCTCATTGTGAACATCTTACAATTTGAAAAATAATAAATTGTTAAATTGTAAATCCACTTAATTCTGTGTTAATTCTTAAAGATGAGGATTTTAGTCTAATGAAAACCTTTCAGCTGTCTTATATCTTGATTGAAGTGGTTTTATTCTCAATATTAAAGCCTTAAAAAAATAATATACGTTAAATATTAAGCAGAACTAATTGGGATCAATTCTAGCAAGTTCATTAGGAATGATAATTAGAATATTGTGAATATATTTTATGCAAAATTAGCTAGTTTTCAATAAAAAATTTCTCTTAAAAATATTATTAATATATCTAAATTCCAATTTGGAATTGCATTAAGCAAGTTTATATAGATAAAAGAGAATACCTCTAAATGATCAATTTAATAATTTGTAGACTTTATAAAATATGCTTGAATTATAATCTATTAGCATTTAAAATACTCTAAGAATAGTGGTTTATGCAGTTATCATTCTATATTAGTATTGAACTACCGTATTAAAATTAAAAAATAGATAGAAGAATCCTTGAAAGTCTGCTCTTTTGATCAGAAACTATAAGGGATTGTTGGAAAATTAATATTAAGCAATATTGATTTTATATAAATATGATTTCTTAAGTTTAGGATTTGTATTAACTTATCTACAACAAACTTGTAAATAAGGAATCTCTTGAACCATCCTTACTCACTAGACTACACACTTAGATCTTCTTGTAGAATATGGAATAGAATTGTGAATTAGAAGAATTTTACTATGATATTCTAAGAAAACACATCTAAAGTCATCATTCAATTTCTCCTGAATAATTGGAAATATTAGTTAATGTTGTGTATTATCTTGGTATATTCATTAATTAATAGACACTATTTACTAAGGCATTCCAAATTATTAAAGAAAATTTAATTGATAATCAGCCAATTATTTAGAATTCATTATATTTGAACATCCTTTAAGCTTGCGGCTCATAAAAGATCTGTTTAAAACAAGGACATTAATTTGTCAACATAGATATCAACAACAATTATTTCAAATCACGATTTCTTACGCCATACCTTGATTCAATAACCTAAAGAATACCAAAAGATCATATTATATAATTCATTGAGAATGAATAACAAAAAATCAAATCACTCCATCCTGAATCAGAGAATTATGTAATATAAGAGTTGAAATTCTTCATTATTTAGTAATAACTTAAAACTGTAGATTTCAAAAAAAATTCTTAAGAATTACTTGATTTATTCAATTTTCTTCAAATTGAAGATAAATACCAATACAATCTCAAGCAAAAGCTTTCTAATCTATAAGACAAGGATAATTCTATCAATTCTTTTTATTAATTAGCAATCAAATATAAAGAATTTCTTTAGCAATATCTTGATTTAGAATTTGAGTAATTCTTTTCATTGTTTAAAGAGCAACTAAATAATATTTAGAATTTCTATTAAAAAGAAAAGCATATGTTAATTGCATTAAATGAAATAATTGAAGAATATTTAATAAAGCACGATTGCCTACAAAATTTGCTTGAAACTTCAGATGAAAATATAGGTTATTTCTCATAATGCATGATTTAATCGATTGATCATTTTATTA